TGTTTTAATATATAGATATATTTATGTGTGGTAAAGAAATGGATCTCAAAATGTCATTTCTGTCATTACATGTTATATACAATTTAGTGTACAGCATGCTGTAATATGTTTATTTAACTTACATGCCGGTATTTTGAAACTAATATTTTTGTCTTTCAAGTCTCTCCAAAACACAAATATAATCAGACCATTTACTGGGATAGTGAAGTTGTACATACATAACGGGACCAATGCATAAGTAAGAAAGTTTTATTCAATGTTGCTTACATTGATTAAAAAAAAAATGACAAAAAAGGGCATTGTGGATCGTAACATCAATTTCATCAGGAGAGATTAGGGACCAGTACAATAATGACATCAGGAGAGATTAGGGACCAGTACAATAATGACATCAGGAGAGATAGGACCAGTACAATAATGACATCAGGGGAGATAAGGGACCAGTACAATAATGACATCAGGAGAGATAGGACCAGTACAATAATGACATCAGGGGAGATAAGGGACCAGTACAATAATGACATCAGGGGAGATAAGGGACCAGTACAATAATGACATCAGGGGAGATTAGGGACCAGTACAATAATGACATCAGGGGAGATTAGGGACCAGTACAATAATGACATCAGGTGAGATTAGGGACCAGTACAATAATGACATCAGGGGAGATGACATAGGGACCAGTACAATAATGACATCAGGGACCAGTACAATAATGACATTAGGGACCAGTACAATAATGACATCAGGGGAGATTAGGGACCAGTACAATAATGACATCAGGGGAGATTAGGGACCAGTACAATAATGACATCAGGGGAGATTAGGGACCAGTACAATAATGACATCAGGGGAGATTAGGGACCAGTACAATAATGACATCAGGTGAGATTAGGGACCAGTACAATAATGAGATTTATTCATCATCACATCAGTTGAAAATATCAAGAATTTCAACTAAAATGCTTGAAGCTGACATCATCTTTACATAGGTTTGTTTCAAAATTTTAGGATTGTTTGAGAGATGGGTACATGACATGAATCAGATTAGCTCCTTTTGTTTAATGCACTTTTATCTGGCTGTGGTGTCTAGCTTATTCCTAGACATTGATGTAGATTGAAATTTGTTAGATTACAATTTAATTAATTTTATAGTGTTTTAATCACATTTGAAAATTAAATGTCTGTCTACAATATTATGCTGTGATAGGCATACAGTTCACTATTGTAGATGTTCATACTTGTATCATGTACATTGTTGTTTTGCACATCACCTTTGGAGTTACTTGTGATTTTGAATATTTAAGAAATATTTGGGAAATGATTGATTTCCTAAGGGCAGATTGAATACGAGTAAGAAAGTGATCACTAGTCGAAGAGTGAGAGTGAAATTTCAGGCTTCAAGTGCTGTGAATATTTGCATATGATTGGAGTAGTTAAACTTTTTTTTACTATATTACAAAGTTGTTTTCTTGGCCTAAATAAGGTTTGATATATTTATTGTCCTCATTGACATGCAGTGGGAAGGTAAAATTATAAGACAGGAAATATTGATATAGGTAGTAGTATTAATATTAAGTTAAGAATGTTTAAACTGCTATTAAAGGGTGGTAGAGACTGATAATCTACACTGGAATCATCAACACTATCAGTCAGTGGATTATCTAGAACGTACTGACAAAGCTGTACATTAATTTCTGACCATCCGATAATTTTTTACCACCAAACATTGTTTCTGTTAGAGCTTGAAATCTATTTTTTCATTTTAGTTTCAATACATGGATGCAGAAGTTAAATTTTGAAGTGAATTTCAGTTTATTTCTGTTGCTTCCATTCAACGTGCTCAGTTATTTGTGATTAATGTTTTTCTTTCTATATTTGTTTTAATGCACCTTATGAAAAAAATTATCTGTTGTAAATTGTAAACACATCAGTTTGTAGCTAATTGAAATAAATTAGGTAGAAAAAATAATATATATGGAGAAGGAAGGCCACATGGTGCTGATATACAAGGGAGAGTAATCTCCCTTAGTGGATGCTGTAAGCATCTCTTATCAATGTAATCAAGAAATATTCCAGACATTATTGGAGAGCATGGAGTTGGATTGTACTCTTGGTGACCCTGTCAAATTGCAATTTCTTTTCTGGGATCCCAGATACAAAATGTTTATTACATACATATTGTCGACTCCCACCATGTCTGGAAAAGTCCTCATGAATACTTCTGATTAATAAAAGAGTTTATATCCACAAATTTTCTTTCTTGTTCTTGGATGACATTTAAAGTATAGTAGTGTGAAACTTGTACATAGTTACTAAGCATTTGACCTAGAATGACAGCCTTATATATCTATAACAAAATTCTGGAATGAGATATTAACTGTTTTGTAAAGATTTGTACCCTGGAATTGATGCTGATACTAATAATAGATTATCTTTCCTTCCCTGTATTTTTCAAGATCTACTTGATTCCAAGTTGTGCAAGGAAAAAAAAACAAGAAAAAAAATACTCAACAGGCAACCATCTGGAATTTTTAATAAAACTTTATATTTTGTCTTAGGATCATTTCAATTCTGGATCTATGATAGTCTTTGGAAGTGAAAGTCTGGACGTGTTCAGACATATTGATACCATGGTAACTAGGAGCTAATCATTAATATGAACCACTTAGTACTTAATCAATAACAACACTATTATTAAGGTCTTGATGTTACATTTTATTATTATAAAATATCAGGACGGCTGTAAAACAAAATGTAAGTTACATTGCCAGTCATGACTAGGAAACTACATAAAAGACTTTCATAAATACTTCAACCTCGCAATTCCTATCAGAAAACTGGATATAAAAACTGAAGCTTGAAGATTGTAAACATGGGATAGATGATATTTATCGGTCATCTAAAGATAGGACAGCAAATTTATTGCATTTTTAAGGTAGAATTATATTCTATCACAGACATATCTTAAACGTTCAACAATTAGAAAACATTGATAATGTTTACATCACTCAACAAGATCATTCCTATTACACAGAATATACCTTGTATTACAAACAGCCAGAAACAAGTGGGTACCCGAAAAAACACAGCACTAAATGTAGCATTTAAGTTGTACAGTATCTAGGATACATCAGAATTTAACACTCACTATTCTAAAATAGTGGTGATACGTGTCTTGTTTAAAAAACATTCATGATCTAATATCCAGAATATGTATACTATTCCCTAAATATACATTAAAATTTTACTGGTAATATATAACAGCTTGTCATTATACAACAGAATATATATAACATCTAGTATTTGCTTGTTTATACCAAAATTTTACATCTACATCCACAACAACACATCAGAATTTAACATGTAGTACAATCCCATATGAAAAGACATCTAGAATCCTCTTGTAGACATCAGAATTTAACATGTAGTACAATCCCGTATGAAAAGACATCTAGAATCCTCGTGTAGACATCAGAATTTAACATGTAGTACAATCCCGTATGAAAAGACATCTAGAATCCTCATGTAGACATCAGAATTTAACATGTAGTACAATCCCGTATGAAAAGACATCTAGAATCCTCTTGTAGACATCAGAATTTAACATGTAGTACAATCCCGTATGAAAAGACATCTAGAATCCTCATGTAGACATCAGAATTTAACATGTAGTACAATCCCGTATGAAAAGACTTCTAGAATCCTCTTGTAGACATCAGAATTTAACATGTAGTACAATCCCGTATGAAAAGACATCTAGAATCCTCATGTAGACATCAGAATTTAACATGTTGTACAATCCCGTATGAAAAGACATCTAGAATCCTCATGTAGACATCAGAATTTAACATGTAGTACAATCCCGTATGAAAAGACATCTAGAATCCTCATGTAGACATCAGAATTTAACATGTAGTACAATCCTGTATGAAAAGACCTCTAGAATCCTCTTGTAGACATCAGAATTTATCATTTGCTTGTAAACCACAAATTTTAACATCTAGTATTCACTTTTGTACATTAGTTTGTTATATTTAGTATACACTAGCATACATACAAAACTAAGATCCACAAGTTTCTCTTCAACTCGATGTATAACTTTAAAACATCTGTAAGACATGAATACCCTCGGTCGTCAGTAAATAAGTTCCACTGAGAAATATCTAGTAAGATTGTGGATGTCACTCTATGAAGCCCCTTGTGGATGTCACTCTATGAAGCCCCTTGTGGATGTCACTCTATGTAGCCCCTTGTGGATGTCACTCTATGTAGCCCCTTGTGGTTGTCACTCTATGTAGCCCCTTGTGGTTGTCACTCTATGAAGCCCCTTGTGGATGTCACTCTATGTAGCCCCTTGTGGATGTCACTCTATGAAGCCCCTTGTGGATGTCACTCTATGAAGCCCCTTGTGGTTGTCACTCTATGAAGCCCCTTGTGGATGTCACTCTATGAAGCCCCTTGTGGATGTCACTCTATGTAGCCCCTTGTGGATGTCACTCTATGAAGCCCCTTGTGGATGTCACTCTATGTAGCCCCTTGTGGATGTCACTCTATGAAGCCCCTTGTGGATGTCACTCTATGAAGCCCCTTGTGGATGTCACTCTATGAAGCCCCTTGTGGATGTCACTCTATGTAGCCCCTTGTGGATGTCACTCTATGTAGCCCCTTGTGGATGTCACTCTATGTAGCCCCTTGTGGATGTCACTCTATGTAGCCCCTTGTGGATGTCACTCTATGTAGCCCCTTGTGGATGTCACTCTATGTAGCCCCTTGCCCCTTGTCCCCCGTTGGTCTGTCACTACACTCTATGTAGCCCCTTGTGGATGTCACTCTATGTAGCCCCTTGTGGATGTCACTCTATGTAGCCCCTTGTGGATGTCACTCTATGTAGCCCCTTGCCCCTTGTCCCCCGTTGGTCTGTCACTACACTCTATGTAGCCCCTTGTCCCCCGTTGGTCTGTCACTACACTCTATGTAGCCCCTTGTCCCCTGTTGGTCTGTCACTACACTCTATGTAGCCCCTTGTCCCCTGTTGGTCTGTCACTACACTCTATGTAGCCCCTTGTCCCCCGTTGGTCTGTCACTACACTCTATGTAGCCCCTTGTCCCCCGTTGGTCTGTTACTCGTCCCCAGATGAGCTGCCTCTCTTACCCCTAATGCTATTTGCTAAAGTCACTAACCTGTATAAATATGTTTTGTAAATTTTACAAAAATTCATAAAAATTAAATCAATAGTCAGTCACCATGTGTACATACACATGTAACATCAATTGACATTTATCGTAGAATCTGTTGTCATACGTAGAATCTGTCATCATACGTAGAATCTGTCAATGTACGTAGAATCTGTCGTCGTACGTAGAATCTGTCGTCATACGTACATCATTGTAAGAATATTCCATCAGTGCTCTAATTCCCTGATACATCTATAAAAGTAAAACACTCTACAAAATGCTTTGGACATCATTAAAAGAGAATGGAATTCACCACTTTGGCAACAACTTAACTGTTACAGGCACGGAGGTGGGTTTGTTATCATAAAATCATCACTACTTCTACATTTCTCTTAAAGACAGCATATTTTATATGTCTACTTATCAAACTAAAAAATACATAATATGCTAAATCAGTCCTTTTACCAGAGTACATCATAACCCTTCACACAGGTCTGACTGTCTCAGCCTACATTATAACCCCACACACAGGTCTGACTGTCTCAGCCTACATTATAACCCCACACACAAGTCTGACTGTCTCAGTGTACATTATAACCCTTCACACAGATCTGACTGTCTCAGTGTACATTATAACCCTTCACGCAGATCTGACTGTGTCAGTGTACATTATTACCCTTCACGCAGATCTGACTGTCTCAGTGTACATTATAACCCTTCACACAGGTCTGACTGTCTCAGTGTACATTATAACCTTTCACACAGATCTGACTGTCTCAGTGTACATTATAACCCTTCACACAGGTCTGACTGTCTCAGTGTACATTATAATCCTTCACACAGGTCTGACTGTCTCAGTGTACATTATAACCTTTCACACAGATCTGACTGTCTCAGTGTACATTATAACCCTTCACACAGGTCTGACTGTCTCAGTGTACATTATAATCCTTCACACAGGTCTGACTGTCTCAGTGTACATTATAACCTTTCACACAGATCTGACTGTCTCAGCGTACATTATAACCCTTCACACAGATCTGACTGTCTCAGTGTACATAAGGTCTGATGATCTCATACAGAGTACATTTTTACCCTTCACATAGATCTTCTGGCCATGTGTCCAAGATTATGTAAATGTGATGGAATTAAAACAAGTAAGTGTTAATTTGTGTTTGGCTATCACAGACCAGCAACATGATGCTGTTTTCTCTGATACAGTCACACTCTTTGACTAGCTAGATATGTGATGTGGAGATTCTTTAATGAAGAGCTGCCAACTATAGGGATAAATATAAACACCACATGCTTGGTCTGAAACAGATACCACCATATAGGTCATTCGTTGGCCAACTTGGATATAATTGTGAACAATGTTGCTGATACTTGTGGTGCCATCATCAGGAGTTTGTTGATGTCTTGTTGTAAGGCATATGTCTCAGTGTATAGAGGAACATGTTCTGTTCATCCAGGTACTTCTGGTCCTGAAAAATCAAATTGTCCACTATCTGTTACAAAAGTCAAAATTTACAGGATGGCACAAGTGAGTTTTCAATTCTATACCAGTGTGTCTGCACTGATTAAAAAATAACGACAACAAAATCTTCACTGATAGTTTATGTAAATTGATTCCCGGTTATACCTAGAATTGGACATCATTTAGAATTACTGATACAGATATGACAAACCTGACATGATTTATCTATTTATACCTACCTTCATGGCTTCCACCTTCCACATACGTACTGATCGATCTGCCTTGATGGTCTCTGTGATGGACTGGACAGAATTCAGTGACATCTGTATTGATGGACTGGGGACTTGATGTGACACCATCTGTCTGGACACTGCATTGTACCCATTTCCAATGTAAGAAGGCGATGTCTGGTTTGTCATCTGAGGCATACTCTCCATTGGCACTACAATAAAGAAATCCATACTTTACTACATTACTACAATCACCATGCTATCATCGTACTGTACATAACCTGGGTTTAACAGTGGGTAACCATGCTGTCATCATACTGTATATAACCTGGGTTTAACAGTGGCTACCATGCTGTCATCATACTGTATATAACCTGGGTTTAACAGTGAGTACTATGCTGTCATCATACTGTATATAACCTGGGTTTAACAGTGGGTAACCATGCTGTCATCATACTGTATATAACCTGGGTTTAACAGTGAGTACCATGCTGTCATCATACTGTATATAACCTGGGTTTAACAGTGGGTACCATGCTATCATCATACTGTACCTTGAGGTGGGATAATATTCATACTGTCTCCTCTGGGCGTGCGACAGTTTGGACAGAGCAATGTAAACCTTAGGTTTTCTACCTCCTTCTTCTCTCGGGACAGACGTAGCTTTTCCTGTTCAAATTAAACTAAAATATTAATTTTTCTGGTCATACACAGAAAACAACTTTAAGATTAATATATTATTTCTAATCAACTTAAAACTATCAGTTATCTGATATGTTAGAGTGTTTCTACTGGTGAATACTTATTGTTTATCATAACATGTTGTGTCTCCATCATTAATACAAGATTTCTAGATATAAAGGAGAAATTATGAATCTGCCCTGAAGAAAAGCCATGTGATATGATATTGTTACTAGAACAATTTATTCTGACCTCGGCAATCTCCTTTTCTTTGACCCGTAGTATCTGAATCTGATCCTGTATGCTGTCCATCCTCATTTTGTCTTCACTCTCCAACGACCGCGCCTCCAGCAGTGCCTGTTCTCCCTCCTCGAACTTTTTCTGGGCTTCCTGTTACACATTTAACAGAGGAAAATTTCTAACTGACATACATGTAGTATTACCTAAACTTACACATATAACAGAGGACAACTTCTAACTGACATACATGTAGTACTACCTAAACTTACACATATAACAGAGGACAACTTCTAACTGACATACCACCATGTAGTACTACCTAAACTTACACATATAACAGAGGACAACTTCTAACTGACATACCACCATGTAGTACTACCTAAACTTACACATATAACAGAGGACAACTTCTAACTGACATACCACCATGTAGTACTACCTAAACTTACACATATAACAGAGGACAACTTCTAACTGACATACCACCATGTAGTACTACCTAAACTTACACATATAACAGAGGACAACTTCTAACTGACATACCACCATGTAGTACTACCTAAACTTACACATATAACAGAGGACAACTTCTAACTGACATACCACCATGTAGTACTACCTAAACTTACACATATAACAGAGGACAACTTCTAACTGACATACCACCATGTAGTACTACCTAAACTTACACATATAACAGAGGACAACTTCTAACTGACATACCACCATGTAGTACTACCTAAACTTACACATATAACAGAGGACAACTTCTAACTGACATACCACCATGTAGTACTACCTAAACTTACACATATAACAGAGGACAACTTCTAACTGACATACCACCATGTAGTACTACCTAAACTTACACATATAACAGAGGACAACTTCTAACTGACATACCACCATGTAGTACTACCTAAACTTACACATATAACAGAGGACAACTTCTAACTGACATACCACCATGTAGTACTACCTAAACTTACACATATAACAGAGGACAACTTCTAACTGACATACCACCATGTAGTACTACCTAAACTTACACATATAACAGAGGACAACTTCTAACTGACATACCACCATGTAGTACTACCTAAACTTACACATATAACAGAGGACAACTTCTAACTGACATACCACCATGTAGTACTACCTAAACTTACACATATAACAGAGGACAACTTCTAACTGACATACCACCATGTAGTACTACCTAAACTTACACATATAACAGAGGACAACTTCTAACTGACATACCACCATGTAGTACTACCTAAACTTACACATATAACAGAGGACAACTTCTAACTGACATACCACCATGTAGTACTACCTAAACTTACACATATAACAGAGGACAACTTCTAACTGACATACCACCATGTAGTACTACCAAATTCATTACTACCTAAACTTACACATATAACAGAGGACAACTTCTAACTGACATACCACCATGTAGTACTACCTAAACTTACACATATAACAGAGGACAACTTCTAACTGACATACCACCATGTAGTACTACCTAAACTTACACATATAACAGAGGACAACTTCTAACTGACATACCACCATGTAGTACTACCTAAACTTACACATATAACAGAGGACAACTTCTAACTGACATACCACCATGTAGTACTACCTAAACTTACACATATAACAGAGGACAACTTCTAACTGACATACCACCATGTAGTACTACCTAAACTTACACATATAACAGAGGACAACTTCTAACTGACATACCACCATGTAGTACTACCTAAACTTACACATATAACAGAGGACAACTTCTAACTGACATACCACCATGTAGTACTACCTAAACTTACACATATAACAGAGGACAACTTCTAACTGACATACCACCATGTAGTACTACCTAAACTTACACATATAACAGAGGACAACTTCTAACTGACATACCACCATGTAGTACTACCTAAACTTACACATATAACAGAGGACAACTTCTAACTGACATACCACCATGTAGTACTACCTAAACTTACACATATAACAGAGGACAACTTCTAACTGACATACCACCATGTAGTACTACCAAATTCATTACTACCTAAACTTACACTTCAAATTCAAATGCAGTAATATCTTTTGGGTTCCAGGCTCTGATGTTCTTATTAAGTATAACAAATTCTATTTGATGCTGATAAGTGATCATTCAATCCTGTATTATAATCCTCACCATGTACATCTCATCCACCTCTTCTGACTTTGCCTTCAGTGTGGCAGCTGTTTCCTCGAAGTCTTCCTGCTTACTGCGCCATCTGTCTTCATCCCTCTCCAGTTTCCTCTGTTCATCCCTCACACGGTCTTCTATTGTCTGCAGTTCCTGTCTCCGTTCATACATCTTGTTCTTCTCCCCAGAGATAGCCTTCATAGTGGCTTCATACTCTGCCTTTGCCTGGAATGGTGTCAATATATTCACAATTACTTTTCCTACGTTTTACATCAGGACTAAAGAACATTCTAAAAAGATTGTCTGTGGAACTGTGGAGTGCTCCCCAAAAACAAGGTTGTCTGTGGAACTGTGGAGTGCTCCCCAAAAACAAGATTGTCTGTGGAACTATGGAGTGCTCCCCAAAAACAAAGTTGTCTGTGGAACTGTGGAGTGCTCCCCAAAAACAAGGTTGTCTGTGGAACTGTGGAGTGCTCCCCAAAAACAAGGTTGTCTGTGGAACTGTGGAGTGCTCCTCAAATACAACTATATTGAAAACTTTTCCTGTCTTTTACATTTTGTATTTGGTCACATTAATGACACACTTAAGTCTGTAAAGATATCTTACAATGGAGAGATTGAAAGGGGGCATCAATTCAAAATAGTTATATAATATATTACATTAAAAAAAATCATCTTGACCAATTTTAACAATCAATGACTTAACAAGAGATCCCAGAGGGATTTTGGCACCCACCATTTGAGGATCTGTTTTCAGTTCTTGAAGATTTGTTTATTTGTTTTTGTTTGTTACAGGTGTTGTAAATGTACATGAACTGGTCTTCATTGAATGTACTCAATGATGGCACAAGATATTTTTATGAAGCACCTATTAGCAAATATCATTTGAAAAAGATCCCAAAGTATTATTAGATAGCAGTCAGTTACAGGTGGATAATGGACAATATGCTTGTGCTGTATTACTGTCGACATCCAAGATGGCTGCCTGTGGGCCACCTTGATTTCAAATCAGTCCAAAAAAGGTACAATGCACAACTAGGGACCAAGGGAAACCAATATCTATGAAATATCAGAAGGATCCATCCAGTACTTCCTCAGATATAGCAGTAACAAGATTTTACTCTCAAAATCCAAGATGGCTGCCTGTCTGCCATCTTGATTTCGGATCAGTCCAAAAAGGTATAATGCACAACTTGGAACCAAAGGGAACCTGCATATGAAATTTGAGAAAGATCCATCCAGTACTTTCCAAGAAATAGCAGTAACAAACTTTTACATTCAAAATCCAAGATGGCCACCTGTCTGCCATCTTGAATTCGAATCAGTCCAAAAAAGGTACAATGCACAACCAGGGACCAAGGGGAAACTGCATATGAAATTTGAGAAAGATCCATCCAGTACTTTCCAAGAAATTGCAGTAACAAACTTTTACTTCCAAAATCCAAGATGGCTGACTGTCGGCCATCTTGAATTCGAATCAGTCCAAAATAGGACCAAGGGGAACCTGCATATGAAATTTGAGAAAGATCCATCCAGTACTTTTCCAGAAATAGCGGTAACAAGAATTGTTTACGGACGGACGGACCACGGACGCAGGGCGATTTGAATAACCCACCGTCTATTAGATGGTGGGCTAAAAACTGCTAATTTAACTTTTGGACCAACCTTCATCAAAATCAAACAGATTTTAAATAAGAAACTCAGAAAATGACACTAGTGTGCTCTAAAGATCAATACAAAAATGATATAAAAAGCTAGTATATTATGTATATCTTAATGATAACTTTACTCACATGAGCTAGCTTCATGGTGTACTGTTCTGTTTCATCCTTCTGGATTTGTTGTGTGACATTAAACTGCATCCGTTCCTCTGCCAAGGACTGACGCTCACGATGAAGCTGTGATAACAAGGATTTCTCATCTTCCAATAATGTTTCCTGCAATAAACATGGTTTTGAATAAATTATACAGAGTAACTGTGTTCCAAGCTGAATTAGTGTCTTTATAACATCTCCATGTTGGCCACATCCCTGACTAATTTAAGTCAGTGTCCTGGAAACCTTCCTGTATACTCACCCTTGTTTTCTCTATACTAGCTCTATCCCTAGCCTGCTGTTCAGTCCACAGTTGTCGTTCTTCTTCGAGAGCTACCTGCAGAGTATGAAGACGATTCTGTTCCTGCTTTGCTTTCCATCGTTCCTAAAAAAGCAATTAAAGTCCTGTATTCTCACTAGCCATCTACAGTGTCTGTGCAATCCATCCAAACTTCACTATAAAGTATAAAACTTCACTATAAAGTATTAACAAGGGCTTTAACTCTGTATATATAGGTGTGAGTTTTGTATGCTACAATATTTTACAATTCTAAGAGGTTGCCACAAATGAAATTTCATAAGTAACTGAATTTTATCTGAAGAGTCAAAACTTGTAAACAGTAAACAACAGCTGAATTGTTTAAAGAAAGTCCTGAGTAAAACAAAACATCATTATCAGCTCTTGGTGTCGAAATGTTGAAATCAGGCAAAATGTAATGTCTTCTTTCATTAATTATCAATTAAATTTCCTTGTATCTCATCAACTTCAACATTATATCTACATATATCTTATATATCAACCTTATAGTAAGAGATTATATCTTGTGGTTGATCCTGTGTGTTTGACTGTTGATATTTGAATATCTCAGGACATAAAACAAGGTAATTAACAAACTCATTAGATCACACAGAAAACACTGGAGACAGTCACTGACATATCTCAGGGCATAAAACAAGGTAATTAACAAACTCATTACATTACACAGAAAACACTGGAGACAGTCACTGACATATCTCAGGGCATAAAACAAGGTAATTAACAAACTCATTACATTACACAGAAAACACTGGAGACAGTCACTGACATATCTCAGGGCATAAAACAACCCCATTACATCACACAGAAAACACTGGAGACAGTCATTGACATATCTCAGGGCATAAAACAAGGTAATTGACAACCCCATTACATTACACAGAAAACACTGGAGACAGTCACTGACATATCTCAGGGCATAAAACAAGGTAATTGACAACCCCATTACATCACACAGAAAACACTGGAGACAGTCACTGACATATCTCAGGGCATAAAACAAGGTAATTGACAACCCCATTACATCACACAGAAAACAATGGAGACAGTTACTGACATATCTCATGGCATAAAACAACCCCATTACATCACACAGAAAACACTGGAGACAGTTACTGACATATCTCAGGACATAAAACAACCCCATTATATCACACAGAAAACACTGGAGACAGTTACTGACATATCTCAGGGCATAAAACAACCCCATTATATCACACAGAAAACACTGGAGACAGTTACTGACATATCTCAGGGCATAAAACAACCCCATTATATCACACAGAAAACACTGGAGACAGTCACTGACATATCTCAGGACATAAAACAAGGTAATTAACAAACTCATTACATAACACAGAAAACACTGGAGACAGTCACTGACATATCTCAGGGCATAAAACAACCCCATTATATCACACAGAAAACACTGGAGACAGTCACTGACATATCTCAGGGCATAAAACAACCCCATTATATCACACAGAAAACACTGGAGACAGTCACTGACATAACAACCCCATTATATCACACAGAAAACACTGGAGACAGTCACTGACATATCTCAGGGCATAAAACAACCCCATTATATCACACAGAAAACACTGGAGACAGTCACTGACATATCTCAGGGCATAAAACAACCCCATTACATCACACAGAAAACACTGGAGACAGTCACTGACATATCTCAGGGCATAAAACAACCCCATTACATTACACAGAAAACACTGGAGACAGTCACTGACATATCTCAGGACATAAAACAACCCCATTACATTACACAGAAAACACTGGAGACAGTCACTGACATATCTCAGGGCATAAAACAAGGTAATTAACAAACTCATTACATAACACAGAAAACACTGGAGACAGTCACTGACATATCTCAGGACATAAAACAACCCCATTATATAACACAGAAAACACTGGAGACAGTCACTGACATATCTCAGGGCATAAAACAAGGTAATTAACAAACTCATTACATTACACAGAAAACACTGGAGACAGTCACTGACATATCTCAGGGCATAAAACAAGGTAATTAACAAACTCATTACATTACACAGAAAACACTGGAGACAGTCACTGACATATCTCAGGGCATAAAACAACCCCATTATATCACACAGAAAACACTGGAGACAGTCACTGACATATCTCAGGGCATAAAACAAGGTAATTGACAACCCCATTACATCACACAGAAAACACTGGAGACAGTTACTGACATATCTCAGGGCATAAAACAACCCCATTATATCACACAGAAAACACTGGAGACAGTTACTGACATATCTCAGGACATAAAACAACCCCATTACATCACACAGAAAACACTGGAGACAGTCACTGACATATCTCAGGGCATAAAACAAGGTAATTGACAACCCCATTACATCACACAGAAAACACTGGAGACAGTTACTGACATATCTCAGGACATAAAACAACCCCATTACATCACACAGAAAACACTGGAGACAGTTACTGACATATCTCAGGGCATAAAACAACCCCATTACATCACACAGAAAACACTGGAGACAGTCACTGACATATCTCAGGGCATAAAACAAGGTAATTGACAACCCCATTACATCACACAGAAAACACTGGAGACAGTTACTGTCATATCTCATGGCATAAAACAACCCCATTACATCACACAGAAAACACTGGAGACAGTCACTGACATATCTCAGGGCATAAAACCAGGTAATTGACAACCCCATTACATCACACAGAAAACACTGGAGACAGTCACTGACATATCTCAGGACATAAAACAACCCCATTACATCACACAGAAAACACTGGAGACAGTTACTGTCATATCTCAGGGCATAAAACAACCCCATTACATCACACAGAAAACACTGGAGACAGTCACTGACATATCTCAGGGCATAAAACCAGGTAATTGACAACCCCATTACATCACACAGAAAACACTGGAGACAGTCACTGACATATCTCAGGACATAAAACAACCCCATTACATTACACAGAAAACACTGGAGACAGTCACTGACATATCTCAGGGCATAAAACAACCCCATTATATCACACAGAAAACACTGGAGACAGTCACTGACATATCTCAGGGCATAAAACAACCCCATTATATCACACAGAAAACACTGGAGACAGTCACTGACATATCTCAGGGCATAAAACAACCCCATTATATCACACAGAAAACACTGGAGACAGTCACTGACATATCTCAGGACATAAAACAAGGTAATTAACAACCAACCTCATCTAGCTGACGATTCTGCTCCCTAAGTTGTGCTTCTAAACGGTTGGTCAGGTCGTTCAACCTTTGGCGCTCCTGATCATTGTCATCTTGTTGTTTGGCGAGTCTTTCCTGTAGGACTGAAAAAAGAGGTAGCCTATAACAACATTCATTTTTTTTGTTTGGCCCAATTTTTATTGACACCTGATTTCATGGATAACTATACCCCCCCCTCTTCCCTCTGAAAATTAATGACTGTACAGTACACTAAGTAAAAGATAGAGTCACTTATACGTTGTAAGTCACATCCCTTCTCTAGATCTTACATTCGGGCTACAGCCACGATCAAATACACTTAGTGTAAATCTAATATGTCTGATTATTGCAGTTAAACCTTTTTCTTAAAGTGCAGTCTATTACTATAATTACTCAGGATACTCTGTACACTACGAAGCAAAATACAAAGCATGGTTTAATGGCTTTAGTCCTACAGGTGGGACAAGAGAGGTAAGTAAACCTGTCTTTAACGATTGAATTTTGACTGTCAGTATATAAGATATTGAGGGAACTCCTTGCCCCACTTCCCTACTTACATGTAAACATGTCTCCTCGTCAGTGACAAACACATCCCCCAGGATACTTACTGCGAAGCTGCTCGTCCTTTGATCTGGTGATGATCTCCCGTTCATCCAGACCCTGACTATGCCAGCTATTGACCTTCATTTGGAGCTCTCCAAGGTCACGAGCATTATTTTCAATCAGTGTCACAGCTGCCACTAATGACCTGTAACAGGAATACACTATCCTTACTGAAAACTGGAGTTTACACCTGTCTTCAGTGATCAGATATAATGTCTTTCTATTGTAATTATTGACTTAAAGTGATCATGGTTTTGAGATACTAATTGTGAAAAACAAAGAATAAGTTATACTCTAGGAGATATGGTACAGATATAGTCACCTACTTCCTGGTTTTTTAACTACTGTGACCTACTTTGTAGTATCATGAGAAGTGGCGGCAGCCTCTATTTGTTGGTCCTTGGCCTGCTTCAGTCGTTGCAAAGAATTGTTGTGGTCCTCTTTTAATTCTGCTAGAACTTTTCTGTAAAGCACAAACATTTTTTTCATTCATTCATAGAATATTTTACCTAAATAATATAAAGAAATCATCAGCTGAGGTATTTTAAAATTCCTGATTAACCTTCACCAACAGTTTGCTGGACTTCCTTACCAATTTGTTATTTGTTCAAATCCTTGTCTCCACAAATGCTAATGATTGTCTAATGTTCTAAAAATTACCTGCAAATCTAAATAATATTTACCTGTAAGTCTGTAATATTTACCTGTAAGTCTGTCTAATATTTACCTGTAAGTCTGTAATATTTACCTGTAAGTCTGTCTAATATTTACTTGTAAGTCTGTCTAATATTTACCTGTAAGTCTGTCTAATATTTACTTGTAAGTTTGTCTTATATTTACATGTAAATCTTTCTTATATTTACCTGTAAGTCTGTCTAATATTTACCTGTAAATCTGTCTTAAATTAACCTGTAAATCTATCTAATATTTACCTGTAAGTCTGTCTAATATTTACCTGTAAGTCTGTCTAATATTTACTTGTAAGTCTGTCTAATATTTACCTGTAAGTCTGTCTAATATTTACTTGTAAGTTTGTCTTATATTTACATGTAAATCTTTCTTATATTTACCTGTAAATCTGTCTAATATTTACCTGTAAGTCTGTCTTAAATTAACCTGTAAATCTATCTAATATTTACCTGTATGTCTGTCTAATATTAACCTGTAAATCTGTCTTATATTTACCTGTAAATCTCCCCGTGGGAGTGTGTTTTATATTTACTTGAGAGTCTATTTCACATTTAGACTTTACCTGTGTGTTTGTTTGACCTTTTCTAATTCTTCTGCACGGTCACGCTCCAGCTCCTCTATCCTGCGATACAGCTGAGTGTTTATGTTGGACTTTTCCTCCTCTAAACTCCTTATACGAGACGTGTGCTGATTCAACATCTGGCTATTTTCTTCCTTCAATCTTCAGATTAATCATAACAAAAATAGAAATTATACCTACTTGTCTACTTTAAATATACATGTCTACTATAAACATACCTGTCTACTATAAATATACCTGTCTACTATAAATATACCTGTCTACTATAAACATACCTGTCTACTATAAATATACCTGTCTACTTGCTGTCTACTATAAATATACCTGTCTACTATAAACATACCTGTATACTATAAACATACCTGTCTACTATAAACATACCTGTCTACTATAAACATACCTGTCTACTATAAACATACCTGTCTACTATAAACATACCTGTCTACCTGTCTACTATAAACATACCTGTCTACTATAAACATACCTGTCTACTATAAACATACCTGTCTACTATAAATATACCTGTCTACTATAAACATACCTGTCTACTATAAATATACCTGTCTACTATAAATATACCTGTCTACTATAAACATACCTGTCTACTTTAAATATACCTGTCTACTATAAACATACCTGTCTACTTTAAATATACCTGTCTACTATTAACATACATGTCTAATATAAATATACCTGTCTAATTTAAATATACCTGTCCACTACAAATATACCTGTCTACTATAAGCATACCTGTCTACTATAAAAATTCCTGTCCACTATAAACATACCTGTCTACTATAAACTTACCTGTCTACTATAAATATACCTGTCTAATTTAAATATACCTGTCCACTACAAATATACCTGTCTACTATAAGCATACCTGTCTACTATAAAAATTCCTGTCTACTATAAACATACCTGTCTACTATAAACTTACCTGTCTACTGTAACCATACCTGTCCACTATAAATATACCTGCCTACTATAAACATACCTGTCTACTATAAATATACATGTCTACTATAAACATACCTGTCTACTATAAATATACATGTCTACTATAAACATACTTGTCTACTTTAAATATACCTATCCACTCTAAACCTACCTGTCTACTATAAACTTACCTGTCTACTGTAACCATACCTGTCTACTATAAACATACCTGTCTACTATAAACCTACCTGTCTACTATAAACATACCTGTCTACTATGAACTTACCTGTCTACTATAAACATACCTGTCTACTATAAACATACCTGTCTACTATAAACATACCTGTCTACTATTAACATACCTGTCTACTATAAACATACCTGTCTACTATAAACATACCTGTCTACTATAAACATACCTGTCTACTATAAACATACCTGTCTACTATACTTTTGTTGGTTTCTTCTATATGTTTCATTCTGCTCCTGTAACAATAAATTTTTACTTTATTTACAGTGTATTGTCTAATACAGAAACATATCAGTGTACATATATAATATATAGAAGAGATATGAGTAATTCTGATTGTTAATTAGTGTTAATGAACAGGAAAAAACATTCTCTTGAATTCTTGTGAAACAGACTAGACTAGATAGTATGAATTCAAAAGTAGGCTTCTTGGTCTTTTAATGGATGATATAAAAAAAACAGATGGCCGCAAGTTGTTTCTGCCAAGTATAGGATGTACATTTAGGTAGCTTATCTTCAGTGAAGGTAACTTCAAAGTTGTTTGTTCTTATCAATTGTGTGATTAATAAAATATATAAACACACACACACCCAGATCCCAGTTAAGTATATATATGGTTATACAACACAGATCCCAGTTAAGTATATATATGGTTATACAACACAGATCCCAGTTGACTATTACTCAGCTGGAGTGAACATGTCATTTACTTTATTTTTACTATAAAGATACAGCGTTGACTATAGGAATCTTTTTAAAGCTTGTCACAGACTAATACTTTATATGACATAAAACCTTTTATGGCTGATAGTTATGGTCTTTAATGTTTTACTTAATATGTACCAGGTGATACTCACTTGTAAGAATTTTCCACAGCTTCTATTTCCTCCTCGGAACGACGCTTTGTTGAATCAAGAATTGACTGAACATAATCCCTCTCAATCTCAAGCTTTCGAATCTACCATTCATAAAAGAAATAAACAAATACAAAAAAAATAAATAAAAAAAAGCTTTAGAATAAAAATATACATATAAATTTACATATCAAGTTATTTTTGTACTCAGCAAATGCTTAAAACGTAACTGTTTAGTATTTACTTAGGCATATGCCTGTTAAACATGCTATGAATTCATGTGAAAATACCTAACAAAAACTTATTCACAAATTTCTTACGACCTACATGATTCATTACTTAAATGTTTCAGGATTCCGCCTTGACTTTGAGAAATGTGAGTTGACCTTTGACTACAACTTGACTTGAGGGACACTTCCCTATCATAATCTCAGCCTTGACTTTGTAGAATGTTTACTTACATGAGCCTCAGCCTTGACCTTATAGATTGTTAACTTACATGAGCCTCAGCCTTGACCTTATAGATTGTTTACTTACATGAGCCTCAGCCTTGACCTTATAGATTGTTTACTTACACAAGCCTCAGCCTTGACCTTATAGATTGTTTACTTACATAAGCCTCAGCCTTGACCTTATAGACTGTTTACTTACACAAGCTTCAGCCTTGACTTTATAAATTGTTTATTTACATGAGCCTCAGCCTTGACCTTAGAGATTGTTTACTTACATGAGCCTCAGCCTTGACCTTAGAGATTGTTTACTTACACGAGCCTCAGCCTTGACCTTAGAGATTGTTTACTTACACGAGCCTCAGCCTTGACCTTATAGATTGTTTACTTACATGAGCCTCAGCCTTGACCTTATAGATTGTTAACTTACATGAGCCTCAGCCTTGACCTTAGAGATTGTTTACTTACACGAGCCTCAGCTTCCATTAGAGACTTTGGAGGATCTGTCAACATCACACTGGTCCCTACACCCAAACCCATCAATGGGGAAATTCCAGGCATAGATGGCGCACCTGATACTGGTGTCTACAATACAAATTTATTAGCTCAAAAAGACTAAATCATACTTCAACTGAATCATTTTAATTCAGAAATTTTCAGAAGAAAGTTTGTTGGTATCTATTTCTCCTCGGCTTTAATATATCAGAACAAACATCTATAAAACTATTACAAACAATACAAAACAGAGAAATGTTGGCCACAGAGACGATGGCTGACCTTGAGTGAAGTTTCATATTGTTTCTGGAGGTCTGACATCATCTGCTGCAGTTGTGACTGTTGTTGAATGAAATTCTGTTGTAATGCTGACTGCTGTTGTTGTTGTAAAGCTGCCTGTTGTTGTTGTTGTTGCTGTTGTAACACTGCCTGTTGTTGTTGCTGTAATGCTGCCGGTTGTTGAATGTTCACTTGTTGGTGTAGCTGCATTGCAGCTTGTTGTTGCTGCTGTACCATGGTTTGTTGTTGACCTATGACCTCTTGCTGGGCAGGTAGTTGATGGAAGGAGTTCTGGGGAGTGTGAACATAAGGATACTGCTTAAAGATGGACATTCAAACATGAAACAAGTATGAAGAACTTCAACATTCCATCCTTAAACTGCGATCAGTTTCACCTTCACAACTTTAGAATTCTTAATAGGAACATTGATATCTTAGGCATAATGTTACAAAGCTAACAAACCTTAGACTGAGGCCAAAAACATTAAGACTGGGCCAATAAGGATTAAACCTTAGAATGAGGCCAAAAACATTTAGACTGGGACAATAAGGATTAAACCTAAGACTGAGGCCAAAAACATTTAGACTGGGACAATAAGGATCAAACCTTAGACTGAGGCCAAAAACATTTAGACTGGGACAATAAGGATTAAACCTTAGAATGAGGCCAAAAACATTTAGACTGGGACAATAAGGATCAAACCTTCGACTGAGGCCAAAAACATTTAGACTGGGACAATAAGGATCAAACCTTAGACTGAGGCCAAAAACATTTAGACTGGGACAATAAGGATTAAACCTAAGACTGAGGCCAAAAACATTTAGACTGGGACAATAAGGATTAAACCTAAGACTGAGGCCAAAAACATTTAGACTGGGACAATAAGGATCAAACCTTCGAATGAGGCCAAAAACATTTAGACTGGGACAATAAGGATTAAACCTTAGAATGAGGCCAAAAACATTTAGACTGGGACAATAAGGATCAAACCTTCGACTGAGGCCAAAAACATTTAGACTGGGACAATAAGGATCAAACCTTAGACTGAGGCCAAAAACATTTAGACTGGGACAATAAGGATCAAACCTTCGACTGAGGCCAAAAACATTTAGATTGGGACAATAAGTATCAAACCTTAGACTGAGGCCAAAAACATTTAGACTGGGACAATAAGGATCAAACCTTAGACTGAGGCCAAAAACATTTAGACTGGGACAATAAGGATTAAACCTAAGACTGAGGCCAAAAACATTTAGACTGGGACAATAAGTATCAAACCTTAGAATGAGGCCAAAAACATTTAGACTGGGACAATAAGTATCAAACCTTCGACTGAGGCCAAAAACATTTAGACTGGGACAATAAGGATTAAACCTTAGACTGAGGCCAAAAACATTTAGACTGGGACAATAAGGATCAAACCTTCGAATGAGGCCAAAAACATTTAGACTGGGACAATTAGTATCAAATCTTATACTGAGACCAAAAACATCAACATTTAGACTAGTGATAAAACAAGGGCAGTCAGAGACAGTTTATAGTCCAAAATTTAAGTATGAAAAATAACACAGGGCAATAACTCCTTAATCATGCAAAAAAGAGTGATGGTTCTTGTGCACATCATTTTTCTTCCTTCAGTGAGCATAAATATCAAAAGACTCAGTAGTTCAACATGCACCAGGAAACTCAAGTTGTTCCTTGGAAACCATTTTATTCCATCTATAATATGAATGACCTCTAAGTTTTCACCATCAGACCTGTCTGTCAAATTCTGCAAGCACTTTCAGTAAAGTAAAGAATGATGTTTGAAATTGAAGGGCTAAGAAAACTAATTGAAGTTAAGCACAAAAATCTTTGTTTACTGACAAGGTCAACGCCAGCTTAGTGATCCATACACATCCTGTATAGTCTAAGTAAAAAGTCTACATGTGTAAAAGTTTGTTGTCATAGATCTATATATCTATATCACATTTACCTGTAGATCAGCCTGACCTTGAGGCACTGTTACTGACTCACTTCCTCTCCTACTTTTGTCAAAACTGAAGAAGTCAGTCTGAACAGCAGTGTCTGGTGACTTCTGTTGGGGTGAACCAAAATAATCAGTGTCATTGTCCAGCTTTCCCAGCTGACCAATTTGTGAGGAGAGGGGGACCCTTGGGCTCCCTAGTGACAGCATGGTTTCCTCTTCAGCGACTGTTAATAACAATTGTAATTCTGTATCAAATTACTGGGCACACTCACCTGTTTTGAAACTTAACAGTAACAGAATTTCCTACTTTCAGTTTTATAACTGAATATTTTCACAGGTTTTAAAGATAATATCTGAATTGAAAGAATTTCTATAATAAGTAAAAGATTTTTTTGAAACTAGTGCAAGCCTTTCTAATTATACAGCAACAAACTAAAATTTTCAGTGACAAATCAATCTTTACTGTGACAAACTTGGCTCATCAGTGACAAACTTTGCTAATAACCAATTGAACCTTTCTAGTGACAAACCAAACTTGAATGGTAAACAGAAAAGTTGTCATAAAAATTTTGCAATGTTATAAATACTAAGTACAATGTATTGTAAAAGAACAATAGAGAATGGTCTACAATACACCTCAAGCAACAAGCATACCTTTCTGACGGTCTGGTTTTGGTGGTAGTCCACGATCAAAAAACGGAGAACTGAGAATCAAATCAATCAAAAATTATCCACTGAAATTATTTTAATGTAGACATGGTAAAGGTTTGATCATTTACAACTGCTCTGGATGAAAACAAATACATTGAACTCTGAAGAGAGTTGCAATGTCATGTTGGGGAAAAAGTATTTTAAAATCATATCCAACATTTTCTCAAATAAAATGATTTAAAGACATTGCTTTCTTTAGAACAATTTTCATAACTCTTTATAGAAATTTGAAGTAATGTTCTAATTTCTGATTTTGTTTTCTATTGTTGATGTTTCCAAAGTGATCTTACTGTAGGTAATCTTGTCCTATGATACATCTTGGTGAAATTGTCAGATTTTAAGTCCTTTCAAAAATTACAGTTGGTAAATTAATTCTTCAAATCAAGCTTTACTCCCATTTTCCAAATTTCAAGGTAGAATTAATTCATGAATAGCTTATAAAAACCTATGTTCAGCCTAAAAGGATTTTTTGAACTCATTCAAAAAAAAAAAGGAACTTTCTTTTTTGTCAGATTTGACATTTGTGTAGACTTAAAAAAACTGATTTAGAATGGACACATCAAGTAGATACCTTTTTTCTGGTTTTGAAGGACCAGTGGAGAAAAGGTCTGCCATTTTCTCAGAGTTTCTATCGGCTCCACCAAATGTTGGCACTTTTGTTTTAGATCTGTAAATCAACATTTTATTACAGAAAGCTGCACTTGACAAATCAGTGATTGCCAAAATAGACAGAGTAGACATCCCTCATCCCAAACAGAACATTAACTGGTTATACCTCAACTTTGTATAAAAGGTTTCCAGGAACCATTTCAGAGCCCTTACACATCAACATTGAGAATATTTTTCCTCAGCTTGAAGCAATTATTCATTTCTCAAAAACAACACTTTCCTAAACGAAAATATAAAATAAAATCCCTTGAAATCAAATCTATCAAAAAGTCTTTATCTCCATTTTCTACACATCACCAGAGAGACCAACCAGACTTACTTTAGGAGTGAGTCTGGATCAATCTCTTTCCCCAGCCCTAGGTAATCATCTCCTCCACTGTCCATCCAGCTTTCCTGCTGTTTCAAGTCCTTCCCTTCCTTCTTTTTCTGTTGGAAGTCAGTCACAGACAACTTTGTGTCCTCCCTGGGCTCTGATGGTGGACTGACATCAGCCATGAAGGCAGGATCGTCAGCCATATTGTCCTGTTTCAGTTTCTCCAGCCAGTCCATCGGATCGGATTTGTTGACAAACTTCTCCTGTTGAGGCTTAGATGGCCCAGTGTTGTCAATAGTAGGCTTAGATTTTTCTGTTGTGGTTGGTTTGGGAGTAGACTTCTCAGGAGTGGTAGGTTTTATGGCTGGCTTACTGACAGTCATGTCCAACCAGTCCATGTCATCCGGCTTCTTTGTGGCTGGGGATCGTCCCCGAGAGGGAGGACGTTCACTTATACCAAAGATGTCATCCTCATCTTGGAATCTAAATGTGAATGATATTAAAAGATAATACCTAGATTATTGAACAGTATCAAAAATTAATGAAATTTTATGTTTGTGGCAAATCAGATCAGTAAGTCACACATTCCCTTACCAGGTCAATAAGCTTTAAATTATGTTACCAGATCAATTTGTCACAAATACTTTTTACCACTCTGATATAAAAAAAAAGAAGAAAGACCATTTTACATAAGCCTGGTAAAGTTAGACGTTAATGTTTTGAGCTCCATTATTATGGTAATGACTTTCTATTATGTTCTGTATTGTGAAGTCTGTGGATTGTTTGGAGACACTGACCGAACAGATCGACGTGAGTTAGGCCGGGATCCCTGAGTGGATGCAGCTGAGGGCTGGTAGGCTCCAAATAGAAAGTCATCCTCTTCATCTGCATATTTAAAATTTTAATATTGCACTTCCCATAAGGAGACACTTACATTCTTAACATCAGGAAAACAAACATTTTGACACTGACATCAAGAACATTATGTTATTGAGAATAGAAATGTTTGTTACGGTTAATGAACAGTATTTATGATTAATGATGTGACTGAAATGTGTCTGAAATATTTTGAAGCAAAAAAAAACATATAAATACTTTTCACTTAGAAGGATTCCCTGTAAAGATTCCACAAGCATTGACTACCAACCTTCAGCATTTTTAGTGTATTTTTTATCCAGGACAAACTCTCGTCTTTCTTTGTTGGTATCCAAGTGCTTGGAGACTGTATCTTTACCAAGAAGTTTATCAAAAATCGCCTTGGCTGGCTGGCCATCCTCTTCACTGTGTACAGAGCGAGCCTTGTCGACAGGTTTGGTTGGCTTGTCATCGATACCTAAATCTCCCAGGAGGTCATCATCATCATCACTAAACAGACCTGCATCGGATTTCCGTCTGGCTGGTAAAGGATCTTTTTTGATAGGAGTAGGATCGTCTCTTCTCACCACTTCCTCCTTACGAGGAGAGACTGCCAACCAAACAGAATGATACATACATCTTCATATTACTGATATATTACTGTGTGACTAAACTACGTTATCAAAAGGTAAAGATGACTGTCTTTAATCAAAGATGTAGACTAGTTTTAACACTTAGTCATCATCCTGAGAGCCAATCAACCAGGCCAGCTGTTGTCATGGCCATCTTTACATGTTGATAACACTATTTTAAGGCTGGACTCTTGTATTTCCTGTGAAATCCATCAGCTGGGCATCACAGAACATTACTGCACACTTTAAGTAAACATTTCTTGTAGATTATATAGTTACAATCAGTTAAGGATTTATTTGCAGTAGTTTTGGAGTGTTTACATATTTTTTCTTTTATTCAGATAATTTTACATGTTTAATTACACAGCTTCCTGTAATGGAGATTTGTAATGTTGAGATACCACTATTGAGATCAATATTACCATTTAACTTCAGAATGAGATGGTTACATATGGCACAGTTACTGAGTTCTATTGTTATAAAATATTATCAGACTTGTGTGGTATATGAGCTGACCTGGTTTGGGTATTTCTTCTATGACTGGTTCAGACTTAGAAACACCACTCCTGGTAGGTGGTCGGTCATACACATTCCGTCTTGGAGTTTCTACTAAAAACAAGCATGATAGATTTTAACCAACAACGCCAAAAAAAATTTAAGAAATATTAGCTACATTAATGTATATATATTAGTGATTAAGGACAGATACAAACAAGGGGTTTATACCAAAAGGAAATAAAACTGTTCCTGTACAAGAACACCATTCTCCAACTTATAATCAGGATTAGGAGACCAAACATTATAATGGAAGACATACTAACCCTGCTCCTTCTCAGCAGGTGAGGGTGTGTCCTCCAAGGACCTCTGTTTTTTCAGTACTGACTTTTTTGGCTTCGCTGCCCAGGAAGCTGAATCATCTTCATCACTGATAAGGCCTGCCAGTGGGTCATCCTCATTAAACTCTGCACAATCACATATATCATCAGATCTATGTCAACACATGTTACTGTCACAAATCAAGTAAATACATCATAAAATCTTGTTAACTATGGACAAAGTGTAACAGAAAGATCAGATGATTGTTAGTGAAACATTTACCCCCAGTGATAAGAAATAGGTCCAAACTTTACTTAATGCTTCTATGTATCAGAGTACCTACCTCCAAAGTCATACTTTGCCTTAGCTTTAGGAACAGTTCCTGGTCTTTCATTTGAATGGACACCAGGCTTGAGAGACTCCGATGCAGAGCCAATATCTAAAAGATTAAAAAATTAAATAAAAAAAAATTATTCGTGGACATTAATGAAAATTACATCTAGCTTACAGGGAAATATTTTCATTTCATAATCACAGTAATTTCAAAGTTGATAAACAATATGGAAGATTTGGAATGTCTTTGAGGTATTGTGGAACTAGTAAGTGGTTACAATGTAGTCGGGTGATATAGGCACATTTAAAACTTTCCCTAGAACAGGTTAAATGGTTCTTTTGATGGACTGTGGCGAACAGGAACATCATGGCTCACTATTTCACAGAGAGACAAAAAAAGTTCCAGTGAAGTGGTATAATCCCTGTAATACCAAAATGATAACATGGAAAATGTCTCAAAATACCGAGTACAGAATGTTCTCATGGTCAAGATTGATATATCTGTGAACTAAACCCAATCAGAGGCAACAATCACAAGTTACAGACATTACTATGTCATTTGTTCAATTCTATACAATTACTTAAATAAAGATGTATACATCTGTTATCATACCACACACAGGTATTTGTACCTACCTATTATCATACCACACGCAGGTATTTGTACCTACCTATTATTTTACCACACACAGGTATTTGTACCTACCTGTCATTTTACAATACACAGGTATTTGTACCTACCTGTCATTTTACCAGGTGCAGTGCCAGGCTTGTAGTCTGGTACAGGTGCTGGTGAAAAAGAACTGGAAGTTGCAGCTGCTGCAGTTCGTCTTTTACCACTGCCTGTACGTGAGCTAGATATCCCTGTGGGACTTGTAGGTGTTTCTGTCCTGGTCGGAGAGGTGACACGGGCTGATGCAGAAATGCCTCTGTTAGGCCCTGTTGGAGAGGTCACTCTGGCCTGTGGTGATGTGGCCCTGGGGGTGGTGTTACGAGCTGACCTAGGGGTACTACCCCGTCTTGGGGTGTTGGGTTTGCTGGATCTATCACTTGTTCCCTTAATGCTACCTTTTTTTTTAATGGACCCACCAAAGAGGTCAGCATCCATGTCTTCAAGATCCTAGAGAAAAAAATGACACATCCTCAAATATCTCCATGGCAAAATGGGCAAATGCCTGGCACATCCTCATTACAGAAAATCTCAAGGTCAGAATGGGGAAATCCCTGACAGAAAATCTCAAGGTCAGAATGGAGAAATCCCTGACAGAAAATCTCAAGGTCAGAATGGGGATCTCCCTGACAGAAAATCTCAAGCTCAGAATGGAGAAATCCCTGACAGAAAATCTCAAGGTCAGAATGGAGAAATCCCTGACACAGTGAAAACAGCAATGAGTAAAATCAACAGGTGATAGTCAACATTATGTTCAGGTGAAATCAGCAGGGCACGGATAGTCTTTTACAACATTCTAGACCCTATCTAACAATAACTTAATTACCATACCTTCACAAGACTGTTGTTTAATTGAGTGTGACAAGTGTGTTGATTATTGATATAAATGATTGTTCATGCATATCACGTCCACTTACCACCTGTCACCCACTCCATCAAATTTATAAAAAAAATCAATAATGAAGCAAATAGGCAGTTGATTATCCCCTTGTATCACTCATCTGATATGGTTTAGTAAAAGATGCTTCATCTAAACAAATATCCATTTTTTCCTATCAGGCACTAACCCTCAGGAAGTCAGACCCACACTTAAACATTCATCCAATAAGGATTGTTCTGGCTAAATTTGGTCAAAATATCTTCAACCAAATAAAAGAAATATTTTCCTCTTTCTTGCCTTCTTGGCCCCACCCCTCAGGCCCCAGAGAGATCAGACCCATCATTTAAATAAAACTAAATTCCTTTCCATGTTAGAAGCTCTGGCCCAAATTTAACCTAAATACTTTTGTCCACAACAGAAGAAAAACTCTTCCTCTATTTTCCTCTACTGGGCCCCATCCCTCTGGCCCCTTCAGGGTCAGACCTACAATTTATCAGAATTGAATCCCTTTCATCTATGAATGCTTCAGTCTAAATCTGCACAAAATACAATAATTCTTACAGAAAAAGGATTTTAAAAAATGTATTTTCTGGTGTTGGTCTCATCCCTTAGGCCTCTGGATCATTCAGACCAAATTTGGACATTATCCTGTCATTCCTTCAGAAGACACCTTTTAAGGAATTTACTACATTGATTCCCATATTTAGTGTTGCCCCTATGACCATGGAAGTTTGGCCCCGTCATTAGCCATTACTGGCCACCTGACTGACATAAAAGTAAAGCTAGTTAAAACTTACAGCAATGCTCTTCACCACCTGATTGACATAAAAGTAATGCTAGTTAAAACTTACAGCAATGCTCTTTGCCACCTGATTGACATCTGCTTCTGATACGTCAGACAAATCATCCTCGGCTGTGGCTGCCAGGTTACTGTAGAAGTCATCATCCCTGGTAACAACGATAACAAAATATTACATTTCTAGGTTTGATAAGATCAGCTGCTGTAAATTGGGCACATGTAGCTGATCCAAAAATCTTCTGTGTTACAATAACTAACACTTCACTTTGTATAACAAATGGCATGCCAATGATCAGACCACCAATAGGACTGTTGTATAACAAATGGCATGCCAATGATCAGACCACCAATAGGACTGTTGTATAACAAATGGCATGCCAATGATCAGACCACCAATAGGACTGTATTTAGAATGGTGACCATCTGTTTTCCAATTTACTGATTGAAAAACAAGATGTATTAAGGAAACTCTATGGAGTGGGACATTAAAACTGTACTGTGTAAGTCTAACTGCATGCACACCTTGTGAAATACTATGTCTTCATTGTGGTAATGATTTGATATTATTTTCAAATGTAGGTCAAAGGTCACATGGTCAAAAATATTGGTACCATTAGAAAGGTTTTGTCACAAGGAACACATGTTAAATATGAAATCCCTACCTCTTATGTTGTTATAGTTATGGACAAGGTTAGAGTTGACAACAGCCAAACAGACAACACAAAACAATAGGCCCCAGAACTTTCAATCCCGTGGCACAATAAATTTTGCAAGATACCTAGGTGTTCTTTACTACAACAAGTATAATTACCTTTGTCTTTTATTGGCTTTGATTGTTGGTGGTGATACCTAAAATATGTATAAAGGTTTGTCATCAATTTATGTATCAAATATTTAAAAAGTTTATTACAGCAGTAGTATATTAAATTACCTTAATTAATATAAAAAAATAAATCAAGAGATTAAGACAAAACAAATTTCTATTTCCTTCACTAAGTATCATGATGTGTAATACATCAATATCAAGTCATACAAGACTTAAAAAACTTACGTTTGAAGTGACTTTCTTCTTTGGCACATCTGTGAAAGTAAACAAAAACATTGAGTTTATTGATGCTTGTACAACAAGTCCAGGGTTTTTCTTTCGCCTTGATTTTAGATTGCATTGGTTAACATGAAAATATTTGCATCTGTGTCTTTTTTCTATTGACCTGTCTAAACAAGTTGTCTACAAAGTACACTGCTTTTCTTTGTGAAAACCAAAGGGCATTACTACTGTTTACATGTACAACAAATCAGTAACTCCAGATTTACAAAACATACCATCATCTAGGAGATCCCCCAGAAGATCATCTAATCCACTTCCTTTGGCTTCTGCAAAATGAAAACATAGAATCTCTAATCATTTTCAACAGAAATATTCATGGTTTAAATTTTCATAATTTTACAAAATGCTTCAAGTGGAAAGTGAATGATCTACACAGAAGAAAAATAAACATATAAATCAAATTATGATTACAAAAAACTGATTTTTTTTTCAAAAAAGTATTTTTTTCCTAACTTCAGATTTTGTCACACTGACTATAATGCCTGATATATGATACACTAGTAACAACAGTGGCAGTACATGTAGTAAGAAACATTATGGAATATTTGAGCAATAAGGGCAAAAACACTCTTCATTTCAGTTTTCAACATTCCCAAAATATTTTTTGACAAATGGCATCAGTGGAACTAGTTCCAAATGTGTTTTTTTCAAGATGGCTGCCATGACAGCCATTTTGAATTTATGACCCTCACAAAAAAATAACAACATTTATTCAAGACCATCTCAGGACCATTTAAAGCTCAATCTCATTGATGGAACTTGAGAAGAAGTTCAAATAAGGTATTTGTCAGCTTCCCTTCCTTAACCTTTATGCCATTTTTTCAGCTCCTGGGCAAGTTTCAAAAGTGTTTTTGAAAATGACAGTCATATTGGATTTTGAACCACAAAAATTTAGAGCACTTGCTCTGGACCATCTCATGATTATTTCAGGTACTGGTAAGTCTTAACTCAATTCATGCATACCATCAAAACTGTCATCCTATACTGACAATTCTTATAAAGTTATTTGCAGTGGGAAATAACCGAAGTTATGTTCAAAAATGCTATTTTTCTATGAAAGTTACAGTAAAGTCTAAAAAACATTCTTTCCCACAAAACATGTAAGATTCATTTTGGTAATTAAAGATGCTTCTATTCATGAAGAGCATTTGATTCTACCAGGGGTCAGTCAGGATCAACATGGCCATACAATCATGCGTCACCCTTCACCTATAATTCTAACCAAGTTTGAAATATTTTCAATGGAAATTAAATACATTATTCTCAAAAATCTAGTTTTCCTATATAAACTATTGTAAACTTTACCCCTCCCCATGGGGAAATGTGAGACCCTGGGGCCATGAAATTCACAATTTTGGTAAAGCACCTTAAGATGCTTCCATTCATAAAAGTATTTGATACTACCATAGCTGGGTATTGAGAAGAAGATTATTGAAATTTAAGTCAATTTGACCCCTTTTGGCCCCGCCCATCAGCCCCTGGAGAGTGAATACCAAATATATCTTTCACTTGTATGACAGAATATACCGATATTATTACGGATGCTGCTCATATTCATCAAAAACATCCATATTTTGTTATACTCATGATACGATATTCAATGGAAAATCATAATAATATTATTTTAATGCATACAGAATGGTAATATTAATCAAGTGTTACCATAGAAGATAAGTTTTTATACTGATCAACAAAAACACATATTCACTAAATATATTGGTTGGTAACACTTTTGGACACACCAACCATCTGACCAGGGCTATGTCTAGGGTGTATGAAACGTTATTTCCAAGACCGCTGGGCAATGCATAGATTTCTTTTTGACTAAAGCCGTATAGAGTATACAAGTATCACAGGTCTTTCACTTTACTGAAATATTTTCACTATATAATGTTTTTTTCCTTTGGATATGTGATTGGTTTGGAAAAGTTCCACTCTATGTCCTCTAAATACTGATCAGTTTTCATCCTTATTCTTTCTATAAATGTAGAGAACATCACTTACTACTTGATTTCTTGCTTCCAGATGAATTACCAGGTGTCCATTTCTAAAAGTACAGAAAGCAAAATAGAATGCAAACTTAAGTTAGAGACATATATATTGAGAGCAAAAGGGATAAGAAAATTATATAATTCAGCAATCACTTCTGTGTTTGTTCTCCAACAGTTAAGTGACTGAAGCCTCTTTTCCATAAATTAAATGTTGGCAGGGTTTATCATCCAATGAACAGTCAGGATCATTTGGAGGTGGAACCTCCTCGTAGTAGCTAGTGGCTACCTAACTCAACAACATAAGGGTGACCCATGGCATGCCTTTAACAGCAATTCATTAATTAGTGTAAAGTGTCTAATTACCAAAAGACACAACAATGACAGACTAGGAGCTTCCTGAGAAACACATAAACCAATACAGTGAAGAAACATATATATGCACCTTGGATCTTCATTTGAAGATAAGTGGCCAGCGCTTTATGGTACCACCTGAGCTGTCATGACCCCTCAATTTCCTAGGGCCCATGACTTAAATATGTGAAAATGACCAAGTTTTTCATTGAAATTGAAAAGATTTGTTGAGTACTTCAGATGAAAACTAACACATAATAAAGGACAAATGACATTTCTTCACAGTGTTCCCACTCACTTTTCAAAAACTGGGGGTATGAAGTTAAAAAGTGGGGGTATGATTGATGTTATAGGTATATAGGGTCAAATTCCATGTTTCTTTTCAGTTCATATTAGTTAATGTGTTCTTTATGGAATATGAGGATGAGTATGTTTGATTTATTGTTCTAATTTTATTGTTTCACTGAAAATTTTCAAGCATGTTTTGGCAGCGTTCATGTACACCTTTTGTCGTTTTGTCTGAATCGATAGTAGATGATCTTTTGACTGCTGATGTCGCACAAGCAGTGATCTCTGAAAATTTTTGGTTCCTTTACAAAACGGCGAAAATTTACAGTGCGGCATTTCCTTACATAGGGAACAGAACATACCGGAATCTTCTTTTCTCAGCCAATCGAATTCTGACAGCCATTTCTGTTGAAAAGTTTTTGGATATTGTGCCGATGATGTTTTAGTATGTTTTCTTGTTTCAGACGAGCTGTCTATTTCATCATCATCTCTACTTTTTCGTTTGTTTCTGCTAACAGCAGACGATTCCCAAAAGCTATTGAGTGTCACCTGCGCCATTTTGTGTATACATCTATGCATTCGGGTATCTCGGTTCTAGGCATAATCCGCATAAAGCGGCCCGACACGTTCCGAAGGATTATCATAAGTCTGGCGGGTTGAGGGGCAAGAATTAGTGATTCATAAATGTGCGTGAATATTACATATATCTCTGTATTTTCTTACGTGGGAATTTACATTTTAAACGTGAATTACGTACATATGTGCGTGAATGGGAACACTGCTTCATATTCCATTTTTTATGCTACAATGAACAGTATAAAAGGTTTTTATTTCATCAAATTTCACCATTAAGAGTCAAATTAGTAATATCCAACTTAAGAAATGTCATACTCTACTTATAATTAGGCAATTATGAAACAACAAATTCATTTAGATGAGATTCCTTTGATAAGCATCCTAGATTGAAGATTCAGTCCTAGGAGTGGTTATAGGTGTGAACTAAATCCAGAACAAGAATAGTAACATGATGCAGAAGTGATTTGTGTTTAAATGCATGCTACAGCATTTATTAGTAAATGTAACAAATGGCTATTGGAGACATTAAAACAGAATGAAAGTACCAAAAATTGTAATGGTTTACTCTCTAATTTAAGTTATATGTAATAAGTACACCAAATTGTTTATTTCACTTACTTAACTGCTTTTTTTAGACATTTCTTATGTATGCACAGGGTAATCTTGACCGGATGTGGTTCATTGCTTACATCTGTCCTACATGTACAATTATACAGTCCGATAATAAGATTTGTCTCAGATTATGCTGCCAAATTTTGCTTACTACAACCAGTGTTCCAACACCTGATCCTATTCGACATAATACCTTGTAATCAATTGTGAAATAAATTACTTAAACAAATAGAGATTATCACATTTCACAGGTTGGTAGGACATATATTTTCATAATTTATGTGAATTTTCAGTGCATTATCCTCTCAAATGAAAGGATCTCTGTACTGTACTGCAGTAGTTGATAAAATTTCTGATTAAAAAAAAATAGAAAATCTATTGCCAGTGCATCTACCATGTCTACATTTAAAAAGCATAATCAGGTTATTCAAAACCAACATGATAAAGTGATGATAATGGGCTAAATGTAATTTGGAGTAACTAATTACTTTGAAGCAAAACGTAAACAAACTTCGAAATGAACTTATTCAACTTGTATAAACACGAAATGTCAATGCATCGATAATCAAGATAAAAGTGATTTATACATGTATCTTTATCTCATTTAAATACCTATGCGGCAGAAACTTACATTGTCCATTTTGTCTTCGATTGCAGTTCCCAATATCTAATTATAACCGTCCATTTACTCAAGAAATGCACTGAAATGAGTGACTAAGGACGCCTTCCTTTCCACTGGTAGCCGCCATATTTTTCATAGGCCACGTGACTCTCGTAAGAAAAGACGAGAGCCAAACGAGATCACAGTTTCCACAGCAACTACGACGCCATATTCCAACAAAATGACAGGTGAAACGGAAGGAGACAAAGTTGTAATGTCCCCTCCACATATCTATGTGGAGAGGTCATTAGCAATTATAAAGCCCGACGCAGTGCAAAAAGCAGAAGAGATTGAAGATATCATTTTACGATCAGGATTCGCAATTTTACAGGTGAATTCATGACTTGATTATTTATGTTTACATCCGAATATCCTTCCACTGGCACATGCATAACATTAACAAGCATGCCAGTTTCCAGTCGAAATTGAAGATGGCTTTAATTTAATAGGCAACTTTGTCTTATAACTATGACAAGGAAAATGCCATGCTAATGTTTTACATCTAAAATAAATACCATCTGTTTGACACGATAGTGTCGATCTACTTTATTGGAAAGGTATTGTTTTTTTTTATCAATCACTGATCTTCAAATTTAAAATGGTAACTATCCATTCCTTTTTCCAGAGGTGAATTTAGCTTAGAGCATGTCATGAGATACTCATTGTCAAATATTTAATTCGTGGATTGTTATGAAAGACATCATTAGTTCATTAATCTGGTTTTACACCATTGTTATCTGTTCAGGAAACACTACAAGATACGGATAATGTATAGTTATTGATGTTTAATACAAGATTTAGTTTTTATGAGAGTTTGTTAAGACTGACTCAGCATCTCCGTGTTTTTAATCACTAAGATCAGCACCAAGATGTCCAAGTACCTGGTTATTTGTTATAGTATTTCATGGTTTGGTACTGATTCACACAAAAGCAGTTCCAGAATGGTTAACTACCAATGAGTTTTTATAATTCTAAGTTTGAATTTTGATTTTTGAGTGGAAAGAATAAAAGTAAAAACCTCTTTTATAAAGTCCACTTTTTCAATCTTTTGTTGTATAAGTAACCTGCTGAATTTTCACACATATGATGGTATGTTGATAGTCTTAGAAATATTTTCATTGAATGATACCAGACCTAATTAATATTTTTGCTCCCCTCCTGGATTCTTCACTTCAAATTACCACTATCATAATTAAAATGTTCCTCTTTCAGAAAAGAAGAGTACACTTAACACCAGAACAAGCCAGTGATTTCTATGCAGAGCACTATGGAAAGTTGTTTTTCCCTAGTCTCGTGGCTTATATGAGCCATGGTCCCATAATAGCTTTGGTTATTTCAAGAGATAATGCAATCTCTTACTGGAGAGAGCTAATAGGCCCAACCAACACATTGAAGGCTCGACAGACACATCCAGATTGGTAAGGCATCACATGCTCAATATCAGATTCATTCATTAATATATCAAAATGAAAATGTCCTTTTTTTCAATATTATTGAGAGTAAAATTATTCTGTCAACCTTGTCAATTTTTAAGATGCCTTCCTTATTTTCAATCGAAATGAAGCTGGTTCATTTGGTAGGTTTATTGCCCTTGAACAACCAGGGTCATTGTGAGGATAAGGTTTTTTTTCTAGTAGTTGGTGGCTACATCCTACTGTTTTGTCAGAGAGGGCTTTTGAAACATGTTTACAGACAAATTTGTCTTGCCACAAACTGTCTTCTCAATTTCAATTGGAAAAATTGACAGATATACATTTAAAAAAAGAAAAAGTAGACTCGTGTGAAACTATACACAATATGAGCTATCTATATATGCTAATTTTATACCAGGTGCAGATGTAGAAACATCATCATAGATAAATCTTTGACTATATTTAGTCATTGCTTCGTGTTATATTTGTTGATAAAGTTAAAACTTTATTTCCAACAGCTTGAGATCAATTTATGGTACAGATGATCAGAGAAACGCCCTTCATGGAAGTGACAGTTTCACCACTTCTGAAAGAGAAATTAGATTCTTCTTCCCCGATAGTAAGTACAATTTCTTTGCAGCAGATAGGTGTATTTTAGAGAAGGAAATAGACTTGAAATAATATCTTTCATGAAAGTCTCCAGACAATGTTGTTAAAATATTGAAAAAAATGTGGAAATCAAACTTTCATATCATTTGAATGCCACTGCATGTACATATAAATCATTATCATGTAACATATGATAACCATCAAAATTTACATTTATTTGTATCTTTATTGAGTAAAATGCAAATGCAAACTATGTGGTGCAACACATTATTACAGTGGAACTTCTCCAAACTGAACCATACATAGGGACATGAATATTTGGCAAGTTTATGGAGAGTTCAGATATAATTGAATCAATATTGTTCTGTACATTACATTATCAATCATTTGTATTTCAAATATTATGATTATACTCATTAAAATAAAATTCTTATTTCAGGCATAGTTGAACCTGTACCTGTCGGACAGGCAGCGAAGGATTACCTAGCCAAGGCTGTTAACCCCACCCTTCTCAAGGGACTTACAGAACTCTGCAAACAGAAGCCAATTGACCCAGTTGTAAGTTTCAAAATATTTCTTTTTAGATTTTCTTCATTTGTTTATTGGATTTAGAAATGGAAAGTATAGGAAAAGAAATAACATATATTTTTAAAAATACTAAAGGAATTTCATCTTTCTGTTTCATATATGAGTATGAAATATTTAACACTTTACTGTTTTTATACAACCATCAAACATTTTGATGGGATGTATTCTGGTATGGCTTTGTTTGTCTATCCACTGTAAACTTTCCTTTATCCAGAGGTCTCCTCCTACAGTTTTTTAGAAAAAATCTTTTCCAAATTTGGAAGTCTTAATCACCATGATGTGAAGTTGTGTATTAGTGATTAGCAGAAGAGTTACTTCCCTTTGTTTTCATGCTAATCTTGTCTCTCAGTTTTCCACAAATCTCTTTCAAACTGGGTTGGCTTAATCAAATACCATGACATGAAGTTGTGTATTCCTGAATTGCAATTTGATTCACCTGTTTTTATAAGAGTTGCAACCCTCAGTTTTTAGCCAACTTCTTTGAAATATGGTTGGCTTTAAAACTACTTACTGAGACTGAAACACCATTTTAATTTTTTTCGAGAAGTTATTGCCCTTTGTTCTTCTCAGTGGTTTAGTCTTGTCTAGTGTTTTCTTTCCTTTCTCCCATCTCCGTATCATTTATTCTATTATATATAACTCTGTTTTCCAGCTCAACTCATTGTTACAAATTTCAATAGTTGTATCCTTTTCTATTCAATAAATCATGAGTATTTCTTTGACAGGGGACAGTGTATATTGTTTTGCCCCAAAGTACTTGTTTATGTTTAGATCTTTGTTTAACACTTTATTGTTTTTTATGTTTAGATCTGGCTTGCGGACTGGCTTCTAGAAAACAACCCCAACAAACCTTGTGTCAAACAACCATTTGTACAGGAAGCATAGACAACTAACTCTTCATATGTTCTCTCATTCATTCACCTGTGAATCAACTCTGACCAAAAATTACTCGCAGAACTTAGAGATTTGTGCAGATATACTGAAAGTGCCCACAGAGTGCATGCAACTGTTGGAAAATGGTAAAAACTGACACACATGGAAACACTGGTACCATTCCATCCAATTTAGGAATTTTTTATGCTCAATCTTTGATACATAATGCATACACGATAACAACAGATGTTGAGTACCAGTCTGTTCAGATTGACATCAATGTACATATATATGTATATAAGAAAAAATGATTTCAGAATTAAATTATTGTACATACATCTGATCCTGTATTTTGTTGTCTTTGTTTTAGATGCCAAGTTTCTAGATTTCCCAGTATTGTATATGTAAGGTCACATGAAGACAATAATTTGGCAAATTAATTTAATTTCTGAAAAAAATAATCTTCAACGCTGATGTGAAATCTCAGTCAGAAAAAGAGGCAATGCTATCTTTTTCTTCAAAAGCATATATTAATCAATACGCATAAATTTAAGAAATCCCTGACTATTACAGATACGATGCCTGGTATGATCATTAGATCACAAAATATTGATTAAGTTTATGGAACCAATTTTGATGATATGCAAAATATCAATGACCAAATATAAAGTTCATATGACCTTTCAAGGTTGGCATAACCTTCTCACTATACACACATTTTTGTATAACTTGATACCTGGCATTGACATTTTGAGTTTGTATAAGCATGTTAAGCTTTGGAGTGGGAAAGGAGTTGGCTGGTGATGAGGGAAAGGGTGTGATGTGTGTTATTATTCAGCTATTCTGTTGACAGTTTTAGTTCCATCTTTGTATTGATAGTACTCAGTGTCATATCATTTACAATTCATCACATAATTGACTCTTGTATTGAATCTTTAAAGTAAGTCAAGTGTTTAGTCTAGCTTTACTATAGCTAAAGCAAATCAAAGTCATTAATGATTATATTTCTATAGATGCAACAGAACAAACTGTCACCTCAAGTTGTGACTTTTCAATTTTTCTGATCTGTACCCAAATCAAACTAGGGATCAAGGAAAGTATACACATGAAATTTGAGAAAGATCTATGCTATAGTTCTCAAGAAATAGCGATAACAAACCTAAGTTAAAATATAAGATGTCCATCTGTTGCCCATTTTGTTTATCTGATGAGTCTCAAAATCACACGGGCACAAAAAGAGACCAAAGGGGAACCTACATATGAAATTTGAGAGAGCTCCATTTCTACTTGTTCAAGAAATTTGCAATAACAAACTTAATTGAAAAAATCCAAGATGGCTGCCTCTCAGCCATTTTGTTTTCATTATCAGTCCCAAAATCAAACGGGTACAACTACTGACCAAGGGGAACCTACATAAGCAATTTGAGATAGATCCATCGTGTACTCCTCAAGAAAGATTGATAACAAAAATTGTTTACAGACGGACGAACCATGGATGCAGAGCGATTTGAATAGCCCCGCATCTGATCTCATCTGGACAACACCAATCATAAAACAATCATGTAAACAAAAAATGAGGGAAAACTTTTACTTACAATAAGTTTATTGTACATAAATAACAATAATTACATTTAACATCATATCAAACGATGTGTTCAAATGGATAAAAATATCACCCTACTTCAGACATCCCAAATTATAGCTACGGACTCTTTACTGTGTGCTCACATGGATGAAATCCTTGCCCTAAATAAAATGCTCCAACTTTTACATATTGATTGTTCTGTTACTAGGAGCTACATACAGACATGTCAGAAAAATATGCTCACATTCAATACACTGAAAACTGTGGCAATTGTTGATAAGAAAATAAGACAAAAATGTTTCATTCTAGACAACTACAGGCTTATGTTACCTTACCACTACATTACAACTGATCTAAAGACCAAGTCATTCTCTCTGGCCATAAAACGCTTTTTGCAGAATCTCCTTGGGGTGGAGCAGACCTTAAAAGATACATTATATTACAATTGTATTGATCAAGACCCTGTATGCCCAGACAAACTGAATTCTAATTCATACACAAACTTTTCATTGACCTGTCACATTGAGGTCAAGGCTACATTGACCTGTCACATTGAGGTCAAGGCTACATTGACCTGTCACGTTGAGGTCAAGGCTACATTGACCTGTCACATTGAGGTCAAGGCTACATTGACCTGTCACATTGAGGTCAAGGCTACATTGACCTGTCACGTTGAGGTCAAGGCTACATTGACCCTCTATATTCTAAGTTTCAAGAACATCTGTGAAGAAGTAAAAGAAACTGTTGAAATAGGTCAAATGGGATTTCATCTCAATTGCACCGATGACCATCGTCTGAGAAGGCCAGAACATATCAGCAACCTGCTGTATGACACTTTTACATCATAGTTACAATCACAAACATAGTTTCTCATGCCATGTAACTAAATATCACATATAAATACAAGCTGTCTCAAATTCAGTATATCAAATCTGTTTTGCTGTCTTAAAGTTGAAGAAGTTAAAAGGTGAATAGAACTTATTCACTGAATAAATGTTTCATAACTTTTAACTTTTTTCATGTATTTCATTTTGACTTACACCAAAATATGATGTATTCTCTGTTTACTGCAGAAATATGTTTTCAGACCAGTGAAAATGATATTTTGCATTCTGCAGGACACAAATATGTTGTGTCCCGATTCAGATTATACCAATCTTAACAATTGATATTAGTGTGGTTTAATCCACATGTATGTTCTCTGAAGCCTGAGATAAAATGTTCTTTTGGCCAACAACAGGAAATAGAAGTAACTGATAATCACGTTTAACAACAATGCTGTTTACACAAAAACAATATCAGAACAGTCTCAACAGCTAACAATTCCTCTAAGATGTCACATTCACCTGTCATGAACTTATATTTTTACTAGTGTTTACACAAAAACAATATCAGAACAGTCTCAACAGCTAACAATTTACACCAACATCAAACCCTGACAAAAGTCCTTGACTGAAATCTTACACATTCATTACTTAATAACCTACTGTAAACACACTTATTTTAGTGCAATCAAATGTTACTTAAAATATGTGTGTTTACAGGAAGTACTTGTGATTTATATGAAAATTAACTTATCAACTATCATACATTTAAAAAAAATGTGGCAAACAATAAAATTCTCGTGACTGCATGAACAACCTTCCTCTATTGAACAAGGAACTTGAAGGACCTGCCTGACTCACATGTTTAGCAGGTAGTTCATCTGTTTAACCCAACTGAACATTTTCTCTTTTTCTGCATGCTACTGACCAAAAACCACTACCTCTTAGTTACTAAAAAAGAAGTTCTTTTTTAAAAATCAACCTTTTTGGTTCCTACAACTTTAAAGGCAAGTCAAGATAATTAATTTTAACAAGTTTTATAACTGTTCATTACAACATGCTTCTGACAGTTTGGTTAATAAAAAGAAGTTCAAATTTTCTCCCTTCTGACCTCTATGACCATGAAGGTAGGTCAAAATGATCAATTGAAATACACGTTTGCCCTACATCTTGGCATATTCCTGGCAGAAGGTCATGACCCTTGACCGACCTCTTGGTTATTCAGAGGAATGGGTTTAAAGATTTTAACATAAGTTCAAAAAAACATTGCCATTAATTTGGACCAATTTGGAAATATTTCAACCAAGCGAACTCTAGGCCAAGTCTAGAGATCTTTGCTGCCAGAGGGATAACAGACACAGTATGATGGTATAATCTTACTAAAGCTTTGGGGTATGTATGCTAAATATACCAGAACCTATAGTATCTATATATATCTGTGTATAAAACCCAATTAACAGTATCATATAATCCTTTTAACCCTACACTATTCTACAAATCCCAAACATAAACTATGTGTATTTTATCAAATGGAATAGTTATTTTATCAAATGGAATAGTTATAAACACATCAATACTCTGGTTTTCTGCCAACATAATTCTGAGAGTGCCATCTGAGATTCATTAGCCATTACCAAATACTCATTTCTTTCCTGTTTATTTTTGCCATGACAGGTTAAGTTTCTGATGACATATTAAAATATTTAAAATAAGTTCCTGCTTATTTGCTGATTTTTTTCCCAATAACAAAACCCTTACATTTTTGCTGAACAGCTCAGTTATGGGTGTATAAGATAGACAACACTGGAATTACTTGTATAATACTGTATAGTCAGAAATTTATCAGGTCAAAAATGTTCAACATATGGAGGAGGTTTATTTATATATCTAGTTACTTAACATTCTCTGATTTACTTCACAAAACTGGCATCAATAGAAAGCTTACAACTTGATCAGGAACACTACAAATTATCATAATTTTTTTACAGGAAAAAGACATTACAAGTAAATACACAGGAACCCTTTTCAGGCTGATGATCGTGTATTCATTTTTTCATTTAACATAATTAAAGTTACTCAGAACAAAATTTGGTTTCAACTGTGCTTTATCATTTATACTTTTAAGTATCTTTTATTTAAAATGTTGAATGGAAAAAAGCCCTTCAATTTCTGATACAGGTAAATAGATATGTATTCAGGATAAATATCACCCTCTATCACAGCATAGTGTTAAAGTAAGTAAAATACTTACTGCAGAATAGTATACACAGAATATCAATCTTTCTTTCAAATCAGAAAGTGTAATTTAAAATACAAATTTAACAAGCACTGCTATAAATAAGTGAAATCCACACCATATTTGTAAATTTGTGGTCCTTCATCATCATTTGTGTAGTGTTATGATTGTACAGCATCAATCCTGTGATAAAAGTTCTACTGATAAGTGTTCTCCTCCAAAAGCCTCTCAGTATTGCCACTGTTATGATCCCACTCTAGTTTTGTTATATAAAATATTGTGACCAGCATCAGGAACTTTTTCTCACTATGAAATATATGGCTAATCCTATCACCAGTAGTAATATTGCACAAATAATCACCAGCATCAGTCTGTTCTGTATAATCCTGAAACACAGACATATTCTACTGATAAAAACACTATCATTCTTATCTTCTACAAAATTGAAAAAAATTAAATCTCACCCATTCCCCACGCCCCCAAATGACACCTTCCCCGCCCCCCACCTCCCCCAATGAGATATCTAAAAACAGTATAAAGCACGCTTTTTGGTGTTCCATGCTCAGAATCCATATGAATCAGCCGTTGAAACAGGAAGCATCATGTGTCAATAGCTGTCATTGTGTCTCAGTGTTTTATTTACTGTGCTTGGCATTCTGTGTCAGTACACAGAATTATGAATACTAGTAGATCCAACAGGTGTTTTCTTGTTTCATATTTTTATTCCCATCTGATCCTGAGATATGTATTAGCTCTATTGTTCTCCTTAATAAAATATACAATATGTTACACAATTACGTCTCAAAGGGTAGGGTATGTACAGCACTTTAAGCTTACTTTTTAATAAAATGATATTCAAATATAAATGACTGGATATACAATGTTTGCTTACCGTCTCATCATCCCAGATAAAACACGAGAACTTTTTCCAAGACTGTTATTCATTTCTTCAAGCTGGAAAAAAAAACATGATAACAGCACACTTAAAACATTTCAATTCATTCAGTACATACACATCAAAATTAAGTGTAAATGCACTGGTTATCATATTTTAGTTAATCAGTTTGATAATTTGTTTAAACTTGGTAGCACCAAAATGAGAACATTCACATTTGAACAGAATTTTAACAATTGTATGTTTACAAACAATTCAGCAAATATTTACAAAACACACAAGTTCAATCAACATCATCACACTAGTAAAACTGTATGTGATACAGCTTTTAACTTCAATATGAAGCTTGTCATGACACCATACCTTGTAACATGATCTGTACACAACAACAGGTGCTTTCACTTGATTGATTTCTGTACAATACCACAATCAGTAAGTGTAAAGTTTGTTTTACATCAAAGTAGGTGATATATACATGTAGGGATGCCTGATTTCATCATTCATTCTGACCTAACAATCATATCAGGATACTCATGAAAGAATTCACATTAAATAAGACAATTTATCCCTCTTTGTCAGTGACAAACCACCTCACCAAGGTATGAAGTTCCAATGACTGGTAGCACAGTAACACAACAATGTGATCACACATCCCAAGTATGTATGAATCTTCAGTGACTAACAGTGTTAGTGACAGAACTTGAATAAACATTTTCTTTGATGTAGGTCAAAGGTCAAACAGTAGGTAATTTGCTTTTGTATCAAACACTGCCTTACCAAGGTTGACACATACTCCAAGTATGAAGTTCCAGTGACAAGTTGAGTATGAGATAGAGCCAAGACAAGACAGTAGAAGGATGTGCAAAATGACAGAGGAACGCATGCAATGTGCAAAAATTTCATTGAAATCTGCTCAGAGGTTTTGAGAAGAAAGTTACCTATGTGTACCTATGACCATTAAGACATTTTACTTATATACACTCACCCTATTTCTTGACCGCTGTATAGTCTGTCTTTGACCACTGAGGTCCTGTAAAACCTGGGCACCCATTTCCTCTGAAAGTTGGTATAAAATGAGGTTATCTCTCCTACACCACAATTTACTTTTTTAACAGCAAATAATGATAAAATAACTACCTGGTACAGGTATTCTTTAAATATTTTGAACTTGTTTGATGTTAAACTAAGACATATCATCTATAAATAGTAATACTGTGGCACAATTAATATTATCTATAAATAGTAATACTGTGGCACAATTGATATTATCTATAAATAGTAATACTGTGGCACAATTAATATTATTTATAAATGTTGATACTGTGGCACAATTAATATTATCTATAAATGATGATACTGTGGCACAATTAATATTATCTATAAATGGTGATACTGTGGCACAATCAATATTATCTATAAATGGTGATACTGTGGCACAATTAATATTATCTATAAATAGTAATACTGTGGCACAATCAATATTATGTATAAATGGTGATACTGTGGCACAATTGATATTATCTATAAATGGTGATACTGTGGCACAATTGATATTATCTATAAATGGTGATAATGTGGCACAATCAATATTATCTTTAAATGGTGATACTGTGGCACAATTAATATTATCTATAAATGGTAATACTGTGGCACAATCAATATTATCTATAAATAGTAATACTGTGGCACAATTAATATTATCTATAAATGTTGATACTGTGGCACAATTAATATTATCTATAAATGTTGATACTGTGGCACAATCAATATTATCTATAAATAGTAATACTGTGGCACAATTAATATTATCTATAAATAGTGATACTGTGGCACAATTAATATTATCTATAAATAGTGATACTGTGGCACAATCAATATTATCTATAAATAGTGGCACAATCAATAGTATCTATTATCTACCAGCATACAAAACACCTACAAATATCTAATACAGCATTGATCAAGTTACTAGAAACATGAAAGTGAATCAGTATGTGAGAGACATTGGTAATACTACAGTCCCACATAACCTCCTTAGTTAATTGGTACCAGCATATAAAACACCTACATATATTCAATACAGTATTTATCAACAAAATCTTAAAAGCTGAGTGTGATCTGTAAGAGATTGTATATAACTACTAGTGAAGTGTACAGAGATTGTAATAGTACTACCAGGGGTATTAGCCTCATCTATCAATACACTTATGTACTACCATAGGCCCAGTGAGGAAACTTGTCAACCATTCAGTATATCTTGCTAGGAGTGGTCTGAATTAACAGATAGATAGTTTTCTTTAATTTGATAAATGTTTCAGCATACATCATGTCTGAAAGACTTATCAAACATTGTTAAATTGTCAAATCTCAGTTAGTCACACTGGCCTTCATATGTATGTGATTCAACTTCAATGCAGTGTTAGAGTGATCTGTTACTGACTTACTTGTGGACAATATCTATTCAGTATGTTATGATGTCAGATTTCAAATTCTCAACACACAGTCTCCGTGAGGCCTGACAACATAACTTCTGTAAACATGGTGTTGATAGTCCCAACTTGTCAAAATTCAGCAAAGATTGGATTATTAATTTTAGGACCCAAATTTCCATATTTTTAAGCCTAAGTGATGGCCTCAGTAATAACTCAGATGAAGCTGGTACCTTTTTCTAATGGAAAACTAACTAATCAGAAAACAAGTTCCCTTAATGGAGGCCAGCAGCATCAATGTCTTATCTTAGTTACAAATCAAGACCCGATCAGAAGTGACATACCTGTCTCCAGAGCGATTCTGTATCCATGATCTAATCGTCGTGAGGCGCGGTCCAGTGAATCTGTGTTGTCCAGAAGTCTTTTTCTCTGTAAATGATACAAGCTGACATATAAATGTGCGAGTTCTAATGACAGAGCTCTGGGGTGATACTGTGAATCATTAGACATTTTATATATAAGGTTTCACACTGTCACACATAAGTAAGTTATGTAGTAAAACTTGATATCACAAATTTATACTACGGTACTTAGTATTTACATCATCAATGAAGAACCTGAGTGTGATATTGAGAATTGTAACTCGTCTTCTTTTTTCAAATTTCAGGACCTGATGATGGCCACATAGCAGGCTGAAACATGTTGACAATAGAAAACATTCTTGAGATTCCTTTATAACCATATTATGTTTTATCACTAGGGAACTCTACTGAATCCTATACGGATCCACTTGAGGAATGTTTGATCACTCCTCCGTTATTATGGCAACAGTAACTGATCTGTAGATACTGAGTAACATTTTATATAACATTTTTCTCTATGTTACAGTATTAGACTTTACATTGACAACCAAAATTTGAATCAAGGTTTTTGTCACATCTTGTCACCTTCATAAAGTAATTTAATCCTTTTGAGCAGAAAAACTATTTTGGAAAATGTTTCTCTTAATATCTAAAGTTGTAACAGCACTGTCTATCAACCATTCAGCAATGCTATGATTGTTACAAACCTGATCTTCTGACTCATGTGTGTCATCTCCTAGAAGTTCATCTCGACTGCTATCTATACCAAGTTTAGCACGCCGCTGTAAATAAGACAAAACTGTAAATTTTGTATATCTTACACACATCTGACTTATATCTGTCAATAAAAGACAGTAAAGATCAGATGATACATATGATTCCCTGAAAGCAAGTTACAAAGCCATTACATTTCCTCAGTCAAACACCAGATTTATAACACAACATTAAAGCAAGACTGACCAGGATTTAGACAGTTATGATATAAAAATAATAATACAAATGTACATCTGCATTTATAGGGGCTTATCATCAAAATTTCTAAAATTTTATTATTTCCGTATAGGAAAAAAATACATGTTATTTATTTCTCTTATGAACTCACAGTGTCTGTCTGAAGTTTTCCAAGCTCAGTTTTATAACTTTTCACACGAGTCTGATACTTTTGTTTATCTCTTGACGGCAAATCTTTCACCTCCAGCTCCATCTGTTCCAGCTAAAATAAAACCACAAATCACTAATGGCTGACACTCTAATTCCACGGCTAATAATCATAAGTATATATACAATCTACTCAGCATGTTGTACTTTACATTTCATTTATATCCTTTCCATTACAAAATAATAACGTGTTTGTAGCCATTTGTTTAAGATTAACTGGATGAAGATTAATTAAAATTCTTTCTTGTTGTTGTTTAATTGCAACACTTATCTGTTTAAATAAATAGGCAGAATTTTCAATGAAATACATCTAATGCCTACCAGTTCTGACACCTCATCGAACAGCTTGTCAACCTGTCGGATGTGTTTTTGTTTCTCAGCTGAAATAAAACATATGCTTTCAGTCACTTTTGATCAACTTTAAAATGTATGGCATCAAAATCTGTTAACATGTAAGCCATGAGGGAAAAATAAGGCAAAATTTCTGGTAAAGGGACTATGTTGGCTTACTGTATTTTTTTTTCAAAAATTAGTACATAGCATGGTTTTTGGTTGTGCTTTTATCATTTCAGACTATTTTCTCAACATGGATATTTTTATCCATGGTAGCTGTAAAGAGGCCCCAGACATTCAATCTTTATAAAAGAATGGTTATCTGGCATGTTGATCTAGATCTGTCAGTTTATCATCAAGTTATCCAAAGCCAAAGGCTTCCATGTGTTCTAAAGGAATATCATAGCTTTATCTCAATGGGTCTTATTTATTTCCTTCAACCTAAAAGAATGGTGTATGTAAAAAGGTTGAGTGGGGCTGACATGTAGAGAGTGCAATAAATAAGTTCTCTGTCATCCTGCTGTGGATTATCACAGTGGAGCCCTGGTTCAATTCGTTTCAGGTGACTTGTCATGAAATTGTTTTTTCCTCAGTTCTTCCACAATATATAATTTAAGCTTTTCAATAATTAGTAATAAGTATATTTACAACAATCAGGATAATCAATCAATTTAGAGTGATAATGTGTTGGTGATAAACACATTTTACTTTGTTTTCTATATAAATAATTGGACTTCATGAGTTTCTATTTTAAAATGACCCTGCATATAAGTAACTAGTTGATGTCTCAATGTGGTAACTACCCTTCTATCCCTCAAACTATTTCCCATATTCAGGTTGTGTCCAACCTGCTTATACCATTATATTCTATATTAAATTCTTACAATAATATAACGGAATAAACTACTTTATATGATCCAGCATAAGTCAAACTCGTACACTCTCTGTCTCCTATTGGTACAACATAATGGTATACTTTATCACATAGGCCTAACGCTGAAATAAAGAATCGGATCCTCTGAATTGTGACTATGTTCAATCAATTTTACTCATTTAGATTCACGGAAGACATGCGGAAAAAAGTTTCGTAGTAAGATGATTTCTTTACCTCCATGTGTGTTAGATATTTTAGTGATATTGTAGGTTATATCAGCTGTCAAACTGGAATATTGTTGTTCATAGGATTCAATCAGCGACGCCATTCTAGCATCTTCATGTGCTATAGAAAAATCCATAAAGTTCCGAATGAAATATCCAACTTCCGGTCGTCCTTTCTTCCGGCCACCATCAAGGTGCGATGAACGTGATTATATGTCCCTTACGAATCTCTAGCATCCGTTCATTTATGTTCACAATTTCATAAAATTTAGTTAAAGAATGAAGAAAAGACATATTTCTGGAACTCATGGCAGTGTTATTTTTCCGTATGATATGCGATATATCGCTGCAAATATATACCGATGTGAATGTTTTGATGTCTGAATACCAACATTATTACCCATATTTAAGTCAAAGAGAACGGCGACTTTCTTCATCTTGATATGATGAATTAATCAATCATGTTTAATAAAGCTAGTTCTGTTCTAGATGTTCAGTAGTTCTTGAAGTTGTATAATTAACTGAAAATGTCTTAACGTTTGAAACGCAACAGGACTGGTACTGAAGTAATATATATATATACATAGAGAAATACAGTGGATATTTTAGTTTGCCCATTGAAGTCTTTGACGGAACTTTAGCATTAATAAGATTGATCGGTAATATCAGTGAAAAAAATGCATACAATGATGAGAAATACATTGACTACGGGACACGATCAGCTTTTATTTATAATTTATATTCAGACCCCACCACCCCGCACTTGTCAGTAGAAAGGCAAGTCCCTGTGGATGGACATAACGGAATAACACAAGGGTTCTGACTATCGGTTATATATCTGCACGATTTTATTTTGTTTCGATGGCGTTTACTTGGGACAAAAATTGATATTGTTGAATTTAATATGTTATGACTCGTCATGTTCTGCTGTACTGTAAGTAAATTATGGTGACCTGTTTGAATCATATGCCATTTTTCATTACAGATGGTTCAGCGACTTACATTTCGCCGGCGCTTGTCTTACAACACCAACAGCAACCGCAGGAGAGTGTAAGTGGACTAGCTAAAATGGACATGGTTTCTATGTCTCTGGACTTGTCTGAATGTCTCCCTTCTGTTATTCAGAGCAGTTTGTTGTCTGCCCAATGCATTGGTAGTTCCGATGTGATTGTTTAATATATGTGTGCGATTTACATGTATATTTGGACTGGTATGAAACTTCTGGTTTTATTTGGCACAAGATAAATACTGTATACATATTGAGATAATTACTGCATTCACACTGGAAAAATGTTTTACCAAAAATATTATGACTTTGATCTGTATGCAGTGAGTATTGTGCAACGTTAATAATGTGATTTTGTTTTTATTTCATTTGATGATCCTGAACAGATCAAAGACTCCTGGTAAGTTTACATTGCAAAAACTGATTGGTTTTTAATTTTGTTCTGTGAAAATCCTAACTATTGAAAGTCATGTCTGGTGCATTTATTACCCAGCACAGATTTCATGTCCCAAATTTTGTATGAACCTGCTTGTGTGCAGTACATACATTTTGTAACTAGGATTATATCCAATTGAGATAGGGTGTATAGATATGAGTGAAATTGCTGTCATTTAACAATAGTGTAGAATTGATTTCAAGGCATTTTCCCAAATTTCAAAATGCAATCAATACCATATATGGTAGAGTTGTACCAGTCTGACAGAATATTTAATCCTTTAAGATGTCTAAGTCCAACTGAAAACTTTGTAGTGTTCTTAAAGATAATTAAAGTGAGATGTTTGTAAGGTTCCTAGGATTTTCTGTCTACTATAATACAACTTCAGGGTACAGAATGGTTCCACATGAACATATATCCATGATAGACCTGCTTGTAATACATCCGGTGCTGACATTGAAGGTTGTCATTACTGCTTTATAGGATACTTCATTGTGAACACTATAATGTAATAATTTCACTGAGAAAATACCATGCATTGTCATAGATCATACAACCAGATGCTTCTGTAACTTCAGAAAGAGGCATTTTATTATACCATGGAAAATGGTATAAAGAATATGGTCTCTGAATACATTGGTACTTTAGCTACATTTCAGTTGTTATAGATATACATGGGAGGAATGTATACAGAATATCACCTAGTTTAGAAATTACCAATATACTTTCTATATATTAAGTAGAGATATATAGCTAACAATGGCATCCACTAATTATTGATCACTATCTGTTTATGAGAATTTGAAAATTGAAGATATACTGCTGCTGTGATGATAAGTTTGATAAGAAATACTTGTGCAGGAGACAATTTTCATGTATCTTTCTACATTTTAGGTGGTAAGCTGGTATATTTATACACAAAGAAGCTTGGAAGCATCCCAAAATGTGGTGATTGTAAAATCAAGTTACATGGGGTGAGTGTTTCAATCTATGCCACAGTCCTTCTCGGGACGACCAGGTTCAAATTTATCCCACCCAGATATCATTCTAGTTGATTTCGGTAACTGCATCATAAAAGTATTAGCATTGCAGAATCTCTTTGTCTTGTCCAGGTTTCACAATTAACTATCTTTTTATGTGATAATATTTCTGAAAATAGAGTTTCTGAACAAAGCAACTAAAATATCAACCTTTTTTAAGCTTTACCTTTTCGCATGATCTTTAAATTTGTACAAAGGGTTAGTTTGATTGTTTTCTATGTTTAGATTACCCCAGCCAGGCCAAAGGAGCTCATGTCCATGTCGAAACGACTCAAGTCTGTGACAAGAGCTTATGGTGGATCTAGGTGCCACAAATGCGTAAGAGAAAGGTACGCCGCAAATTCAAATGTACAGTAAAACCCTTTCTCCATGAACCTGTATCATTGAAATCCCTCTATTTGTCGAGCACTTGGTCCCAACCATGTCCTTTTGTATTCTGTTTTTGGCACGATTATGTACCTGTATTGTCAGCTACTATATAATATTACTTTCTCAAGACATTTCTTATAGATTTGTGTTTTGGGTCAGTGTAGAAAAATCAACTGCTTTTCAAAAGATTTTTTTTTTCATTTAAAATCATATTACATAATGTCACATTTAGCAAGAGGAATTATGTGTAGTCAAGAGGATTGTCCGTGTACAACTGTCAATTTCTATAGCAGATGAGGTTAATTAACAACACAATGTACAACAATAACATAAAATATATCAACAAGTCAAACTTTGATATTTCTAAGTTCAAGGGACTAGAAAAAACAATGTGTAACAATGTGCAAAAGACAGCACACTATCCGAATTCCTTTGTTAGGTAGTGTCTTTGTGGAAATGCGTGAAATTCTGTCGCAGGGCCAAAGTATCTGTACAGTACAGGTTAAAAAAGATTGATGAGTCTAGAAGTGTTAATGACTTGTATTATCATAGCCAACAGTTAACATCTTCATAACATCAAAAAGTTCAATTTATAAAACTTTGATTCAGAAAGGGGTTAGTCATTAGTATTATATAAGAATAATATTTGTGACCGGGCAAAACATTTGATGCACCATTTTCAGCAATTTGGTTTCAGCTTGTTTGATTTTGCTGTACTGTAAATGAATCTTGCAGTGAATTTTCTTCATTCTTCTCAGTTATATTAAAAACATTGTAAATATCAGCAGTGAAAACTTGAGCACAATTAGAGATAGGACTGATCGAATGGAGTATTGAATACTTTGGATTCATGGATAGTTGTGACCTGACCATCTAACCTACCACTGATATCCTGTATCTTTGAACTATCGTCATGGTACAATATATGTGTACATTTTGTCATAAAATTATCAGATGGAAATTATCATGTAAAATTTATTGAATTGTGTGGTTAGTGCACCCCACCCCACCCCCAAATCTTGGTTTTGACTTTTCTCTCGATTATTTTTTATTTTCCTCAGTCACCTCCTAGGCTTCAAAATTTTGTTGCTTAGAATTACTGTTGAAACATATAAAACAGGTGTATGGTGCAATTTAAATCATTATTAGGTTCTAATGTATCTAAATTTGTATTTAACAGTGCTCTTTACTAAGCTTGTTTTGTACAAAATTCCTAAGGTGTTATCGTTTTACTGTACTTTTGTTAAATAATGGCCAAGTTGATAATTGAATAATTTTTTTCTCTCCCCAATTAGTGTTATTCACTATTCAACAGTGAATTAGAAAGAGACTTAACCATGTGCCTTTTTTTACTTTCAGGATTGTGCGTGCTTTCCTTATTGAAGAACAGAAGATTGTTGTACGTGTATTGAAGGCACAGGAGGCAGCAAAGAAATGAACTGGTGTGATAGACAATAAAAAGCTGGGGAATATATTGGTGTTGTGTGCTTTGTTTCAAGCATATGGTTTTGTCTTGAAAGAATGGTTAATCTTGCGTGATTTTACAGAAAGATGAACTTATGATATATCCTGATGTTCATGGTCTGTGAACAATTGGTTTGGTTTTAACTGAGTGATTAGGAAATCACATCAGTTTGATGAGGGATTTTGTACAGAACAAGAGAATTGTCCTGACAAGGATTGTTAAATGTAGATAAAAAGAGGTAGTTTGGCAATTACTCCAGAATTATGACAAATCCTAATTATCCATGTAGTTGGTGGAAAACTAATGAAGACCAGTTTTGGACAAAACGGGATTATTTGGCTTTTACTTTGCTACTATTAGGAACTTCTGGAATGAGTTTGAAATCAACTCCATATGGTTCAGTGTATTAATTGTACTGATAAATGGGCTGACATCCACCACACCACAGTTTATTCAGAGTTTGGGGACTGGGTACATGACATTTAGTACTATGGATTTTACTATGGGTTGTGCATCACCCTTCAACATTCATTTAAGAAGTCTTCACTTCTGTAGTTATTTAGTACCATATCAAACAAAATCGGACAACATTTCACAGGTACTTCAAGAAGCCAAGTGGATCCTAACGCAAAAAAATTAACTTTGTCCTAATTCATTCTGAAGTGTTGGTCTAGACGTTAATGTTAAGCAAAATACTGCACCACCTTTTTAAAGCCATGGAATTTTTTTTTGGTTATAATACCCACAATAACACCAGAAAGAAGCAATGTAAGTATTTTTGGTGGGAAGCCTGCTCCAGGACTGTCGACTGAGAAACACTACACTTTGGCACATTAAGTCCAAGATAGTGTTTTTTCATTCCTTAATCTTAATTGTTAAAAAAAATATTTGCTAAGTTTTTTTTATCGATAATATTGGCTACATTTATAAAAAAAAACATTGGGTTTACACTTGCAACACTCTGGCAACTGAATAGACAACAAATCACTACATGTACCTAGTATGTCAGTCTGTCACACTCTGGGAACTATATAGACAAGAAATCGCTACAAAATACGACACTTGACCAACACTACAGGTACAATTAAGTCACTACATCAGTAAGACACTTGACCAATACACTACAGGTACAATTAAGTCGCTATGTCAGTAAGACACTTGACCAACATACTACAGGTACAATTAAGTCTACGTCAGTAAAACACTTGACCAACACACTATAGGTACAATTAAGTCTACGTCAGTAAGACATTTGACCAACATACGACAGGTACAATTAAGTCTCTGCGTCAGCAAGACACCTGACCAACACACTACAGGTACAATTAAGTCTCTATGTCAGTAAGACACATGACCAACACACTACAGGTACAATTAAGTCTACGTCAGTAAAACACTTGACCAACACACTACAGGTACAATTAAGTCTCTATGTCAGTAAATCACTTGACCAACCCACTACAGGTACAATTAAGTCTCTATGTCAGTAAGACACATGACCAACACACTACAGGTACAATTAAGTCTACGTCAGTAAAACACTTGACCAACACACTACAGGTACAATTAAGTCTCTATGTCAGTAAATCACTTGACCAACCCACTACAGGTACAATTAAGTCTCTACGTCAGTAAGACACTTGACCAACCCACTACAGGTACAATTATATCTACTTCAGTAAAACACTTGACCAACACACTACAGGTACAATTAAGTCTACGTCAGTAAGACACTTGACCAACACACTACAGGTACAATTAAGTCTACGTCAGTAAGACACTTGACCAACACACTACAGATACAATGCCGTTACCTTAATAGTAAAGGCCAACACGCTATGGGTACATTCAGCCGCTACCTTTGTGGGACAGTCCAATACTTCACTTCATCATTAAACCACTTCAACAGACTTGCTCAAACTTGTTTCACAAATCCGTATGAATAAAGTAAACTTGTATAAGAGATTCTATATTTATCTGTGTGTATGTTTGGGGTTTCCTACAAACAGCTGAGCTGGACACCAGGGATAATGCCATGTAACTTTGTAACTTCTTGTTAGGTCATCTGATGCGAATGGTCAAGATGACCAATAGTCATTGTGCTTCATTCGTCGTCGTGCATCGTCTGTACACTTAAAAAAACCTACTCCTCTTGCATATCTGTTTGGATTTCAACTAAATTTAGTCTGATGCATCATTGGATGGGAGTGATAATTTCTTAAATTTAGAATCTTGATCCGACCCCAAAGGGTTGAGAGATAGGAGAGGTGCTGAAACTAGATTTAAAATCCTACTCCTCCTTTCTGCCTGGTGGGATTTCAACAAAATTTGGTCTGAATCATCATTGAGAGTGGAGAATAATTTCTTAAATTCAGAAGGTTGGTTCGACCCCTCAGGACTTTGGGGCAGGGATCCAATTGGGGAAGTATGACAATATTTTGCTTCAAATGTTACTCTTTCTTCATGCTTGAATGGATTTCAACCAAATTTAGTCCAAAACATGGAGAGCAGGGAAACATTTCTGAAATTCAGAAAGTTGATTGATCCCTAGTTAATAGGAATAACCTTGATCCGCTTGAAAGGTCACAGGGATCAATGCTTGAAATGCTTAAGCAACTTCCTCTCAGAAACGGAAAGGCTCAAGATGCTGATATTAGGTCTGTAGCATGCTTGGATGTAGGACTACCAACTTCGTTAATATGAATGACATTGACCTACTTTCAAGATTACAAATATCAAATGTATTAAAATGTTTAAATGACTTCTTCTCAAGAACCAAAAGGCCCAGGGTGCTGATATTGGACCAACTTTCAAGATCACAGGGGTCAAATGTGTTAAAATGCTTAAGCAACTTCTTTTCAAGAACCAAAAGGCCCAGGGTGCTGATATTGGACCAACTTTCAAGATCACGGGGGTCAAATGTGTTAAAATGCTTAAGCAACTTCTTTTCAATAACCGAAAGGCCAAGGGATTTGATATTGGGCCTGTAGCTTGCTTTTTCAATAAGCAATACATTCGGAGTAATGGTAATTGTGCATGTATATGTATAAAGAATATGATTTCAAGCTTGCATAAAATGTCTGGATGAACCAACAATGTCTTCTATGTGAGAGGTAGAGTAGTTGAGCAATTTGTTTTGTGCCTATTTGGTCGCTTTCATGTAAAGGTCTTTATAACCAGGTGACTGTTTAGGCCCATAGGCCTCTTGGATTTTTCATATAATGATAAAAAATGAAATTAATTTGTACATATGCACTCGCTATAAAAACATAAACTGATTTTATAACGTGTACAGTATTGTAATTAATTGTATTTACCCGATATCATGATAGGATACAAAACATGGTATTATGATACAGAATATTGAGAAATCTCCAACACTTTAGATTCTTATAGTGGAAGCCAATCTCTAAATAACAACTGTACCATATAAACTTATTTAACGAGACTTAACTTACGAGTAAGTAGAAACATCAATTCACTGATATTTAGATTAAACCTATTGATTTCTGTATGCAAAAGTTTGACATTATTCTTCCAAACCTAGTTTATTGACGGTGCTTCAAAGTGTGGGGTGCAAGCTCATAAACTTCTCAAATCCTCAGTAATCATTTTAACATCTCTGAATACAGAAGAACGAAAGATAGCTTGAAATTGGAAAATTTTAAACATGCACTATAGAACTCACTATAAATACGGATTAGATGGAAAAAAGGTGAGGGAAAGGGAAGGGACGGGAATGTTGGAGGGAAGGCCGGTGATAGGAAAGGGAGGGGGTGTGAACATTGAAGTAGTGATTTTTTTTTAAGTGATCAGTGACAATACATGATTTTGAAGACACATGTCATAATATCAAGCCATTTTCTGGGGAAGTGGCTTTTTCCATATCTAATTTCAATTTCTAATAATTTCAGTTGTTTTGTTGAAAAACATAAAATGAAAAATACCTCTTCTATAATTTGGACTACACTGTGCAATATTTTATATAGCTCATATACAACGTGTATAGCCGTACAAAATATCCGCGTCCGACTCCTGTATTATTTAACTTGTTGAAACGTCAATGAAACGCTTGATACTTAAGAATACTTAATCGTGTCCTGGGGCAGTTTGATTGACATTGAAGAGTGCAAGTGAATTGGAAATTTACCGTGGAAACAGTTCGACAGATGAGGAAGAAGTGTTGTAAGTCTTAAGAGTCAGCTTTTATTTATACCATATATATAACAATATATGACGTATTGGATCCAAAATATTGAAAGACGATGTTGATGGTTACGTGATCTAATATTCGAAACAACCTGTTCGCGTGTGACTTTCCTGTCAATCCCGCTATCGTCGATTGTCTGATTGCCATCGCATTCGTGACGACTCGAAACTGATTCCTCTGTTGTCTGAATCTGATTTCATACTGTAGTATGGCATTAATAGGAACTGTTATCCCGTATCAAGCTGGCGGGATTCATGTAAACAGCTGCTAGAAATATACGCGGTCTGCAACAGAGATCATCAATGACAATTTGTTACCATAATCTAAAATGATATATTTGTTAATTTGAATGGACGCTGAAAAAATACAAGTAGACAGAAAGCAGTCGTCACAATACTATTAGTTGGAAGAAAACTGATATCTTTGATTAGGTATATATGTAAATAACTTGAGATCTCCCAGTCTTGTTTACAACCTTCTCCTATTACATACATAAAGTCACAACTGTGTGAATGTGATCTAGTATAGAGGCAAATAAATAAAATAAATATATGACATCTATAGCAACAAATGCACATTTGGATTGATAGATGATTGCACCTTTGTTGAATTAACCCAGTATGTTATATCACATATATTCCTGTTATATTTCATTGTGAAATCAACAGAGAATATAGCAAACTAGATTTCAAAATAATTAATGGCTATAAATGAGTTTCACATGAACTTGAATATTGATGTTTGCAGTTTCATAGCGGTAAATTGATTTCATCTTTGAAAAACTGATTTGGATTTTCGCTTATGATACAGTCTTCTCTACTCTAGTATCAATATCATGTTTTTGTATATATGACATTAACACACACAAATTGAAAAATGAAATGTATATACATGATTGTACAATATCCATTGTGGCAATATCTGTGTGTGAATTCCTTGTTTCTATACATAAACTGTTACTGTCTGCAGTGTTAGAATTGTGAAGTAATTTTTAAATGTCTGTTTTTATAAATGACTTTATATTTAAGCATATCAGCCATTTTTACAAACACCATTAAATTAACAGACTTCTTGTTACAGTTCTATTTGTACACAGAGTGATAAACATAATACTATATGTTATATCACACCAGTTATCATCCTACATGATGCAGTATCCTAACACATGTCCTAATTAAACAGATTAAAGTTTGATCCATGTGTTTTAGGTGATATGTTTACAATGACTTCTAGATGTACACATTTTATGTTAGAAAGGTGATATTCAGGAGGGACGTTTTAATTTTTTATTTCTTTGGATATTTTGTAAAGAGGTTCTCAAGTCAAACACTGATGAAAAGAAGTCAAAACGGAGAATGAATTTCAATGTCAACTTGTTTATTTTTCAGATATTATAGACTGGTAAAAATGAATTTGGATCTGACTACTTTTTTCAATTATATTACTTTTCTAAGAGAATGGCTCAGTGTATTAACAAGACTTGTGTTTATTGTGCTATCATTACTCTTTTGTACATGTATATTTCAGCAGATGATCTGCAGTTTTATCAGAAAACAGAATGAATTTTCAATAAATTCTAGCTTAAGTTCTAATTGTGCTTATCTTCATGAAGGTTGAAAATATATATATATATACATCAGTCTACCAGCTAGCTATACACAGTGTTGGAAATTCCAACCTGACATAAATTGGAATTTTTTTATATTGCTAAATTAGAAAATTGGATAAAAAGCAACATATGAATTGCTGGATTACATATTCTTGCATAAAAAATACCTGATTTAAAGATTTGTGGAAAATGATAACATTATTCGGAAAAAACAATTAACATACCAAATCAGAAATGGTCCTGAATACAGCCCCAAATACATTTGACAGGAAAAACACTAACTGTGCTCATTCAATTTTGAATAAGCATTTTTAAAACTTATGCTTTCAAAATTCTTCATATAGAAGATGTAGAAATACCCACCTTTAATAGAATACAGGTTGTTTTTAGACCTGATGAAATGCTGTAATTGATAATCATTTGTTGTATATGAGATATGCTTATTGAGACAAACAGGAGTGACAGTGATTCATTTGCTGTTGACCTATTTAGTACTGTCCTATATATATATAACCTAGTGAGTAACACACATCCTACTGTACATGCATGTATCATGCTGTGGTCAAAGTGCAGTGGTAATATATAATAACTTTGTTGTAAATACTTAGGGACAGGAGTGATGTCTGTACATACTTAGGGACAGGAGTGATGTCCTTCTAGTTAGTCAAGGTCCCAAGCTTGAGTTATTTGTGTATTGTGTATAGAGATATGATAATAAAAAAAAAAGGTACAGCATTGATAACAGGTCAGTTATATGCCTTGTCTGTCAATACACCTAGATAGTTATAGATGTATTGGCAGATATCAGACTTATAGGCATACATGCTCATCAGTCAATGGTAACTATGTTTGTGTTTAAGAATGTTAAAAATTATTTTTTAAGAAAACTTGTGCTTAGCAAAAATATTGACAATAATTGAACTTTTTCAATATATTTAAATATGCATAATTTTTAATTGTAATATTTCATTCTATTCTAATAGATGATAAGATAATACAAAGTTTATCATGTTTATGACAAGGTGACATTTACTTATAAAAATGTTGACTCCTTGATGTTAGCACGATTGTCAAGATAACAGGAAACTTTGATAACTTTGATATGTGTTACTATTTTTACTGGATGTAATAACTGGGTTATCAAAGTCTTACATCACAGATTGCACTGTCATAATATCTGTCATTATTACACTCTTACATCACAGATTGTACTATCCTAATATATGTCATTATTACACTCTTACATCACAGATTGTACTGTCCTAATACCTGTCATTATTACACTCTTACATCACAGATTGTACTATCCTAATATCTGTCATTATTACACTCTTACATCACAGATTGTACTGTCCTAATATCTGTTATTACATTCTTACATCACAGATTGTACTGTCCTAATATCTGTCATTATTACACTCTTACATCACAGATTGTACTGTCCTAATATCTGTCATTATTACACTCTTACATCACAGATTGTACTGTCCTAATATCTGTTATTACATTCTTACATCACAGATTGTACTGTCCTAATATCTGTCATTATTACACTCTTACATCACAGATTGTACTGTCCTAATACCTGTTATTACACTCTTACATCACAGACTGTACTGTCCTAATATCTGTCATTATTACACTCTTACATCACAGATTGTACTGTCCTAATATCTGTCATTATTACACGGTTCTGTCCTACCACCTGATGGTATTACACTATTCTGTCCTACCACCTGATGGTTTTACTTGTTACAGATTGTACTGTCCTACCACCTGTGGGTATTACACAGTTCTGTCCTAACTCTTGTGTGTATTACATGTTACAGATTGTACTGTCCTACCACCTGTGGGTATTACACTATTCTGTCCTACCACCTGTGGGTATCACACTATTCTGTCCTACCACCTGTGGGTATTACACAATTCTGTCCTACCAGCTGTGGGTATCACACTATTCTGTCCTACCACCTGTGGGTATTACACTATTCTGTCCTACCAGCTGTGGGTATCACACTATTCTGTCCTAGCACCTGTGGGTATCACACGGTTCTGTCCTACCAGCTGTGGGTATCACACGGTTCTGTCCTACCACCTGTGGGTATCACACGGTTCTGTCCTACCACCTGTGTGTATTACATGGTTCTGTCCTACCACCTGTGGGTATTACACAGTTCTGTCCTACCAGCTGTGGGTATGACACGGTTCTGTCCTAACTCTTGTGGGTATTACACGGTTCTGTCCTACCACCTGTGGGTATTACACGGTTCTGTCCTACCACCTGTGGGTATCACACGGTTCTGTCCTACCAGCTGTGGGTATCACACGGTTCTGTCCTACCACCTGTGGGTATCACACGGTTCTGTCCTACCACCTGTGGGTATTACACGGTTCTGTCCTACCACCTGTGGGTATTACACTGTTCTGTCCTACCACCTGTGGGTATTACACGGTTCTGTCCTACCAGCTGTGGGTATGGCACGGTTCTGTCCTAACTCTTGTGGGTATTACACGGTTCTGTCCTACCACCTGTGGGTATTACACGGTTCTGTCCTACCACCTGTGGGTATTACACGGTTCTGTCCTACCACCTGTGGGTATTACACAGTTCTGTCCTACCACCTGTGGGTATTACACGGTTCTGTCCTACCACCTGTGGGTATTACACTGTTCTGTTCTACCACCTGTGGGTATTACATGGTTCTGTCCTATCAGCTATGGGTATTACACGGTTCTGCCCTACCACCTGTGGGTATTACACGGTTCTGTCCTACCACCTGTGGGTACAACACTGTTCTGTCCTACCACCTGTGGGTATTACACGGTTCTGTCCTACCACCTGTGTGTATTACACGGTTCTGTCCTACCACCTGTGGGTATTACACGGTTCTGTCCTACCACCTGTTGGTATTACACGGTTCTGCCCTACCACCTGTGCGTATTACACGGTTCTGTCCTACCACCTGTGGGTATTACACGGTTCTGTCCTACCACCTGTGGGTATTACACGGTTCTGCCCTACCACCTGTGGGTATTACACGGTTCTGTCCAACCAGCTGTGGGTATCACACTATTCTGTCCTAGCACCTGTGGGTATTACGCGGTTCTGTCCTACCAGCTGTGGGTATCACATGGTTCTGTCCTACCACCTGTGGGTATCACACGGTTCTGTCCTACCACCTGTGGGTATTACACGGTTCTGTCCTACCACCTGTGTGTATTACACGGTTCTGTCCTACCACCTGTGTGTATTACACGGTTCTGTCCTACCACCTGTGGGTATCACACTATTCTGTCCTACCACCTGTGGGTATTACACGGTTCTGTCCTACCACCTGTGGGTATTACACGGTTCTGTCCTACCACCTGTGGGTATTACACGGTTCTGTCCTACCACCTGTGGGTATTACACGGTTCTGTCCTACCAGCTATGGGTATGACACGGTTCTGTCCTACCACCTGTGTGTATTAAACGGTTCTGTCCTACCAGCTATGGGTATTACACGGTTCTGTCCTACCAGCTATGGGTATGACACGGTTCTGTCCTACCAGCTGTGGGTATTACACGGTTCTGTCCTACCAGCTGTGGGTATGACACGGTTCTGTCCTGACTCTTGTGTGTATTACACGGTTCTGTCCTAACTCTTGTGTGTATTACACGGTTCTGTCCTACCAGCTATGGGTATTACACGGTTCTGTCCTACCAGCTATGGGTATGACACAGTTCTGTCCTAACTCTTGTGTGTATTACACGGTTCTGTCCTACCAGCTATGGGTATTACACGGTTCTGTCCTACCAGCTATGGGTATGACACAGTTCTGTCCTAACTCTTGTGGGTATGACACGGTTCTGTCCTACCAGCTATGGGTATGACACGGTTCTGTCCTGACTCTTGTGTGTATTACACGGTTCTGTCCTACCAGCTATGGGTATTACACGGTTCTGTCCTACCAGCTGTGGGTATGACACGGTTCTGTCCTGACTCTTGTGTGTATTACACGGTTCTGTGCTACCAGCTATGGGTGATACACGGTTCTGTGTTACCAGCTGTGGGTATGACACGGTTCTGTCCTACCAGCTGTGGGTATTACACGGTTCTGTCCTACCAGCTGTGGGTATTACACGGTTCTGTCCTACCACCTGTGGGTATTACACGGTTCTGTCCTATCACCTGTGGGTATTACACGGTTCTGTCCTACCACCTGTGGGTATTACACGGCTCTGTCCTACCAGCTATGGGTATTACACGGTTCTGTCCTACCAGCTGTGGGTATTACACGGTTCTGTCCTAACTCTTGTGTGTATTACACGGTTCTGTCCTACCAGCTGTGGGTATTACACGGTTCTGTCCTACCACCTGTGGGTATTACACGGTTCTGTCCTACCACCTGTGGGTATTACACGGTTCTGTCCTACCACCTGTGGGTATGACACAGTTCTGTCCTAACTCTTGTGTGTATTACACGGTTCTGTCCTACCAGCTATGGGTATTACACGGTTCTGTCCTACCAGCTATGGGTATTACATGGTTCTGTCCTACCAGCTGTGGGTATCACACTATTCTGTCCTAGCACCTGTGGGTATTACGCGGTTCTGTCCTAACTCTTGTGTGTATGACACGGTTCTGTCCTAACTCTTGTGTGTATTACACAGTTCTGTCCTAACTCTTGTGTGTATGACACGGTTCTGTCCTACCAGCTATGGGTATGACACGGTTCTGTCCTAACTCTTGTGGGTATGACATGGTTCTGTCCTACCAGCTATGGGTATGACACGGTTCTGTCCTACCAGCTATGGGTATGACACGGTTCTGTCCTAACTCTTGTGGGTATGACACGGTTCTGTCCTACCAGCTATGGGTATGACACGGTTCTGTCCTAACTCTTGTGTGTATTACATGTTACAGGTTGTATTCATTGATTACAGTGATATATATATAGTATGAGACTTGTAGACATGTACAGTATGTTTGTCTACAGATCAGTTGGAGTATGATCAGGTAATAGGATTAAATGTTACACAGGTGTTTGTATTAATTCTGTAATTGATATGGGACACATATTTATGGTACAATGTATTCTCTTACTAAGATTTTTTTCATTATAGCCAAGTATATTTTGTCCGAAAGTTAATATATGAAGGTGATTGTGTTTGAGATCATTAAATGTCCATAGTTTAAGTTTAGTTGCAAAATATCACATGTAATTTTATCTACACAGGTAAACATTGGTATGTACAAAGTCACACTTACAACCAATTTATTGACTTTTGTAGAAAATTAATATGAAGGATTGTACTGGTGAAGTGCTGACCTAGTTATAGAGTGTGACGCAAGACTCCTCGTCAACATGGCTTCCTCCTGGAAACTCTCATCACAATGTGACTTCAACAGGTCAGTTTACCCATCTTTGATTTCATTTTAATGCAAGGTCTAGATTTTGGACGTGGTTATACAAATTATATACATGTACTTTGCCTAAACCATTCTTAAAAAGGCTGAACATTTTGTCCCAGTCTCACCTTACAGAGGGTAAAGCTAATAAGCTAGAATAATCTTACTACGTGGCTGAAGGGAACAAATTTGATAGGCCTATATATACACAAAAGTGTATAGATTCTATGAATTATGGTAATTAGGACCCTCTGTCGAAGATGTGTATTTCCTATAAAAATTACTAATCAAGTTGTTGTACAATATCTCCAGTTCTGTCAGACTGTTTACACTCAGACTTTAGATATCGCTTCTTCACAGCAAGTGCTTTGGATTACTTTTCATGTTCATAGTCAGGTCAAGTCAGGTCAAGTCAGGGTCAAGTCAGGACAAGTCAGGGTCAAGTCAGGGTCAAGTCAGGACAAATCAGGTCAAGTCAGGGTCAAGTCAGGGTCAAGTCAGGACAAATCAGGTCAAGTCAGGACAAGTCAGGTCAAGTCAGGTCAATTCAGGTCAAGATCACTATTTCTATGAATAGAACATGGAAATATATTGTAAAATATATATTATAAACAAATGCTATGGGTAAACATTCTCTTTTGATATTGAAGCAAAATTGACTGAAATCAAATGAAAAGTCTCTTATCTATAGGTCAAGGTCATAAGGTCAAAGGTCAAAGTCAGATTTGAATATTTCATTGGGAAGTATTCTGATATGAGATTATGAAGCAAAGTTGACCAGAATCAGATGAAGAGTCATTTTTCTACTGGCAAAGATCAAGTTGTGAAAACTTATTTGGAAATATCTTATTATTGTCAGTTATTTTTTATAATCATTTGCAATGGTATTTATGTAACATCATTATTTTAGAAATGGCAGCTATACCACTCTTTGAAATCCAAGTCCTCTTCACATTGTCTAGATTTTTGTTTCTGATGTGTATGTCATATTTTAGGAGATTGGGACACCACACCCCTAATACAGAATTACATCATTGTTACATCAGACTTTCCTTATTTCATGTATTGAAGTCTAATTATTCTGATTATAACTTGATGTAATGTCACTTATACAACTTTGTTTTGTTCATTCTAAACCAAGCTTCCTCATCTGTCTGGGTGGTCTGTATTATGTTAATAAGGATATAATAAATTCCTTATAATCCTACACCTGTCCATTCCTCCTGTAGGGTAACTGTTAAGGCCCTTTGGACCTTTTCTTCAGTATATATTGTTGTTTTTCTTTTAAATTATTTTGTATCACTGCAGGTTGATGAACTGCCGGGCAAAGAAAGGGGAGGCTTATGTCCCAACTGATGTGGAGCATGTAGCTAATATTATAACACATGGGGTAAGTCATTGTTGTCCTGTGTTACACTGTAAATTCTGTGTAGTGACTGAAGCATTAGTACCCATAGTGGCTTTGTCATGTAGCAGGAAATATTCGTTCCTGAGTGATGAGATATATACAGTGATGAAAATCAGAGAAAATTAATGTGAACTACCTAAAACCAAGGGCAACTAAAACCAGGGCAACTAAAACCAGGGCAACTAAAACCAGTGCAACTAAACCAGGGCAACTAAACCAGGGCAACTAAAACCAGGGGCAACTAAAACCAGGGGCAACTAAAACCAGGGCAACTAAACCAGGGCAACTAAAACCAGGGGCAACTAAAACCACGGGTAACTAAAACCAGGGCAACTAAACCAGGGCAACTAAAACCAGGGATAACTAAAACCAGGGCAACTAAAACCAGGGGCAACTAAAATCAGGGCAATTAAAGCCATGGCAACTGAAACCATGGCAATTAAACCAGGGACAACTAAACCAGGGGCAACTAAAGCCAGGCCAACTAAACCAGGGGCAACTTAACCAGGGGCAACGGAAACAAGGACAACTAAAACCAGGGGCAACTAAACCAGGGCAACTAAAACAAGGGCAACTAAAACCAGGGCAAATAAAACCAGGACAACTAAACCAGGGGCAACTAAACCAGGGCAACTGCAAAATACTAGCTCTGTTAAAATAAACAATATATACAAGCACATCAGTCTGTGCCAACAACAGTGATTAATGTATGTTGAAACAACTTATTTTACAGTTGTTAAAAATGAAAGAAATTTACAATCTGTGTTGTTGCACTTCGTGGGAAGTTTCTAGTGGTGAAGTGTTCCACAGAAATGACTGATAGGGATTATAGCTGTCATGTCTTTTTGTTGTGAAAGAAATAGGTCAAAGTTATATGAGTACACCTCAAGAATGACAGCAGGGTGTAAAAAAGATATGATAAAAATACCCAGGCCTTTCTGAAAGAAATCTGAAATACTATTTGTGACAATATTATGTCATTATGTTGATGTTTTTAAGGTTGTGAACAATGGCCTCAGTAAAACAGATTTCCTTTATCATCAAGACAGTTATCTATATAATCCATCAGAATGGTTATGTCCTGAACATTGTAACTTTAATACTATTGTGGCATGTTCATTATGTACATGATTGTATATTTTGTGTTTGAAGAAGGATTTTCCTGCCAGCAGTACATACTGTATCTCCAAATGCACAGTATATATTGACTTAGTAATGGTCATAGTTAAATCAAGAAAGGTCCTGTATTTCCTAAACACAACATTTCTGAGCAAATAAAGAATAAATGGATTTCTGTTGGCATGCTGATCCACAGATTTGGTCAATATATATATACTTAAATTCTAGTATTCTATATATGTAATGTGATTTATGTAATATTTGTGTCTTGATAAAGGCTGGTTGCCTTGAAAATGTTACTATTTGCGTTTCCGTACTGTTGCTATTAATTCATTGACCATATATCTATCCCAGTAATACACATCCAACAAACGTTTGTTAGGATCCAGTACCAATATTGGACCATACCATTGATAGCGATGGACAACAAAGGCCATTTATAAGGGACAAAAAGTCATCTTAATTTGTTGTATGAAAGATAGTGATTCAAATATCAGAAATGTGTGATATGTAAATCTTAATATGTTGTACACCGTATCCTTCAGCATCCATCAGCCAAAGGAATTATCAAGACACCTAAATTTACACCACAGTTCTAAATTTTACTTTAAAATTTGTAATTTGTTTTATGTTCTATGTATATGATGTAATTTTTGTAATACTGTGTATGTGTCTTGATAAAGGGTCAAATTGCCTGAAACATTTGAAAATTCACTTGTCCATACTGTCATTACTACTTCATTGATCATATATACTAACACGAAAAAGAAACGCCGGGTACACTAAGTATACTACAAATGATTTATTGCTTGGCCTAGAATAATGACACTCGGTCAGGTTGATGTGTTGTTCGCGGTCACTAGGTACACATGTTTAAAATCACACAATACCTGACCTCCGCGTCCTTGCAAGGCACGTGCTAAAATACAAGAATCCTGTGCAGGGGAAGGTCATTAAGTTCGCCAATGGAAATTTTCAGTCTATTTGATACTGTTAAAGTATTCGAATTGATTTTTCAAAGTTTAATTCAAATTAAGCAATTTACATCCATGCAACGATTGACGGAAGTCTAGCGGGGACAGGCTATAGGAATGCTTTTGCAGGGTCAGGGCCAACTTCAGGTTGCTGCACATTTGGTGTGCATATTCGGACAATTCAACATCTTGTCCAACGTGTGCGAGTGACGGGGAGGGTCATCGACCAACCGCGAAGTGGACGTCCGCGCATCACGACGCCACATCAGGATCTTTCTCACGTACTTAATCGCCATCTCACAGCTACCGAAACTGCAAACAACACTATAGACAGTCACAACCGCCATATTCATCCTGATACGGTTCGAAACCGATTACGCGTCAATGGCCTAAGAGCGCAACGTCCCTATGTTGGTCTGCCCCTAACTCCTGCGCGTCGCCAACGCCTATTGGCTTGGTTACAAGCACACTCGCCCAGAAATTTTCCTATGAGGCAATGGAGACAGGTATTCTTCCCTGAGTAATCCCGGTTCACTCTCTACTGTTTGGACGGGCGACGTCGTGTATATCGACGTCGAGGGGAACGTTACACCGACACGTGCGTCGCTGAGCGGGATAGGTTTGGCAGTGGTTCATTATGTGTTTGGGGCGGTATCTCCTATGGGTTTAAATCACCGCTGATCGTGATTGACAGTAATTTAACCGGCGTAAGGTATAGAGACGAAATCCTTCGCCCAGTTGCCACGCCATGTGTGCAAGCACGGAACCTGATATTCCAGCAAGACAATGCCCGGCCCCATGTCGCTAGAGTTTGTCAGCAATTTCTTGCCAACAATAACGTAATCCCAATCGATTGGCCAGCATTCAGTCCAGATTTGTCTCCAATTGAGCATTTGTGGGACGAATTGGATAGGAGAGTTAGGAGACATCCAAATGCCCCCACTAATCTGGTCCAGCTCACACATGCCTTGCATGAAGAATGGAATAACATCCCCATTGCAAGGGTTAACACCCTGATGAATTCCATGCACAGAAGAATCAGGGCTGCGACAGCTGCGCATGGAGGACACACAAGATACTGAAATGTCCGGCCGTGTTGCGCAATACAAGTAGGGTCATCGCTAAAAGGGGGATATTTTTGGCATAATTAGCATTGATAATCGATAGAACCTTCAACAAATGGTTCCAAACAGATGAAATTGTATACAAAAATGAATGAAATAATGTAACATTAAATTATATCATTTAAAAGAATCTTTTTAGGTTACACAGCGTTTCTTTTTCGTTTTAGTATATATACTCGGCGCCAATGAAAACGCAACACTAAAATTTTGGACATAATATATTCTTCACAACAAGGATTAGATTCTTATTCTGCTGTATTTAGCCACAACACAATGCACTACAAAACTAACGAAATAATGGTTGAGTAATATCAACTCCTTGTCGTACCACAGGGCATTGTCGTAAAAGCATGAGTTTGCAAGTCGGCGCTCTAAAGTGCGTTATATCCTTGCTCAGTCACTACTAGTGAACACTGTAGTTACAGGCAGACATTTTTCCGTCATCAATTTTTTAAATTGTCATCATTATTTGCTACAAATGCCTCGACTGACAGACAATGAAAGACACGAAGCTCAGGGTATGCTGGAAGGAGGGCTTTCTCAGAGGGAAGTTGCCAGGAGAATGGGTTGTTCTGCTTCCACAAACAATCGACTGGCAGAACGAGTGCGACAAACCGGATCCGTGAGAGAACGACCTCGTCCGGGGCGACAGAGTGACGACGCCAAACCAGGACCGTTCCATTCGACAAAGACACCTGCGAGACCGTTTTCAAACCGCGACAAGAATGGCTAGACAGACGATAGGAAGTCATGGCAGATGTTTGTCAGCTAGTACTGTGCGCCGTCACCTTAGCACAACTGGATTGGCGTTGCGTTGTCCATTTAGAGGAAACGAATTGACTCAAATTCGCTGTCAAAATCGTCTAAATTGGACAGCATCAAGGATGGGCCCAACGGTGGGCTGGCGTCCTGTTCACCGACGAATCGAGATTCCGCCTCAGAAGAAATGACGGTAGAATTCGAGTGTGGCGACGTCGAGGTGAAAGGTTTTTGGACTGCTGTGTAACGGAAACGGATAGGTGGGGCGAGGGCAGTGTAATGGTGTGGGGAGGTATCTCTTTTGCATACCGTACCCCTCTAGTAATTATTGACGGCAATCTAACAGCACAGCGCTACATCAACGAGGTCTTAACTCCTGCTATTGTTCCATTCTTTGCTGGACACCCAAACATAGCGTTATTACAACAGGACAATGCACAACCACATACCGCTCGTATCACTACAGACTACCTTCAACATCAGAACATCGCAACCCTTCCGTGGCCTGCGTTTTCCCCGGATCTTAGTCCGATCGAGCATCTTTGGGACCAATTGGGTAGGGCTGTGAGAGAGCGACCACAACAGCCCCAGACTTGTCGGCAGCTTGAAATCGCTCTTCAGGAAGAGTGGAGGAACATTCCTCAAATCAAAATTCAACGCCTTATTCGGTCAATGCCTCGAAGATGCCGTGCTTGTGTCGCTGCAAATGGTGGCCACATTAGATATTGAACGTGGTAATTTTTTTTTTTGGGGGTATGGACATTAGTCACCGGAAATCAAAGTATTCCCATGATGTAGTGCTGATTGCATTGAGTGAATTTTGTTATGGACATAATCAACTTTTAGGTATTTTATTAAATATTGTATTCAAAACTATAACTGGTAAATTTTGACAGTAATTTAAAGGTGTTGCGTTTTCATTGACGCTGAGTATATATATATTTGAAAGGCGTGCCTATATCCACAGATCTGGTCTATATATACCTTACAAACCTGTTACCCTTACCAATTTGTAAGGCATGCAGATCATCAGCAAACCTGTTACACTTGTCATATTGAAAGACATGCAGATCCACAGATTTTGTCAATGTCTTTATAGCTTAAAATCTTAACTTTGTTTCAATATTGAAAGTTTGTAAAACAAAAAGAATTTAAAATTTCTTGAATGCAAATCAAAAACCAATAAAAAAAATAATTGCATTTTCTGCACCATTTCCATGTCAACTAGCACCATTTCCTTGTCAACTAGCTCCATTTACATGTCAACTAGCACCATTTCCATGGCAGCTAGCACCATTTACTCATCAACTAGCACCATTTCCATGTCAACTAGCACCATTTCCGTGTCAACAAGCTCCATTTCCGTGTCAACTAGCACAATTTCCGTGTCAACTAGCACCATTTCCGTGTCAACAAGCACCATTTCCATGTCAACTAGCACCATTTCCATGTCAACAAGCTCCATTTCCACGTCAACTAGCACCATTTCCACGTCAACTAGCACCATTTCCATGTCAACAAGCACCACTTCCATGTCAACAAGCACCATTTCCATGTCAACAAGCACCATTTCCATGTCAACATAATATGTTAATATATACTACAACACAGGGACCTATAATACCTTATACAGACCATTAATATATACTACAACACAGGGACCTATAATACCTTATACAGACCATTAATATATCCTACAACACAGGGACCTATAATACCTTATACAGACCATTGATGCATACTACAACACAGGGACCTATAATACCTTATACAGACCATTGATGCATACTACAACACAGGGACCTATAATACCTTATACAGACCATTAATATATCCTACAACACAGGGACCTATAATACCTTATACAGACCATTAATATATCCTACAACACAGGGACCTATAATACCTTATACAGACCATTAATATATCCTACAACACAGGGACCTTATAATACCTTATACAGACCATGATAATATATAATACCTTATACAGACCATTAATATAACACAGGGACCTATAATACCTTATACAGACCATTGATGCATACTACAACACAGGGACCTATAATACCTTATACAGACCATTAATATATCCTACAACACAGGGACCTATAATACCTTATACAGACCATTGATGCATACTACAACACAGGGACCTATAATACCTTATACAGACCATTAATATATCCTACAACACAGGGACCTATAATACCTTATACAGACCATTGATGCATACTACAACACAGGGACCTATAATACCTTATACAGACCATTAATATATACTACAACACAGGGACCTATAATACCTTATACAGACCATTAATATATACTACAACACAGGGACCTATAATACCTTATACAGACCATTAATATATCCTACAACACAGGGACCTATAATACCTTATACAGACCATTGATGCAAACTACAAGTTAGGTTTAGTTTTTCAATGTTTCAGTTTTGGGTGATTCCCAGTGCTTGCCACTGTTTAGATTTTATTTTCCACTATTTCAGTTTTGGGTGATTCCCAGTGCTTGCCACTGTTTAGATTTTATTTTCCACTATTTCAGTTTTGGGTGATTCCCAGTGCTTGCCACTGTTTAGATTTTATTTTCCACTATTTCAGTTTTGGGTGATTGCCACTGTTTAGATTTTATTTTCCACTATTTCAGTATTGGGTGATTGCCAGTGCTTGCCACTGTTTAGATTTTATTTTCCACTATTTCAGTTTTGGGTGATTGCCAGTGCTTGCCACTGTTTAGATTTTATTTTCCACTATTTCAGTTTTGGGCGATTGCCACTGTTTAGATTTTATTTTCCACTATTTCAGTTTTGGGTGATTGCCACTGTTTAGATTTTATTTTCCACTATTTCAGTTTTGGGTGATTGCCACTGTTTAGATTTTATTTTCCACTATTTCAGTTTTGGGTGATTGCCAGTGCTTGCCACTGTTTAGATTTTATTTTTCAATGTTTCAGTTTTGGGTGATTGCCAGTGCTTGCCACTGTTTAGATTTTATTTTCCACTATTTCAGTTTTGGGTGATTGCCACTGTTTAGATTTTATTTTCCACTATTTCAGTTTTGGGTGATTCCCAGTGCTTGCCACTGTTTAGATTTTATTTTCCACTATTTCAGTTTTGGGTGATTGCCACTGTTTAGATTTTATTTTCCACTATTTCAGTTTTGGGTGATTGCCACTGTTTAGATTTTATTTTCCACTATTTCAGTATTGGGTGATTGCCAGTGCTTGCCACTGTTTAGATTTTATTTTCCACTATTTCAGTTTTGGGTGATTGCCAGTGCTTGCCACTGTTTAGATTTTATTTTCCACTATTTCAGTATTGGGTGATTGCCACTGTTTAGATTTTATTTTCCACTATTTCAGTATTGGGTGATTGCCAGTGCTTGCCACTGTTTAGATTTTATTTTCCACTATTTCAGTTTTGGGTGATTCCCAGTGCTTGCCACTGTTTAGATTTTATTTCAGCCACTATTTCAGTTTTGGGTGATTGCCAGTGCTTGCCACTGTTTAGATTTTATTTTCCACTATTTCAGTTTTGGGTGATTCCCAGTGCTTGCCACTGTTTAGATTTTATTTTCCACTATTTCAGTATTGGGTGATTGCCACTGTTTAGATTTTATTTTCCACTATTTCAGTTTTGGGTGATTCCCAGTGCTTGCCACTGTTTAGATTTTATTTTCCACTATTTCAGTTTTGGGTGATTGCCAGTGCTTGCCACTGTTTAGATTTTATTTTCCACTATTTCAGTTTTGGGTGATTCCCAGTGCTTGCCACTGTTTAGATTTTATTTTCCACTATTTCAGTTTTGGGTGATTGCCACTGTTTAGATTTTATTTTTCAATGTTTCAGTTTTGGGTGATTGCCAGTGCTTGCCACTGTTTAGATTTTATTTTCCACTATTTCAGTTTTGGGTGATTCCCAGTGCTTGCCACTGTTTAGATTTTATTTTCCACTATTTCAGTTTTGGGTGATTCCCAGTGCTTGCCACTGTTTAGATTTTATTTTCCACTATTTCAGTTTTGGGTGATTCCCAGTGCTTGCCACTGTTTAGATTTTATTTTCCACTATTTCAGTTTTGGGTGATTGCCAGTGCTTGCCACTGTTTAGATTTTATTTTTCAATAGATTTTATTTTCCACTATTTCAGTTTTGGGTGATTCCCAGTGCTTGCCACTGTTTAGATTTTATTTTTCAATGTTTCAGTTTTGGGTGATTGCCACTGTTTAGATTTTATTTTCCACTATTTCAGTTGTGGGTGATTCCCAGTGCTTGCCACTGTTTAGATTTTATTTTTCAATGTTTCAGTTTTGGGTGATTCCCAGTGCTTGCCACTGTTTAGATTTTATTTTTCAATGTTTCAGTTTTGGGTGATTCCCAGTGCTTGCCACTGTTTAGATTTTATTTTTCAATGTTTCAGTTTTGGGTGATTCCCAGTGCTTGCCACTGTTTAGATTTTATTTTCCAATATTTCAGTTTTGGGTGATTCCCAGTGCCCTAGCCACCCTATGGATGGTTTATCGGTCCAACACCCACCTACAGTACAAAATGGCACTTGTCTATGGCTTGGCTCTCACAGCACTCTTCTTTGTTTCCTGCATGTTTCATTCACTTTCCTTCATTGGAAGGTACAGGTAGGTTGTAAACAGTTATCCAGCTCTCATAATCTACTCCTTGTCAATTTAAATTTTAACACTGAAGAACAGAATAAAAAAAGAAATTCACACATCAAGGAAAATGCATTCTTATGTTTGAAGAAAAGTCCTGTCAAGAATAAGTACCTTGTAATTTTGATAAACATATACCCACATCTTGTTGTTAATCATGTCAGGCTTTTATCTGTTTTGTAGGAAATTAAAACATATTTTTCACATTGGCGACCGTGCAGTTATCTACATTTTCATCGCCTCCTCTTATACACCCTGGTAAGTCTAAACATCTGTATTGACTTCAAGCTCATTGCTGAGTTAACATAGGTCTTTACCACATGTTCATTCTATGGTCTCTGATTATTTGATTAATGTACAACTGTGACATTACCTCTAAAAACTAACAAAGAATGAAGTCATCAGTATCCTATTATATTGAAATTTTCTAAGAAAGCAAAAGTTGATGTTTTCTGTCATTTTATTTGTTTTATTTTTTGGTGATGAAAAACTGATAAAGGACTGTGATAAAACAATCAATGACTTGTCTTATCTGTAATAAACTTTTCCTGGTCTCATCTGTAATAAACCTTTCCTGGTCTTATCTGTAATAAACCTTTCCTGGTCTTATCTGTAATAAACTTTTCCTGGTCTCATCTGTAATAAACCTTTCCTGGTCTTATCTGTAATAAACCTTTCCTGGTCTTATCTGTAATAAACCTTTCCTGGTCTTATCTGTAATAAACCTTTCTTGGTCTTATCTGTAATAAACCTTTCTTGGTCTTATCTGTAATAAACCTTTCTTGGTCTTATCTGTAATAAACCTTTCCTGGTCTTATCTGTAATAAACCTTTCCTGGTCTTATCTGTAATAAACTTTTCCTGGTCTTATCTGTAATAAACCTTTCCTGGTCTTATCTGTAATAAACTTTTCCTGGTCTTATCTGTAATAAACCTTTCCTGGTTTCATCTGTAATAAACCTTTCCTGGTCTTATCTGTAATAAACCTTTCCTGGTCTTATCTGTAATAAACTTTTCCTGGTCTTATCTGTAATAAACCTTTCCTGGTCTTATCTGTAATAAACTTTTCCTGGTCTTATCTGTAATAAACCTTTCCTGGTTTCATCTGTAATAAACCTTTCCTGGTCTTATCTGTAATAAACCTTTCCTGGTCTTATCTGTAATAAACTTTTCCTGGTTTCATCTGTAATAAACCTTTCCTGGTCTTATCTGTAATAAACCTTTCCTGGTCTTATCTGTAATAAACCTTTCCTGGTCTTATCTGTAATAAACTTTTCCTGGTCTTATCTGTAATAAACCTTTCCTGGTCTCATCTGTAATAAACCTTTCCTGGTCTTATCTGTAATATAATTTTGACTGAAAGTGGGCACTGGAAATGGCCTTTTTTAATTTTGGAAATTAATGAAAGTCTGATGGAGCGAGATCAGGTGAAACAAGCAGATTCTCAATCAGATCAAAGCCACAATTGTTAATGACAGCCATGGCAATAACAGACTTGTGAATAGGGGTATTGTCCTGGTGGAACAACACACCTTAACTGAGTTTGTGCAGTGCCTGAGTTTCATATTTTCTCTTAACTGCCTAAGATGTGATGCATAATATGTGCCATTTATTGTCCCTTTCTCAGATATTCTACTATTAGAATACCATCAGAATCCCAGAAAACCAAGGCCACAACATTTCCAGCCTATGGAACAGTCTTTGCCTTCTTTGATGGGGTTGAACCAGGGTGCTTCCATTGTTTAGACTGTTGTGTGGTCTCTGGGGTGAAATAATGGACCCACATTTTACCCATAGTCACAAACTTCTGTAGAAAGTTAGCAGGACCTGCCTCTAAAAGATTTAAATTAGCAGACGAAAAAGTCTGCCTTGTTTGCTTCTGATCAACTGTCCAAAGTCTTGGTACCCAACGGGCTGAGAGCTTTCTCGTTGCAAGATCTTCTGTAAGAATGGAATGTACTCTTTCTTGTGAAATCCCAGCTGTACTGGCTATATATCTCACTGTAACTCACGTGACAGCCATAACAATATCATGGACTTAATTGACCATTTCTAGGGCTGCAACAGTGACAGGCCTCCAGGATGAATGTCATTCCCAAGGCTCTGCCTGCCATGCTTAAATTCTGCCATACACCTTTTTTACTATAGCATATGAAGGGACATTGTTCCCTAGTGTTGCTACCATTTCAGTATGGATATATCCTAAGGCACAATACCTTTCTTATCCAAACATTGAATCACTGTTCCTTCAGCAATTTTGTCCATTTTGCCAAAGTCATTTGACTTGTTTACTTTAGAGTGCTACCTCTTCAACATAAACTGACTATATGACACTAGTCTTTGGGTACACAGTCTGAAATAGTCAGTGAATAGTAGAGCTGAAAAAGGACATTCCTGCTTTACTTCTTAGATACAAGGCTCACAACTTTTCAATCAGTTCTGGTATGTCAGGAATCCATGGACAGATTTAGTTCAAGCATCACTACACATCAGTAGATTTTGGTGGTCATTAGCCAAGTGTAAAGGTCAATGGTCACTCTTGACCACTTTTGAAATAAGAGCTTAATTGTGTACCAGATATGTCATGAACCCCTTCATGCATTAATCCCTCAATGATTTAGATCAAAGAAAAAGATGAGGGGTTGACAGGAATATCTACATAAATTCCAGCTCATTTTGTTTTCAATAATTAAAAATGTAAAATCATAACGGAAGAAATGATTTCTTACCACACTCCGATCTTTGATGGAATAATTCTTTCCCTACAGGTTTATGTGTATTAAATGTTTATACTTAATGGTGTTACCTATAGGTTGGTTCTGAAAGACTTGGGAGGGCTTGGTGATGAAACACTTGTCATTGTATGGACAATGGCAGCTGTGGGAATTCTCTACCAGTATGTTTTCCATGAAAAGTAAGTATATCTTTCAGTGTTATGTACATGCTTTTAAGTGTTCTGTCTCTGTATATGAATAATGTAAAACTTTCAGTAGATTATATTGATGTTGAATGTTGTGGTTACCATGGTAACAAGGTCTGTTTTTGTTTTACAGGTATAAGTGGCTGGAGATAGTGTTTTACCTGACGATAGGAGTGTGTCCAGCTCTTGTTACATTTACTATGGTAAACATTAGTTGTCACTCTCCCGAAATAAGTCCTTGTAACATCCCTGCTTTTATCTGTTACAGTTTAGTAACAAAGACAAATCACTATCATTATGGTATAAGAAGTTTACTCCCTACCCTGTGTATACTTTGTTGTGACAAATCACTATCATTATGGTATAAGAAGTTTACTCCCTACCCTGTGTATACTTTGTTGTGACAAATCACTATCATTATGGTATAAGAAGTTTACTCCCTACCCTGTGTATACTTTGTTGTGACAAATCACTCTATCATTATAGTATAAGAAGTTTACTCCCTACCCTGTGTATACTTTGTTGTGACAAATCACTATCATTATGGTATAAGAAGTTTACTCCCTACCCTGTGTATACTTTGTTGTGACAAATCACTCTATCATTATAGTATAAGAAGTTTACTCCCTACCCTGTGTATACTTTGTTGTGACAAATCACTATCATTATGGTATAAGAAGTTTACTCCCTACCCTGTGTATACTTTGTTGTGACAAATCACTATCATTATGGTATAAGAAGTTTACTCCCTACCCTGTGTATACTTTGTTGTGACAAATCACTGTATTATTATGGTATAAGAAGTTTACTCCCTACCCTGTGTATACTTTGTTGTGAACTTCATTTTGAAGTGGGATCTCCTTTTAGTAGCTGGTGACTGCCTCACAGCAGGCGGTAGGCCTATCATTTAATAGCCAAAGGAATTGTCGTAAAATTTGTAACTCAACCACAACAACACAAAGCAGTCTGTGATCTCAGATTTCTTAGAAACACAAATAACTCCCAGCAGTGATCTCAGATTTCTTAGAAACATAAACCACTCCCAGTGGTGATCTCAGATTTCTTAGAAACACAAACCACTCTCAGTAATGATCTTAGATTTCTTAGAAACACAAACCTGTCCCAGCAGTGATCTCAGATTTTTTTAGAAACATAAACCACTCCCAGTAGTGATCTCAGATTTCTTAGAAACACAAACCACTCTCAGTAATGATCTAAGATTTCTGAGGAACACAAACCACTCCCAGTAATGATGTCAGATTTCTTATAAACACAAACCACTCCCAGCAGTGATCTCAGATTTCTTAGAAACACAAACCACTCCCAGCAGTGATCTCAGATTTCTTAGAAACATAAACCACTCCCAGTAGTGATGTCAGATTTCTTAGAAACACAAACCACTCCCAGCAGTGATCTTAGATTTCTGAGAAATACAAATAAAATGATCTTACCTGTAAAAGGTGAAGTATGAACTTTGTATGGACGACCTCAATTAGTTTTGAATCCATTTTGCTTTTCCCATTGAACTAGCTCCTGGATGTAAAGAGCTGGTCTTTTTACCCCACAGCCCAAAAGGGTGTGGGGTATTGCGATCATGCACGGCGTCCATCCGTCTGTCTGTCTGTCCGCCCGTCCGTCCACAATTGCATACCGCTTATTATCTCAAAAACTACATCACCAGTTATCACCATTTTCACTGGGGATGTTGGGCCTATGGACCTACATAACCCTATTGTTTTTCGTCACCACGCGATATCCAATATGGCGGTTACGGGCGCCATCTTGAATTTGTAATCCACTCATTATCTCAAGAACGACAACACTGGTGGTCACCATTTTTACTGAGGATGTTGAGCCTATTGACCTATACAACCCTATTGTTTTTCGTCGCCGCCCAATATCCAATATGGTGGTTACGGGCGCCATCTTGAATTTGCATTCCGCTCATTATCTCAAGAACGACATCACTGATGACCACCATTTTCACTGAGGATGTTGGGCCTATGGACCTACACAACCCTATTGTTTTTCTTAGTCGCTCGATATCCAATATGACAGTTACGGCCACCATCTTGAATTTGCATTCTGCTCATTATCTCAAGAATGACATCACCAGCGATCACCATTTTTACACTGGGCATGTTGGGTCTATGGACCTACACAACCCTATTGTTTTTCGTCGTCGCCCGATATCCATAATGAGCGGACTGCAAATGCCAACAAAAATCTACAGGCTTATTTACGTCCATAGAGCCAAAATGCTCAGTGAAAATGGTGATCTCCTATGATCTCATTCTTGAGATAACTTTCCACTCACCCCAACCACACATTTCTAACTTTATAATAAGGCTGTGGGCTATTGGCCGCATTTGCAGAGCTATTTTTAGAGAATAACATCATTATCATTACCATTAGAAGATAACTTCAGATCCCACAACTTTCCTAGGATAAGTTTTATCAGCATACATAGTGCATTTCAACAGAGAAAACTTCACCTGTTGAGACACCATACTGATGTGACACCAGAAGATACTGGTGTTGGTAAACTGTTATTTAAATGAACAAACATTATTTTGAACAAGAAAACTCAGCTGGAAATGATATTTCCCGACCAAATATGGTATTGTGGTCACAATTAACATTTGGGATTGATACAGTGTTATAGACTTGTCACTAAACTCACATGCCTACATCAATTTTATCAAACATTATCCTATGTACACTAAGGTTGTAACCATCTCGTACACTACGTACGTCAGTGTTAGTACGTTCCACACTGATCATTTGTCTGATGAAGGTGACCATGTAGTCATTGAAATGTCACACTCTAACCTTCTACTGGTTGTGTAAAAAATGAAGGTGACCGTGTAGTCATTGAAACATCACACTCTAATATTCTACTGGTTGTATAAAAAATGAAGGTGATCGTGTAGTCATTGAAACGTCACACTCTAATATTCTACTGGTTGTATAAAAAATGAAGGTGATCGTGTAGTCATTGAAACGTCACACTCTAATCTTCTACTGGTTGTGTAAAAAATGAAGGTGACCGTGTAGTCATTGAAACGTCACACTCTAATCTTCTACTGGTTGTGTAAAAAATGAAGGTGACCGTGTAGTCATTGAAATGTCACATTCTAATATTCTACTGGTTGTGTAAAAAATGAAGGTGACCGTGTAGTCATAGAAACGTCACACTCTTATCTTCTACTGGTTGTGTTATAAGATGAAGGTGACCGTGTAGTCATTGAAACGTCACACTCTAATCTTTTACTGGTTGTGTTATAAGAACTACTTTTCTACTTCATACATAAATATCTTTACATAAACATGACAAGGTTAGAATTATTGACGATTCTCTATTATATTTGTATTCAGTAACACTGATGTTGAAGCTCTAGAAAAAGTTTTGGTTTTTGTTGCAGAGAGAGACCACTGGTCTGTATGAATTGGCTTTGGGAGGGATGACCTACATCGCTGGTGTAGTGTTTTTTAAATGTGACGGCATCATTCCATTTGCCCATGCTATCTGGCACTGCTTTGTGTTGGTGGGGGCTATGCTTCACTACTACGCCATTTCTGCATACCTGCTCGGACGAGAAAAGGATGAGGTCATGTGGGACAGTTAACAAGGTCAAAGATTGCTGCACCAAAATCCGCAGTTCATAGGTATCATAGTCTGTAGCAAAAGAAACAAATACAATACAGTATTAGACAAGGAGCACAAAATTCTCAAAGCTACTTTGTCAGTAATTCCTTACTGTTTTCACAAAAAAAGAGATGATGTATTAGATATCACAATTTAGTATTGAAGGTTACAAAAATGATTTTATTTTTATTGGAAATTCAAGTTATTGAATATATGACACTATCTTTTTTAGATTCCGAGAAGATTTTTCATTGAAAGCTTCAACAAAGCATCAACATTATATGTATATTGTGTCAGATCATTAGTGATTTCTTTGTAATGAAATTGGATGTTGTAAAATATCTGGTATTTTGTGTTAGTAGCCCAATGGAATACACTAAATGTGATCTAAGGATTTTCTTGGTAATGTGATTGCTTTGCTATATATTGTTACAGAGACTATTTCCATTCATTGATCAATTATTCTCAGACGGGTGCCATTTTTAACTCGCCTGGACCTTTAGCCAGGTGACAATTTGTTGTGGTGCAGCTTCTGTCGTTTGTCTCTTGAACACCAGGTTTCCTGAACAGATACAGATTTAAACTAGATTTAAACAAGCATTAATGTTTAAGGGGAACACAGTTCTGAAATGTGTTGAATTAAGAACAGCTGTCATTGGCTGCGACACTTTGCTGTCTTCCATCATACCTATGATCTTGTAAATCTTTCATTTAGGGAGTCTTTCATATCTTTGAAATCCAACTTGTTAATTTAATCAAATTTGAATTTCCTTTTCTCGTTCAGTTATATTCTAATTACAGTGAAATCTTCAGTGCCATTAAGAAACCTGAACTTATTTTTATTTTCTGAATGTGGTGAAAGAATTAAAAGAAACAGGTGAGAAATACAGGCCCTGTAGATCATTTGTTTATTAGTCATGTCAAATTAAAATTTAACACTTCATAGATGTTAAATGATCATTTAGAACAGTAATTTACTGGAGAATATTTTAGCACTTAGTAAAAAATACAAAAATTACTGGATATTTGATTTAGGTATAAACCAGTATCAAGCAGGGTGATTAGAATCTGTGTAAAATGTAAAAACACAGTTTGTCCTTAAATTGAAATTTTCTCACTACTAATCAATCAGTATTATATGATAATAACTTACAGAGTGAAATGACAGAAGTTAGAGGTCAAGAGGTCAATAACTTACAAAGTGAAATGACAGAAGTTAGAGGTCAAGAGGTCAATAACTTAGAGTGAAATGACAAGTTAGAGGTCAAGAGTTCAATAACTTACAGAGTGAAAAAACAGAAGTTAGAGGTCAAGAGGTCAATAACTTACAGAGTGAAATTTTAGAAGTTAGAGGTCAAAAGGTCAATAACTTAGAGTGAAATGACAGAAGTTAGAGGTCAAGAGGTCAATAACTTAGAGTGAAATGACAAGTTAGAGGTCAAGAGGTCAATAACTTACAGAGTGAAATTTTAGAAGTTAGAGGTGAAGAGTTCAATAACTTACAGGGGGAAATTACAGAAGTTAGAGGTCAAGAGGTCAATAATTTAGAGTGAAATTGCAGAAGTAAGAGGTCAAGAGGTCAATAACATACAGAATGAAATTGCAGAAGTTAGAGGTCAAGAGGTCAATAACTTACAGGGTGAAATTACTGAAGTTAGAGGTCAAGAGGTCAATAACTTACAGAATGAAAAAACAGAAGTTAGAGGTCAAGAGGTCAATAACTTACAGAGTGAAATTTTAGAAGTTAGAGGTCAAGAGGTCAATAACTTACAGAGTGAAATTACAGAAGTTAGAGGTGAAGAGTTCAATAACTTACAGGGGGAAATTACAGAAGTTAGAGGTCAAGAGGTCAATAACTTACAGAGTGAAATTACAGAAGTTAGAGGTCAAGAGTTCAATAACTTACAGAGTGAAATTACTGAAGTTAGAGGTCAAGAGTTCAATAACTTACAGAGTGAAATTACAGAAGTTAGAGGTCAAGAGTTCAATAACTTACAGGGTGAAATTACTGAAGTTAGAGGTCAAGAGGTCAATAACTTACAGAGTGAAATTACAAAAGTTAGAGGTCAAGAGTCAATAACTTACAGAGTGAGATTTTAGAAGTTAGAGGTCAAGAGGTCAATAACATACAGAATGAAATTGCAGAAGTTAGAGGTCAAGAGGTCAATAACTTACAGAGTGAAATTACAGAAGTTAGAGGTCAAGAGGTCAATAACTTACAGAGTGAAAAAACAGAAGTTAGAGGTCAAGAGGTCAATAACTTACAGAGTGAAATTACAGAAGTTAGAGGTCAAGAGATCAATAACTTACAGAGTGAAATTGCAGAAGTAAGATGTCAAGAGGTCAATAACTTACAGAGTGAAATTACTGAAGTTAGAGGTCAAGAGTTCAATAACTTACAGAGTGAAATTACTGAAGTTAGAGGTCAAGAGGTCAATAACATACAAAATGAAATTGCAGAAGTTAGAGGTCAAGAGATATCACTTAACAAACAAACTGATTCAAATGTACAAACTGACAGTCGATTTTGGTTGTACTGTGTGTAGATCTATTACCCTTTAGTTAACTAAATCTGATGTTCATATTATTATTTGTTGCTGGCAGACAAAATTAATATATTAAGATGAATAGTGATAGAAATGAAGGTTCTTGTACTACTTGTTTTTAAAATACTTATGATAAATCAGGTATCCTCAGAGTTTACATGTACAGGTTGAGTTGTCACTGTTCTGATCTCTTGGTCTTCCTGTTAACTTAGACAACAACAGATATACAAAGTTTACATGTACAGGTTGAGTTGTCACTGTTCTGATCTCTTGGTCTTCCTGTTAACTTAGACAACAACAGATATACAAAGTTTACATGTACAGGTTGAGTTGTCACTGTTCTGATCTCTTGGTCTTCCTGTTAACTTAGACAACAACAGATATACAGTGTTTATACAAGTTTTATATTTAATCTGATAATTTTTTAGACTGTTAGTAAACCCATCATCTAGATAGTCCTCTATTTTGATACTTCAGATATTTTTTATGTAAAAGTTTGACAATGAAATGTCAATAGTTTATATACAAAGATGGTTTAGTATATTCAGCTGTCATTTTATACCAGACCTTGAATAGAAAGCAGTCTCACTACTCATTTTATACCAGACCTTGAATAGAAAGCAATCTCACTACTCATTTTATACCAGACCTTGAATAGAAAGCAGTCTCACTACCCTTTTATTGTCCATTACTGTCTCGCTTTCATGTCGAAAACCTTGTAAAATGTCACAGGTATTTGAACTAAAAAAAACCCAACTTTTTCCAAATATTGTTTCCAGTGCTTTCACTTATACTAATAGTTTCCCTCCGAAATCACAAGACAAGGTTTAATTGATCAATAAGTTACACAGACTATCATAAGACAAGGTTTAATTGATCAGTAGGTTACACAGACTATGTTGTTGAATGTAATACATGTACTTTGTACTGAGGATGATACCATTTACGTCCTGTTGTTATTTTGTTAATCAAAACGATGGCAATACCTTTTATTTCCTGGTTGTATTCTGTTTTGTGGGAGTTTTTTTTAATAACTTCTCAACAAACTCATTTTTCACTTTTACAGAGATTGATTATGATGTTTTCAATAGTGTTGAATGAGATATTAACTTTATCATATATTACTTCAAACCTAAAATTTCAACTTTGAATCTGATACATAATAATGATAAGTTAAATGAAAATAAGTTTGTAAAATGTTACAAGTATCGTATTGTTAGTTATGTACTGTATTGATGGCAGGCATTAAGTTATCATGTACTTATCAACTTTTTCTTAGACAGAATTTATTTTTACATTTTATGCCAATTAATGATAATAGATTGGTTTACATGGGTCACTAGTTGGTGACTGACTTTTTCCGTCTCCATGACATATTGCGAAATATTTTCTTGTTGATAAAAGCAGACTTCTGGCTATGTGTGTTACGGTGTATAGCATTGGTCGAAACATGTATCTGATTGAAGTATATAAAAATAAATGTACTTTGTTACAACTTGAAGCCTGTGGGACCACACAAGATGGGTGGATTGTAGACAATTCCTAATTGTTATGTAGTTTCTGTGTCAGCTGTGAAGAAAATTCAGATTAGGCATCGCCCAGTTAAAACAGAGTGGCAGAGTGAACTGTGTCTATCAACACACATAGTAAGTGTTTTCAATGGTGCAACTTGGACATATGCTCAGCTTTGTGCCGTAACCCCGATCCCACCCTTCCGTGCCGTAGACTCCATTTAATCATTATTTTTGACAAATAACTTAGATATGAAATGCTGGTCTTATATCAGATATGCGTACATCTATATTTATGTATATCATTTCATCTTTTTAAACTCTTAGAAAAGTTTTATAGTCACTATCTTATAGAACATACACAGTGTATATAGCTGTTGTTTGTCTGCAAGGTCAGATATATATTTATATACATACAACTTGAAGAAGGAAATATAGTTTTCTACTTTATTTAGAAAGTAGAACATGACTATGATTTTAAACCTTGTAAAGTGTTACTATATATAGTACCACCTTGACAGATTTTATTCCATGTTAAATATTGGTATATATGGTACTACCTTGACCTTGACAGATTTTAAACTATGTTAAATATTGGTATATATGGTACCACATTGACCTTGACAGATTTTAAACTATGTTAAATATTGGTATATATGGTACCACATTGACCTTGACAGATTTTAAACTATGTTAAATATTGGTATATATGGTACTACCTTGACCTTGACAGATTTTAAACTATGTTAAATATTGGTATATATGGTACCACATTGACCTTGACAGATTTTAAACTATGTTAAATATTGGTATATATGGTACCACCTTGACAGATTTTAAACTATGTTAAATATTGGTATATATGGTACTACCTTGACCTTGACAGATTTTAAACTATGTTAAATATTGGTATATATGGTACCACATTGACCTTGACAGATTTTAAACTATGTTAAATATTGGTATATATGGTACTACCTTGACCTTGACAGATTTTAAACTATGTTAAATATTGGTATATATGGTACTACCTTGACCTTGACAGATTTTAAACTATGTTAAATATTGGTATATATGGTACCACATTGACCTTGACAGATTTTAAACTATGTTAAATATTGGTATATATGGTACCACATTGACCTTGACAGATTTTAAACAATGTTAAATATTGGTATATATGGTACTACCTTGACCTTGACAGATTTTAAACTATGTTAAATATTGGTATATATGGTACTACCTTGACCTTGACAGATTTTAAACTATGTTAAATATTGGTATATATGGTACCACATTGACCTTGACAGATTTTAAACTATGTTAAATATTGGTATATATGGTACCACATTGACCTTGACAGATTTTAAACTATGTTAAATATTGGTATATATGGTACTACCTTGACCTTGACAGATTTTAAACTATGTTAAATATTGGTATATATGGTACTACCTTGACCTTGACAGATTTTAAACTATGTTAAATATTGGTATATATGGTACCACCTTGACCTTGACAGATTTTAAACTATGTTAAATATTGGTATATATGGTACTACCTTGACCTTGACAGATTTTAAACTATGTTAAATATTGGTATATATGGTACCACATTGACCTTGACAGATTTTAAACTATGTTAAATATTGGTATATATTTTACCACCTTGACCTTGACAGATTTTAAACTATGTTAAATATTGGTATATATGGTACTACCTTGACCTTGACAGATTTTAAACTATGTTAAATATTGGTATATATGGTACCACATTGACCTTGACAGATTTTAAACTATGTTAAATATTGGTATATATTTTACCACCTTGACCTTGACAGATTTTAAACTATGTTAAATATTGGTATATATGGTACTACCTTGACCTTGACAGATTTTAAACTATGTTAAATATTGGTATATATGGTACTACCTTGACCTTGACAGATTTTAAACTATGTTAAATATCGGTATATATTTTACCACATTGACCTTGACAGATTTTAAACTATGTTAAATATTGGTATATATGGTACTACCTTGACCTTGATGGTACCATCTTGACCATGACAGATTTTATATCACGTGAAGTGTTACTATATATAGTACTACCTTAAGTGTGACAGATTTTTTATCATGTTAAGTGTTACTATATATAGTACTACCTTAAGCGTGACAGATTTTTTATCACGTAAAGTGTTACTTTATTTGATACCACCTTGAGCGTTACCGATTTTATATCACATTAAGTGTTACTATATATAGAACCACCTTGAGCATTACAGATTTTTTATCAACTTGAGTGCTACTATATATGGTGCAATCTGGAATAATTAGATTTATGATTGGCTTTGATAAATGTTACTTGATACTAGAAAGGTTGATATTTTTGAGGATAGAATAAAATAATAATGGATAGAAAAAATCATTTTCATATTTTACAGGAAAGCTATGTTTCATTGCTAATGCCATGAAAATTGATACCTCAAACATCTTTAACAACAATATGTCCATGTGTTTAATATTTCTGCAGCATTACAACTTGCTTAGATAAAGAGCAAAAACACTGCACAGAGATTTTTTTTAATTAAATTATATTGATGGTCATTTGGGCCAATCATGTTTATGTTTTGATGTAAGCAGTACAGGCCTTTTGTTACCTTGTAGGATTGTGTTCTCCTAGTGTTTAAGTTCCCACCTGAATCCTGTCTGAAATCCCTTTAAACATGCTTGTTGTCTCTAGCTAAAGATATTTATATATTCTCTATACACCTGTCTGTCTCTCTATTGTTATATTTTCTAAGTTGGAGAAAAGCTTTCACTTGCATTAATTTTTCGTTTGTAGTGTCCTTCTTTGAGTTCCCACGACTTCACCCGATTTATCTGTAGGTACTGTGTGTTTTGACTTGGTCTATTTCTTTGTAGGTTTGTGTTTTGACGTTGTATTTGGACCTTTTTTAGTTGAATTGGAGATTTATGTTACACCACACGATTCTTTGGATTATCTAGCTATGACGGTTCACATTGATCCAGAAACACTACTTCTGGTGATTAGATTTTTTATACACGTTAATACTGGGAATTCATAATATATTTTCTGGATAATTTTACTGTGTCATTGTATTTCAGAGAATATGTACTAATTGATAGAAAACAATGTTTGTAACTACTATTTTTTTTTGTATATCAGATAGTTTGTTCATCAAAATTTGTTTTATCTATTCCTGATGTGCAGCATACTAACTACTCAAATTACTGTAGATTTTCTCAAACAGGACTGATCAGCAAATTCTCTCAAACAGGACTGAACAGCAAATTCTCTCAAACAGGACTGATCAGCAAATAGGAAACAAATCAAGACTTTGATAATTGTGAAATCGCAGAAACTCAAACTTTTCCAACTTTTGCAACCAGAAATGCAATCTATTGGTCGAAATATCAAAGTTTGTTGGCCAATAGGATGTAGACAAACGTTGGAATATTACTAAAACACTTGGCCTAGGTCGAATTATAATGTTATGATCTATGTTGCTGTGACACTGGTACACGATTATCAGAAAAGTTCTACTGTGCACTGGATTAATGAATAGAGACATGTAAAAAAAACCAATGGATTTTAATGTATAATCAGTTATCTGGGTGATAATGTATGTTCTGAGTGCCAGGTGATCTATTTTTATTATAATCCATGTCTTGTTGTCACTGATTCAGCATGTACTACCAGCAAGTGTCAGCATTCTTTTTGTACTCAATATTTGTACTTACTACTTTTTATATACTTGTGTACTCTGTGTGAGATAAACAAGTACATAAGATTTTCTTATAGGATGCTGCAGCATAATTATTTATATAAAAGCCGATGTTGAATAGTTGTGCTGTGTACAGGTATTAATGTCTGTTAGTTAAATTTCCTGTTCATTCTTTAGTTGTTTTTGTTTGTAAATCCTAATTAACAACTATGATAATTAATTACTATGTAACAATACATTCATTTAATTTAAGATGACAGCATTAAATCAGTCTCAAAATAATTTAAAGTGATGATTTTTTTTCTGGCACAAACAATTGTCAGAAACTACCGGTACAGTGTTCAGACAGTTGGATTAGTCTAGTACTAAATAATGATTCCTGTTGTTGATATGTCTTCCCAGAGGCCTTGACAAAGGAGAGCCTGGTCTCTGGTCTGTCCCAAGCTTAAATCTGGTAGTGACAATATATTAGTCTAGATGGCCAATGTGTTGTCAGTATGTGTGTCTTGGTGTGTACTTACTTGAAATTATGTATCCAAGAAAAAAACATATATATTGTTTCTTTGTCTTTCGTATTTTTATTATATTAAATTGATTTCTTTTAATAAAAGACTGACTTTTCTTCTTTATTTGATAAGAATGTTATACCCATGCATTCAGATCAGCTTGTACATGTTGTACAAGACTTATTATACCTACCAATAAATATCATTATATGTTCCCAATCACCAAACTAACTTTGACAGGTACAACTCTTTATATATCTCATGCCAATCTTCTATGATATGAATTTGTAGATTCTCAAGAGTTTCAATAATACTAGGCTATTACTTTTTCATTCAGACGTGAACAACATTTCTAAAGACATTTAAACTCAAGTGCACTCTCTGCACTCCAGGCACATTTCCATGCAAAATTGAAGCAAAGTAATTTGATTGGTCTAGAGTGGGTTTTCAGGAGAAAAAAACTGACCAATCGCAGACTGCTACACTCTTTTTAAGATTAGGAAAGGAAGGACACCAAACTTCAAAGTCAGTACAATATACGGTTATGTGACCTCGAGATTGGTTTGATAAACATCAGAAGATCAAACTTGTCTCCTTGTCTGATCCACAACTAGTACATGGAACCTTCAATTTTGCTGCTGTGAAATGTTCCAGTGGTGGAGAGAGTGATAGTTAGCATAGCCCCTGGAGTATCGAGAATGATGTAGTATGGCCTTTAAAACAGTTCCTGAAGACAAACTATTTAAATTGTACCAAGGGCCACATGTAGAATCACTGATAGCAGGCATGCTATCTAGCATAGGTATACCCAGACCTTCTCGGCGCTTGATTTGCAAATTTGAGATTGCAAGATGTCAAATAATGTTCCTGAATAATTCACTTTGATGAAAACTAGTCCTACAGATATAAATCCATCAACTACAAGGTTTCCAAGAGGTGTGTCGTTTTGCATCATATTCCAAGTAATTGCACATATCCGGTTTCTGAAGACATCAATGAAAAGCACAACTGTACAAATGAGAATAAAATGGACACGAACTTCATAAAATTAATATAAAGAATTGTCTTATTTTCTTGTCTCTGTTAATCCAAGTATAGTGACATTCAGCAATTCGTAGATGCAATTTTCCCAGCTATTGATCTGTTTCCTTTGGCCACCAATAACGTAAGATTTTCACTAGAAGCCTTTATTAAACGCATTGCACTGCAACATAGAAAACAGCAAAATGACTGATGCAGAGGATTTAAAGGGGGAGCAGAGACTATAAAGGGGGGAAGAAGAGACTATTAAGGGGAGCAGTGGCTATAAACGGGGGAGAAGAGACTATTAAGGGGAGCAGTGGCTATAAAGGGGGGAGAAGAGACTATTAAGGGGAGCAAGTGGCTATTAAGGGGGGAGAAGAGACTATTAAGGGAAGCAGTGGCTATAAAGGGGGGAGAAGAGACTATTAAGGGGAGCAGTGGCTATAAAGGGGGGAAGAAGAGACTATTAAGGGGAGCAGTGGCTATAAAGGGGGGAAGAAGAGACTATTAAGGGGAGCAGTGGCTATAAAGGGGGGAGAAGAGACTATTAAGGGGAGCAGTGGCTATAAAGGGGGAAGAAGAGACTATTAAGGGGAGCAGTGGCTATAAAGGGGGAGAAGAGACTATTAAGGGGAGCAGTGGCTATAAAGTGGGGAGAAGAGACTATTAAGGGGAGCAGTGGCTATAAAGGGGGGAGAAGAGACTATTAAGGGGAGCAGTGGCTATAAAGGGGGGAGAAGAGACTATTAAGGGGAGCAGTGGCTATAAAGGGGGGGAGAAGAGACTATTAAGGGGAGCAGTGGCTATAAAGGGGGGAGAAGAGACTATTAAGGGGAGCAGTGGCTATAATGGGGGGAGAAGAGACTATTAAGGGGAGCAGTGGCTATAAAGGGGGGAGAAGAGACTATTAAGGGGAGCAGTGGCTATAAAGGGGGGAGAAGAGACTATTAAGGGGAGCAGTGGCTATAAAGGGGGGAAAGAAGAGACTATTAAGGGGAGCAGTGGCTATAAAGGGGGAAAGAAGAGACTATTAAGGGGAGCAGTGGCTATAAAGTGGGGAAGAAGAGACTATTAAGGGGAGCAGTGGCTATAAAGGGGGGAGAAGAGACTATTAAGGGGAGCAGTGGCTATAAAGGGGGGAGAAGAGACTATTAAGGGGAGCAGTGGCTATAAAAGGGGGGAGAAGAGACTATTAAGGGGAGCAGTGGCTATAAAGGGGGGGAGAAGAGACTATTAAGGGGAGCAGTGGCTATAAAGGGGGGAAGAAGAGACTATTAAGGGGAGCAGTGGAAGAAGAGACTATTAAGGGGAGCAGTGGCTATAAAGGGGGGAGAAGAGACTATTAAGGGGAGCAGTGGCTATTAAGGGGGGAGAAGAGACTATTAAGGGGAGCAGTGGCTATAAAGGGGGGAGAAGAGACTATTAAGGGGAGCAGTGGCTATAAAGGGGGGAGAAGAGACTATTAAGGGGAGCAGTGGCTATAAAGGGGGGAGAAGAGACTATTAAGGGGAGCAGTGGCTATAAAGGGGGGAGAAGAGACTATTAAGGGGAGCAGTGGCTATAAAGGGGGGAGAAGAGACTATTAAGGGGAGCAGTGGCTATAAAGGGGGGAGAAGAGACTATTAAGGGGAGCAGTGGGGGAGAAGAGACTATTAAGGGGAGCAGTGGCTATAAATCGGAAATGAAAACCTATTAAGTGCAGAAAGGGAGATAAAGCGGGGAGAAGAGACTATTAAGGGGAGCAGTGGCTATAAAGGGGGGAGAAGAGACTATTAAGGGGAGCAGTGGCTATAAAGGGGGGAGAAGAGACTATTAAGGGGAGCAGTGGCTATAAAGGGGGGAGAAGAGACTATTAAGGGGAGCAGTGGCTATAAAGGGGGGAGAAGAGACTATTAAGGGGAGCAGTGGCTATAAAGGGGGGAGAAGAGACTATTAAGGGGAGCAGTGGCTATAAAGGGGGGAGAAGAGACTATTAAGGGGAGCAGTGGCTATAAAGGGGGGAGAAGAGACTATTAAGGGGAGCAGTGGCTATAAAGGGGGGAGAAGAGACTATTAAGGGGAGCAGTGGCTATAAAGGGGGGAGAAGAGACTATTAAGGGGAGCAGTGGCTATAACGGGGGAGAAGAGACAATTAAGGGGAGCAGTGGCTATAAAGGGGGGAGAAGAGACTATTAAGGGGAGCAGTGGCTATAAAGGGGGGAGAAGAGACTATTAAGGGGAGCAGTGGCTATAAAGGGGGGAGAAGAGACTATTAAGGGGAGCAGTGGCTATAAAGGGGGGAGAAGAGACTATTAAGGGGAGCAGTGGCTATAAAGGGGGGAGAAGAGACTATTAAGGGGAGCAGTGGCTATAAAGGGGGGAGAAGAGACTATTAAGGGGAGCAGTGGCTATAAGCAGTGGCTATAAAGGGGGGAGAAGAGACTATTAAGGGGAGCAGTGGCTATAAAGGGGGGAGAAGAGACTATTAAGGGGAGCAGTGGCTATAAAGGGGGGAGAAGAGACTATTAAGGGGAGCAGTGGCTATAAAGGGGGGAGAAGAGACTATTAAGGGGAGCAGTGGCTATAAAGGGGGGAGAAGAGACTATTAAGGGGAGCAGTGGCTATAAAGGGGGGAGAAGAGACTATTAAGGGGAGCAAGTGGCTATTAAGGGGGGAGAAGAGACTATATTAGCAGTGGCTATAAAGGGGGGAGAAGAGACTATTAAGGGGAGCAGTGGCTATAAAGGGGGGAGAAGAGACTATTAAGGGGAGCAGTGGCTATAAAGGGGGGAGAAGAGACTATTAAGGGGAGCAGTGGCTATAAAGGGGGAAGAAGAGACTATTAAGGGGAGCAGTGGCTATAAAGGGGGGAGAAGAGACTATTAAGGGGAGCAGTGGCTATAAAGGGTGGAGAAGAGACTATTAAGGGGAGCAGTGGGCTATAAAGGGGGAGAAGAGACTATTAAGGGGAGCAGTGGCTATAAAGGGGGGAGAAGAGACTATTAAGGGGAGCAGTGGCTATAAAGGGGGGGAAGAGAAGAGACTAGAGGCTAAGGGGAGCAGTGGCTATAAAGTGGCTATAAAGGGGGGGAGAAGAGACTATTAAGGGGAGCAGTGGCTATAAAGGGGGGAGAAGAGACTATTAAGGGGAGCAGTGGCTATAAAGGGGGGAGAAGAGACTATTAAGGGAAGCAGTGGCTATAAAGGGGGAGAAGAGACTATTAAGGGGAGCAAGTGGCTATTAAGGGGGGAGAAGAGACTATTAAGGGGAGCAGTGGCTATAAAGGGGGGAGAAGAGACTATTAAGGGGAGCAGTGGCTATAAAGGGGGGAGAAGAGACTATTAAGGGGAGCAGTGGCTATAAAGCAGTGGCTATAAAGGGGGGAGAAGAGACTATTAAGGGGAGCAGTGGCTATAAAGGGGGGAGAAGAGACTATTAAGGGGAGCAGTGGCTATAAAGGGGGGGAGAAGAGACTATTAAGGGAAGCAGTGGCTATAAAGGGGGGAGAAGAGACTATTAAGGGGAGCAGTGGCTATAAAGGGGGGAGAAGAGACTATTAAGGGGAGCAGTGGCTATAAAGGGGGAGAAGAGACTATTAAGGGGAGCAGTGGCTATAAAGGGGGGAGAAGAGACTATTAAGGGGAGCAGTGGCTATAAGCAGTGGGGGGGAGGACTATTAAGACTATTAAGGGGAGCAGTGGCTATAAAGGGGGGAGAAGAGACTATTAAGGGGAGCAGTGGCTATAAAGGGGGGAGAAGAGACTATTAAGGGGAGCAGTGGCTATATAAAAGGGGGCTATAAAGGGGGGAGAAGAGACTATTAAGGGGAGCAGTGGCTATAAAGGGGGGAGAAGAGACTATTAAGGGGAGCAGTGGCTATAAAGGGGGGAGAAGAGACTATTAAGGGGAGCAGTGGCTATAAAGGGGGGAGAAGAGACTATTAAGGGGAGCAGTGGCTATAAAGGGGGGAGAAGAGACTATTAAGGGGAGCAGTGGCTATAAAGGGGGGAGAAGAGACTATTAAGGGGAGCAGTGGCTATAAAGGGGGGAAGAAGAGACTATTAAGGGGAGCAGTGGCTATAAAGGGGGGAGAAGAGACTATTAAGGGGAGCAGTGGCTATAAAGGGGGGAGAAGAGAAGAGACTATTAAGGGGAGCAGTGGCTATTAAGGGGGGAGAAGAGACTATTAAGGGGAGCAGTGGCTATAAAGGGGGAGAAGAGACTATTAAGGGGAGCAGTGGCTATAAAGGGGGGAGAAGAGACTATTAAGGGGAGCAGTGGCTATAAAGGGGGGAGAAGAGACTATTAAGGGGAGCAGTGGCTATAAAGGGGGGAGAAGAGACTATTAAGGGGAGCAGTGGCTATTACGGGGGAGAAGAGACTATTAAGGGGAGCAGTGGCTATAAAGGGGGGAGAAGAGACTATTAAGGGGAGCAGTGGCTATAAAGGGGGGAGAAGAGACTATTAAGGGGAGCAGTGGCTATAAAGGGGGGAGAAGAGACTATTAAGGGGAGCAGTGGCTATAAAGGGGGGAGAAGAGACTATTAAGGGGAGCAGTGGCTATAAAGGGGGGAGAAGAGACTATTAAGGGGAGCAGTGGCTATAAAGGGGGGAGAAGAGACTATTAAGGGGAGCAGTGGCTATAAAGGGGGGAGAAGAGACTATTAAGGGGAGCAGTGGCTATAAAGGGGGGAAGAAGAGACTATTAAGGGGAGCAGTGGCTATAAAGGGGGGGGGGAAGAGACTATTAAGGGGAGCAGTGGCTATAAAGGGGGGAGAAGAGACAATTAAGGGGAGCAGTGGCTATAAAGAGGGGGAGAAGAGGCTATTAAGGGGAGCAAGAGACTATTAAGGGGAGCAGTGGCTATAAAGGGGGAGAAGAGACTATTAAGGGGAGCAGTGGCTATAAAGGGGGAAGAGAAGAGACTATTAAGGGGAGCAGTGGCTATAAAGGGGGAGAAGAGACTATTAAGGGGAGCAGTGGCTATAAAGGGGGGAGAAGAGACTATTAAGGGGAGCAGTGGCTATAAAGGGGGGAAGAAGAGACTATTAAGGGGAGCAGTGGCTATAAAGGGGGGAAGAAGAGACTATTAAGGGGAGCAGTGGCTATAAAGGGGGGAAGAAGAGACTATAAAGAAATTAAAAAAGACAGGAAGTAAAGTTTTGAAAATGTTAATCAAACTGGCAAATTCCTTCGAAATGTTTGCTGAACAAGATTCTTTTGAGGCAGAATATTGTGTCAGCATTCAAATTCAACGACTTCATCCAATTAAAGACATTTATTTTAAAACACAAAATGAACTATGGTGTACCTTTGATAGTCCGCTCCCACGATACTTTTGCCGTTTACACAGAGAAGTCGATCGCCTACATGTAGACTTCCACTCAGAGCTGCTGGGCTATCCGGAAGTACCTTTCTGATATAGATACCAGCTAATCGCAGTGGAGTGTACTGTAATGATATATGGTAAACATCCCCCTAGGTAATTTAATAACGATTTCCAGCTGTTCATCATTCAATCACAAAATAATAAAAATAATTTTACACACAAAATTACATTCATATGGGCTAAAAATAAGCACGAACTGGCAGGGAGTTAAAAAATATCTCTGAATTCATATTTTCTTTTAAAATTTTAAAATAATTCTGAAAAAATGCCATGAAGCTGAGAAGGCTCCAACAAATTCTCATTCCATGTGTATGCATCAGAAACAAGCATTGTATGAAGCTGAGAAGGCTCCAACAAATTCTCATTCCATATGTATGCATCAGAAACAAGCATTGTATGAAGCTGAGAAGGCTCCAACAAATTCTCATTCCATATGTATGCATCAGAAACAAGCATTGTATGAAGCTGAGAAGGCTCCAACAAATTCTCATTCCATGTGTATGCATCAGAAACAAGCATTGTATGTACTGCAGAAATGTCACTAGTAGATAGGATTGTACAAAAGACACAGAATATCAAAGAAAAGTTTGACTCTAGTCCGGGAGGTGCACTAACCCAATAATATATTTTGTTGTAAGGTTTATACACATCAGATAGTTACACAAAAACGTGAAGTTTCTGAACCGTGCTACTTTTCAAATAAGTTGAAACTTTGCATGAAGGTTTTGTCACACCTCGGATACTAAAAGTCTACCAGCAGTGTTTACCATCTGCGATCTCAAAGAACTAACAAAAACATAGAAGTGAATTGCTCCTTTTAAGTAAAATACTAGATATACGTTCGTGTTCTGACTGTGTTTTTATAGGTATCTACCATTTACTTACCAAACCATCAATGAGACCCAGACCTAGACCCTGGTTACCCTTCCGGACACTGACCGAGAACACAGGGTTACTGGAGAGACGGGATGATGTAGACATGTCGAACTGCTCCTCGATGTCTGTAATAACGACAAATCGGCTGTTAGAATATGTCTAGTTCAGGTAATATCAATTTGAGTACTCATTTACTGAAATAATTTTAGCAGTTTTTTTTATATCACTGGTCTTGCATTTTTTACATATGGTTGCCATTTATAGATACGATACTGACTTATATTGGTTGGAGAGCGTGGCTGTACACTGGGAAGGACTTGTTCTGAGTGTTGCTTGTGGGCCTCCAAAATTTGCTTATTGACAGACAGCAGCACGTCTTTGGAACAGAAGTTGTCTTCCTGATCATTCCCATTTCTATCAAGCCCAAGTTCACCGTCCGTATGGTACCCGCTTCGGACAGAGGTTCGGTCTTGTTCACCGTCTGTATGGTAACCGCTTCTAACCGAAGTTCGGTCTTGTTCACCGTCCGTATGGTACCCGCCTCGGACAGAGGTTCGGTCTTGTTCACCGTCCGTGTGGTAACCGCTTCTAACAGAAGTTCGGCCTTGTTCACCGTCCGTATGGTACCCGCCTCGGACAGAGGTTCGGTCTTGTTCTCCGTCCGTATGGTATCCGCCTCGGACAGAGGTTCGGTCTTGTTCACCATCTGTATGGTATCTACCTCTGAGAGATGATTTATCCTCCTCGTCCTCCGTGTGATATCGTCTCCTATTTAAATCGGATCCGTGTACATTGTCAATCATTGACCCGTGATCTATATCCGATGTTTCCAATCTGTCACTAACAGACCTTTGAACTCGGCGACGCGATGGCTTTGTACCAGTCTCCTCGTTCATTGGCTGCCGTGGTGGCACTGGCGGAGGGGATGAAATTCTACTTGAATTCGCGTTCAGCGTAGAATCTGTGCCTTCAGATTTTACATCAGTTTTTTCAGCCAATTCTACGTGACTGCTAGCCATGGCAACAGGACTTATACTTGTATCCATGGCAACAGATTCTGGCTCAGAACGGTCTGTGACGTCACCACTAGTCACAGAAGGAGACACTGTTTTATTAATTAGCATGTCGAGTCTTTTATCCGGCGAGTCTTTCAGATTTGATTTGAGCAGGTTTCGTTTTGGCTTTACTGGTGCGGTAGTTTTTGTGACTTCCTTTGACCCAGTAGACGATCGTCCAGACTTGATGTCATTGTTTGATTTTTGCCCTCTTGGAGTTGATTGTGTACTGCTATCGGTGTCAGCAACAAACTGGACCTTACGGTTAGGGGACATAGTACGGGATCTGGAAGAGGAAATCTGACAGAAGAAGGATTTCTGTAGCTCAACCTTCGGGAAATTGCCAGTGAATCGTGGTGTATTTCCGGGACTAAGACCAATGTCACTCTCATCTGTCAAAGAAGATCGAGAATTGTTTAAATATTGCCCAAAATTCGTTAATCACTTGAATATCACTAATACGTCACAGTGTATCTTTACCAATGTGATTTTAAGGCGTTGTAATGAAGTTGAACATATTGTTTTAATCAGCTGATCAACATCCTGGACTTGTTACAGTACGGACTATAAATGTGTGCGCAAAATCAGTTCTTTTTCCCGCCATTTTCAGTTTAACCAGCTGATTGGTAATTGTGAACATTATCTTCTCGTCTAAATAATACATGTATAAAACAGATACGTACTATTCCAACTGATTATCCTAAAATTATGTCACTCCCTGAAAGTTATTACAGTTATTACATGCCTGTTTCTCGATTCACAATATACGTGTACAAGAAAATTTCCTCGGATTTGAAGGAATGAGACAAAAACGTTTGGAATATTTGAAATAACCTATTCACAATTTCATTTATGCAAAGTGATCAAGAATATAAATACGCTGATATTTGCGAGAGAAACCATTTTCACTTAGAGCGTATTCTGTGAAATGTTATGGTTTAGACCTTAGTAAAACAAATACCTTCTGACAAGCCATACTGGGAATACAGTTGTTTGAAGAGAGCCCAGAAATGTCCAGCATCTGGAGGATGCATCAGATCGATGTCGCATCCTTCTGTGGGAAGCAGGAATGCAGGATGACCTGACAAGTCCAGCATCACTTCGTCTAGTAAGATTGTAAACAGAGCTTTTAACATGTTCATGTGATTCTCTTCTAATGTCGAAAATTATGTTTCAATGAAGGGAAATTCATGTCAGAAATTAACCAGGAAATTGTTTTATGGGGAACATTACGTGAAACCCCGTGTAATAATGAAGTTTTATACCTGTTCGTTCGTATCTTATGTAAAATTTTATACAGGAGTATCGGTGCGTACCTTCCCGAAGAGCGAGTTCTACGTCTTCTGGTGAAGGGTGCCAGTTGTCCGCCATAGTGTGCCTGTCGGCATGGTAACCGGAGAGAAGGCGATACAGCTGAGCTTCATTTAGTGGATGGAATTGCTTCTTGATCGTGAGCCAATCATACTGATAGAAAATTGTGTAATGTGTTATTGATAAGGAATTGAAGTATAAATATATACAGATGTACAATTTGATAAACTCTTGCATATTTTGATAAAATAAACGTACTTTAAGAGGAGTTGTATATTTGAATTTTCTTTTAACGTCTCAAATAGTATCTTCTGACTGTCTCGGATTATTGTAAATGTTGTTTTATTTTGCTTTTGCAGTTCATTAGTCTAACATGTATTGACACGACCAGATAAGGTCGGTTACCCATTCTATGGTGCTGCCGGGTAGCGTCAGCCACGTTCTATTTAATGTGCTATTTCAGCAAAACAGAAAAAATGTTTCTGTAAATGACCAGCAACTGAAGAAAAAACACCTGTAGCCAGCTCTCTAATGGGATAAAGTATTTCATCTAGTGCACAGAACAACTGATTATTTTCATAATTTTGATTATTAACTTTGATTTAACATTTTAAACATGTATTTGAAATAGAACGAAACTCAACCAAAAGATTATATAAAAACCTTATGGATATTACACTCTCCAACATGAATCTAACTAGTCTGAATTTAAGTATATAACAAATACTGACAAATTCATCTTGACCTCCGGCAATTCTTATTAAGGTGTCTAAAATATTTAATATTGTACTCGCAATACACCTGGGAGGGGAATGTGGAAACCAGCATTATGGATTAAATAACGATGATGGAGCTTTTGGTCAGGATATAAAAATCCAATGTTTCTTCTTAGTTGATTTGCCCGATTTATTTAATTTTAGAGAATACTTCAGAAGTCTTTGTTAGATATGTTTATCACAGCAATATGGTACCCTGGCTTAAATACACAAATTTTATCAAACTGATCAATGAAATAAATAAAAAAAAATCAAAATTTACCATCTAAAAGTAGCATAAAACGTGTTTTAATTTATTTCAAATTTCAAAATTATTTCTAGAATATTTGAATGAACCGTTATCAAACATTTGTAACTAACCTTTTCAAGTAAAGTTTTGGATGTTGACAGGAATTCCGCTATCGTTAACAAACGCTCGAAAAGCTGTTCAAATTCTTCATCCAAATTGTTCCTGACCGCCCACTCCTCGATCTTACCGAGATTAGCTTTGATGCGCACTCCTGCTGTCCAGCAATAGTATTGCTCTGCTGCATCTAGCATGATACAAAACTGACATTAATTATCTTTAATCATACACTGTATTTATCTTTTATTTATTTATCAATGTGCTACCGACTTGTGTACCTGTTGTACAACACATTTAGTTAATACGACAGACGTACAAGATAGGAAAATTATCACAAAAGAACTGAAACAGGAAACTTCAGAGCAATCGAAAAAGACGGCACTAACACCATAATTCACACATAGGCGGATCCCAAGAGGGTTGTACCCGACGCGCACCGTCTCTAACACCCAAGATATTTGTTGGCAAGAAATAAAATGGAATTTCATAACCATATATGTACAGTACTACGACACTACAACTATGTACAGGACTACGACACTACAACTATGTACAGTACTACGACACTACAACTATGTACATGACCACGACACTACAACTATGTACAGGACTACGACACTACAACTATGTACAGGACTACGACACTACAACTATGTACAGGACTACGACACTACAACTATGTACAGTACTACGACACTACAACTATGTACAGTACTACGACACTACAACTATGTACATGACCACGACACTACAACTATGTACAGGACTACGACACTACAACTATGTACAGGACTACGACACTACAACTTTTTACAGGACTACAACACTACAACATACTAACTAGAGACTTCATTTACTTGTATAACTGAAAAAAACAACACATCAACATACGTACCTTTAAGGAAGAGGCGGTTGAACACAGACGTACTACAGAAAAAGAATATGTACATATAGAGTTGTTTGATGACGTCATTGTGCAGGCGCAACGAGACGACTAACCCGGCTACACTGTCCAAGATGGCGATAACTTTACCAACACCGTGTCTGCTACCACCATCCTCTGTGAAAGGGTTTCCATCCAATAATACCGGAAGTAATAGATACAAAGCCTGTAGATAAAGTATTTAAAGTGTATAAACACCGGAAGTTACAGATAAGGAACATGTAGATAAAGTATCTAAAGTGCATTAACACCGGAAGTTACAGATAAGGACCATGTAGATAAAGTATATATTTCACCGTAAACTCTTATAAATCACTACCTTTGTCTGTATGGTTACCTTGGTAATCGTATAAATGGACTGTTGAAAGCAGAACACGACTATCTCCTCTAGTCCTGTCGCAAGGTCACGGAATGCCGAATGGACTTCGTTGTCAAGGGGACTGCCACGGGTAACACTGGTTCTGGGGAGCCGGAAGTTGTCTGCCCTCAGGTACAGGATAAGTTGAACACAGTTGGAAATCCACTGGAGCATCTCCCGTAGGTAATCTTCACCGACGGATGGATGGCGCCTGCTTCGTACAAGCCCGCTATAAAATTTACAATAAAAAAAAAACGTTCACATCGATAATTCAAATCATTATGAAAGATCTTCGTTTCTTCTGTCAAAGTATCGTTCCTATTCAAGTAAGAAGCAACTGATGTGGGAGCCATGCATCCTCCTACATAAACAACTATTACTTTACTTGGGCCATACAATGGTCATTCTACTGCACCTACTACGATAGACCTTTATATAACAATTATATGTATACAGATTCGTCTTACATCCTGACCAAGATTTCCTCTGCATGACACGAAGTTTGAAGTACGTTTCAGTCAGGACAAGCGAGACTGATATCGGCATATTGTTATATATCTTAGATATTATGTATCTTACCTGTTGAATTTGTTTCCTTTCAATGCTTTTGATATATCCTGAAATCAAAAGAAGGTTAAACGACTTGATTAAGTAGTGTTTGAAGGGATACGCCATGTTGAAATAAAATACGACTGGCATGTTTCTACTTCTGTTTACCATACATCAAACAGCTGTTTCGATTTAAATAACTTACACAGGTCTATCGTTTTATCTTTTAGACTCAGGAGAACTAAAAGTAACATTTCTTCTGGTGTTGCTTACACGTTTAAGAATAATTGTTAGTATGTTATTTAAATCACCATTTATGCTGCATGGGATCAAAACGCAAATTATATCACATATTTTGACCAAAAACACATTTCGTGCTTCAATTTATATATAAATGAAACATGCTTACCGCGGCGCTTTCCCTCACAGCCGCCAGGATTCTCAGCAGCAGGTTTCGTATTTGAAAAGGATCGAACCGGACACAGGAGAATTGGATGCACATACTATACAAGTAGGCAGGTGCGAGAGCAAAGTTTGTCTGGTCGAGACGTATCACAGCACCGATGGCATTGACAAGTTCATCTTCTTTCTCACGCGAATACGCAAATCGAAACTTTTCTCGCTGGACTTCTGTCCCTTGTGACTCCATAGTAGCCACTGATATATTGTCGTCAGTGGTAGAGCCAAGCATAAGGGGAGGTACATGGACGATATTCTGATGGCGCTTCGTATTGTTTTGTTTCCCTCGCACACTGTCGCTGACAATGTCATCAGACGATAGTGTAATCCACGGAAGTTCTGATGGTATGTCATTCCCTGCCGTGAAGTCTTTAAAAAGAAACACGTAATAATTACCAATCGACAAGATGTCTCCTGCCTGGAGTGTCTCCTTACTAATCACTGCTGAACCATTCACTCGTATGTTAGAAGTCAAATTACATTCTACTTCAAGACAATAGTTGTGATGTAGAGATCCTGATTGGTGTGAATAGGAAGAGCGTCGAAGGTGTACATGGCAGTGCTGGGGATGAATGTCGGGCGCAGATAGGGTCACACAAGGCTTGTTTACCACAGAACCGTCGGGACAACATATCAGTGTCGTCTTACCCTCCAAGATGTAGAAAAGTGAGTCTTTGTTAACATCATAGCCCCGAAGGGTCAAGAGAAAGGGTCGGGAGATAGGAGCGAGGATGTGATCCGCGCTGTTCTTGTTTGGAAGGGAGATGTCTGTTCGGTGTCCCTTTAAATCAAAACTCACACTTCTCATCAGATTTTTCTGGTTGTTGTTATTGCATGTCCACGAATTCGACGATGAACTTCCCTCTAAGTCGAAATCATCTCTAAATTTATCCACGCTTTGCGTCCAAGGAACAAAGAAAGGTATTGCACCAGGCCTCAGCTTAGAAAAAGATATTTTTCTAGCATTTTCATTTAATCCATACGTATCATCGTCGCCCATTGAATCAATCACTTCCATTTTCCTACGAAGTTCGTATCTTCGGCAAAATCCTTCAGATGGCCGCCAAAACTTTTGCAGAAACAGTGGTCTGTCTTTATCAGATAATATCCTGGTACACATCCTCTTCCACCTTGGCGCTTGTTTGATCTTATTGTTAGTAACCTGTCCGTGAGTACTTCCGGCGTTGGCCCGTCCGACTACATCACACAGCACATATTCATCGTGTAACGTGGAAGACAGACCGTACCTTTCTAGCGCCTGCTTCACTAGCTCCGGTGCCGTGGATCGACACGAAGCAAGTACACTTTTGTACTCCACACCAGGGACGATAGTGCCCCCAAAAATCTTAAGTACCCCCGGGGATGAGTGGTCCGTGGACAGTTCCGTCGGAGGAGAATGATCATCACTGCTAGAATGTTTGGAATTTCTACCGGAATAGATTATTGTTCGTCGTATTGCGTGTTCCTCCAAGAAGACTGACGATTCAAGATCACATCCGCTGTCCGTTCCGTCATCCATGTACTGGACCGGAACTGATCCACCGTGCCACGTCAGGGATTGCATGATGGTACCAAACCTCACGTACTCAACATGGTTACCGATTGACAGCAGTCTGAAGCAAAGTCATAAAGCAATCTTATTTAGTTATATTAGAAAAGAATAACAGATTAAAAATCACGTAGTGACTCTTACAGTCCTGTTCCTGATAAGTACTGCCGAACACGATACCGGGTAAATACAGGTAAGAGAGAGTCAATGACTTTTTTTCTGACAGAAGAAATCGCAATTAAAAGGAACGACAAAATGTTAAAGAGCGGTATTTTAAGAAGTCTATTTCATCGGAAACAAAAGAGATCGACAAAGACACAATTATCAGGAGCAACCATAATGATATGCGTCAACCTTATTCTGAAATAAAGGGAAATTTAATAATACCACGCGGTCTAGTTTTGTGATCGCTGTGCGTGAAATCCTACATTGTGACTGGCTGATATTTAACGCAGGAATGTGTTGTTCATCTCGCTTTTAGTACAACACAATACACAGAAGACAATGGTGTTAAATCACACTATATCGTCCACTGTCTACACAAATCGGCTCGTCAACACAGTCCGATTCATCTGTTTATGAAAACATTCCACCTTATCAACAATGGTCCACTTTTGGTAAGAATTTGTACCAATTAAACAGAGGAAACCCACTCCAGAGCAGATAATCCGGTGTCGCATTTGTCTGTGTGTTTGTGTATTGAGCGGTTTACGGTTATGGTAAATAACTGTTGACATAGTTAGTAAAACATCCTTTCTATTGATGTCTACGCCCAACTCTATGCGTGAAACACTTCTTCAATAGTAAAAAGTCAACAAAAAGATTCGACAATCGGAAAAAAATCGATTAAAGTCTTCATCGATTTTTTTCATTTCATAAAAATAACGGACCACAGCAACAGGCGAATAAATAACATCTTATGAATGGTTACAAACGTGTGTGATTTTGATTGAAAATTATTTCATAAATCACAGCTACCTTATATCACTAAATTCAAAATAAATTAAAGTTAAGATATATATCTACAAATCGGTACAATATAAGAATATACATATATAGGTTGACCGTTTGTCAAAAACTACTAAAAAATGTTTCAAAGTTACAAAGTCTCTGTCAGTTAATCACATATAATTCATTTAATCGATTTTACGACGAAATCAAGTTTAAACTACCACGAAAACACATTTGAACATAATAACAGAAGTACGTACCTTCTGTGGGAGGTGAATGATATAGCAGCTACCCCACGACTGTTGGTCTGTCCAATACACGCTGGTACATTCCTCAGTACTAAGACCTGGGGAGGAGTAATCCGATTGTAGGTACTTATACATATCACTTACCGTTTTACATTATGTTCTTCAAGACGGGATTAACAGTAAAATGTCGATACTGTTTTCTTAAATTCGCCCATTGTCTGCTCAACCGATTCCGCTCCATTACTAACACTGTCCGCATTAGAACTTAGTTCGATGTAATTTTACGTATTATGTTACGTGTCGGATAATTTTACAAACTTGGTGGTCTTTTTGTTTCTAAATCGCGAGACCGTATTCCTTGATGTATTTGTAAAAAGTATATTGACCTCTGCCCATAAAGTCATTTGGTAAACGGAGCGCTCCGAAACAGATCTGGCCTTACCGCTTTACATGGCTGTGTGAACACTCGGTATTCACTACAGGCAATATAACAAAACGTTATTGTCATTAAGTGCTACTTTTTCAAGGTAGCGACTTTTCGATCTCAAAATCTAACAAATGCACATTCATTATATTTCAGCTGAGGTTTTGATACAATACACATAAAATTCATTATTCAAATATTTGCATGTGTATGTGAATGACATGTTCGTGTTTATTGTCCAAATATCTGTCCGTAAACTACAATTAAATTACCTTACAATTTCTCCATTCTAAAGAATTGCAAATAGTGTTCATTTCTGACCTTGTTTATACCTAAACAGCAGCGTGATTCATTTAAATATCCTTCTCACATACTACACGCGCCTGTCGCTTGCTCGTCGTGTCAGCACTATTTCATCATAATTTATAATTTTCTTTATGGAATATTATGGAATTTTTTATTAGAATACACGTGCATTACAGGTAGCCACCATCACTACGGACGTTCAGACAAATTAAGGTTACAGTACCGGGTATTCTATAAATGATAGTTTTTATGTATGCTCTCTGATGTCCATTAGAATGAAGTGAGGAATTTTTATCGGTACTTCTTACTGGTTCAAGATTTTTTTTTCAACAATAGAATACTAAAAGTGTTGTTGTAATTTGTTTTGTTGGTACACTTACAACAGACATTGACAATTCCCAGGTCAGTTTGACCACCACACAGGTAAAGATCGGCGACGAAGTGGCACCATCAGTGACCAGACTGGGTCAATATCCCATTTTACAGGGCTCATTCATTTGCTCAAATTTCAGTAAATATTTAAAGAAATACGGACTGTAATCTCGTGTGTTAGTGAATATATAAGGTATAAGAATTGACAGACAAATAACTATACTTAGCTAACAAAAGGATGGTAGGGATCACACTGAGATTGTACACTAGACACTACAGTGAATAGCGCCTTTTAGTAAAACAATATAAAGTTAGGTACAGTAGAGCCACACAATGAATTAGAATGCATCATACAGCTGTTTCATACCTAAAGGAATCACCAGTGATGCTAAGGGCCCACATTTTGAAGCCCAGGAGACAACTGAGGAAAATCCAAAGTGGTCGAGAGAAAAATCAAAATCTAGACGGAAAGGTCCAGCAGCAACAGCTCTATAATTAAATAAACTTCGTAAATTTCATGTGTAAGATAATTTTAAAATAACGTCAAGTACATATGTATATTCCGAACCGTGCCACTATTCGAATGAATTGAAACGTGACATGTGGGTTTTGGCATCAGATAAAAAGTAAGCGTAAGACTGACGCAGAATTACTACGGTTCTTTTGGTCTAATTTAAGCAAAACGAGATATAGGTTTACAGATGGGAATCAGTATGTAGACATGTGTTACTATATAGCCTTAATGTATCAGGTCTACAGATGGGAATCAGTGTGTAGACATGTGTTACTCTATAGCCTTAATGTACCAGGTCTACAGATGGGAATCAGTGTGTAGACATGTGTTACTCTATAGCATTAATGTACTAGGTCTACAGATGGGAATCAGTGTGTAGACATGTGTTACTCTATAGCCTTAATGTACCAGGTCTACAGATGGGAATCAGTGTGTAGACATGTGTTACTCTATAGCCTTAATGTACCAGGTCTACAGATGGGAATCAGTATGTAGACATGTGTTACTCTATAGCCTTAATGTATCAGGTCTACAGATGGGAATCAGTGTGTAGACATGTGTTACTCTATAGCCTTAATGTACCGAGTCCTTGTCCTGGCGGATGACATTTAATGCATGTTCCCGTTGATTCTACTGTTCCTAAAGGAGTTGACTAAATTTTCAGCTCAATTTCCTCGATACTAAAACAACTTTTAACTTTCAACACGGGTAAACGCTTTCGCAGACATCAGGTCTTGAACTCCATTCTTACAAGTACGCACAGCTTTGCGTGACAATATTTCTTATAATTATCAGACTATAAGCTATTTTGTACAGTTAACTGGATTTTAAATATCAATAGTGTAATCGGATGACTAGAAATGTTCGTAGTTGTATAGTTGGACGGAATAGTTGGTTGGGTTGAGTGGACTACGTGAATCTGTAGGCTTCATCAGACCAACGATTGGTGATATTTGGTCCCCGAGATATACGATAGTAACCCGTTATGTATTTGTAGTTTTTTAGTTCAGAGTACGTTATATCCATGCTGTTGGTTTTGTTATGTAACCTTCATGGTTTGGTCCAGTGTTTATGGTGTGGCCTCGGTACCGGTTAAATATTTCGTGTGAGAATTTCCATACAGTAGTGTGCCGTGAGACTTTCACCATTCTCCAGTGGTAATACACTACTTACTGTTGTGATACATTTCATGTTCTTTCTTATGTGATACGTACAAAACGTTTACGATCCACCTCTGAAATCCGATACATGTGGTGTGCTTTCTGTGTCGACTCAAGACAAAAGCCTAGTCTTAAAGGGTAAACGATTTAGAAAAAAATCATGTCAAGTGTAGTTTTAATGTTAACTGTAATGTATTTTAAAACGCAATAAATTAACTACCGGGTATAACACGACTTGGCGGATTTCACTTTATACGGGGTCGCTTGTGATGTTAGAAACACACGGCCGATCTATCAGTGGTAACCCGTTAACATTTAGGTCCAATTCCTAATCCTGACGAGACACTAACGGACGAAGTTTCACTTACGCTTAACAGCAAGATCCAATATTCTACCTCAACAACACAACGTAAATGATTTAAACTCCATCGGCCGAACAATAAGCTGTACTAATATGTACATAATACTGTCATCAGACAGGATCTAAACCAGGACACAGTCAAAACCAAGATTTACTGTAGTAACATGTACATAGTACTGTCATCAGACAGGATCTAAACCAGGACACAGTCAAAACCAAGATTTACTGTAGTAACATGTACATAATACTGTCATCAGACAGGATCTAAACCAGGACACAGTCAAAACCAAGATTTATTTACTGTAGTAACATGTACATAATACTGTCATCAGACAGGATCTAAACCAGGACACAGTCAAAACCAAGATTTACTGTAGTAACATGTACATAATACTGTCATCAGACAGGATCTAAACCAGGACACAGTCAAAACCAAGATTTACTGTAGTAACATGTACATAATACTGTCATCAGACAGGATCTAAACCAGGACACAGTCAAAACCAAGATTTACTGTAGTAACATGTACATAATACTGTCATCAGACAGGATCTAAACCACGACACAGTCAAAACCAAGATTTATTTACTGTAGTAACATGTACATAATACTGTCATCAGACAGGATCTAAACCAGGACACAGTCAAAACCAAGATTTACTGTAAGTCATCAGACAGGATCTAAACCAGGACACAGTCAAAACCAAGATTTACTGTAGTAACATGTACATAGTACTGTCATCAGACAGGATCTAAACCAGGACACAGTCAAAACCAAGATTTACTGTAGTAACATGTACATAATACTGTCATCAGACAGGATCTAAACCAGGACACAGTCAAAACCAAGATTTACTGTAGTAACATGTACATAATACTGTCATCAGACAGGATCTAAACCAGGACACAGTCAAAACCAAGATTTACTGTAGTAACATGTACATAATACTGTCATCAGACAGGATCTAAACCAGGACACAGTCAAAACCAAGATTTACTGTAGTAACATGTACATAGTACTGTCATCAGACAGGATCTAAACCAGGACACAGTCAAAACCAAGATTTACTGTAGTAACATGTACATAGTACAGTCATCAGACAGGATCTAAACCAGGACACAGTCAAAACCAAGATTTACTGTAGTAACATGTACATAATTCTGTCATCAGACAGGATCTAAACCAGGACACAGTCAAAACCAAGATTTACTGTAGTAACATGTACATAATACTGTCATCAGACACGATCTAAACCAGGACACAGTCAAAACCAAGATTTACTGTAGTAACATGTACATAATACTGTCATCAGACAGGATCTAAACCAGGACACAGTCAAAACCAAGATTTACTGTAGTAACATGTACATAGTACTGTCATCAGACAGGATCTAAACCAGGACACAGTCAAAACCAAGATTTACTGTAGTAACATGTACATAATACTGTCATCAGACAGGATCTAAACCAGGACACAGTCAAAACCAAGATTTACTGTAGTAACATGTACATAGTACTGTCATCAGACAGGATCTAAACCAGGACACAGTCAAAACCAAGATTTACTGTAGTAACATGTACATAATACTGTCATCAGACAGGATCTAAACCACGACACAGTCAAAACCAAAATTTACTGTAGTAACGTGTACATAGTACTGTCATCAGACAGGATCTAAACCAGGACACAGTCAAAACCAAGATTTACTGTAGTAACATGTACATAGTACTGTCATCAGACAGGATCTAAACCAGGACACAGTCAAAACCAAGATTTACTGTAGTAACGTGTACATAGTACTGTCATCAGACAGGATCTAAACCAGGACACAGTCAAAACCAAGATTTACTGTAGTAACATGTACATAGTACTGTCATCAGACAGGATCTAAACCAGGACACAGTCAAAACCAAGATTTACTGTAGTAACATGTACATAGTACAGTCATCAGACAGGATCTAAACCAGGACACAGTCAAAACCAAGATTTACTGTAGTAACGTGTACATAGTACTGTCATCAGACAGGATCTAAACCAGGACACAGTCAAAACCAAGATTTACTGTAGTAACGTGTACATAGTACTGTCATCAGACTGGATCTAAACCAGGACACAGAAAGTCAAAGCCACGCTCTTCGCCTCTTATGACTGCATAACAAAGATGGTTCGTAATCGTTGTCTTCAGATCTTTACAAAAGGCACGCAAATGATTACATCTTACGATACAGATTGATGAACTGAAGTGCATCATATAAAGCCGTTTCCTCCTAGCCTCGTCTCTGACGCCACAGATACAAATTGTGAAATCTAGGAGGGTATTGACCGAAGAAATGGATATAATAACAAAGTTAATATGGAGCGTAAAGTAGATGTGTTTATTTTGAACCGCGCCACTGAATACTAATGTACAATAAATAGTTAAGGATTGGTTTATCTAAGAGAAGAAAGAAATACGTTTTTCGCCTTCAAGTTAATTGTTGATTATGTTGACTTTTTGTTGTCATGTTGCCATGTTGTGTATGAAATCGTTTATGCCTAAATATGGTTATCTCGGTTAATCATGTTGCTGAATTTTGTGTAAAATGAATCATCCAGTAATGACTTATTATCAGATTTTTTATTTTTTGATAAACCCTAGTTTTTTAATGTTGTATTATAGACATATGTTGATGCTTGAAATACCAACTAAATGTATCATTTTTATCAATAATTCCGAGCTGTATGAACTATAGGAAAGAATTCGATAAGTTTCCCGTCAGCAATACAGATGCAAATTCATGTAAAACACACATTATATGAAGTTATCTAGAATGTGTGTCGCTTATAGATTTAACGAGATGTTTTCCTGAGATTTAGTACAGTTGTATCATTTCTCCGCGATACTGGATTCTAAAAAAAGATTGTCTGAAATATCTTCATTAGTATTCAAAACAGCATACCAATAAATCAAGTTATATGGGTTATTGGCAGAGAGACGTTAGGAAAGAAAAAAGGCAATATCGACCTGATAACAGGGTCTTTATTCAAACTCAAAGTCGATGAAATAAGGTCAAACTATGGATAAAAGGAAGTCAATTTGGAGACTCGTGGAAAAAAAACAAGGAAAATAGGACAAGGTTTTCAAGAAATGAACGGTAATTGTCTCCTGCTCCATTCACGACAGCCGCCATGTAAATCTAAGTCAGTCCAACATACCACGTTCCCGAATGAGAACAAGGTATACACAACGGAACCACCAGGTATACTAACGAGCATCAAACACGTCCAGCTTCATATCACACTACAGAACCACCAGGTATACTAACGAGCATCAAACACGCCCAGCTTCATATCCCACTACAGAAACACCAGGTATACTAACGAGCATCGAACACGTCCAGCTTCATATCACACTACAGAACCACCAGATATACTAACAAGCATCAAACATGTCCAGCTTCATATCACACAACAGAACCACCAGGTATACTAACGAGCATCCAACACGTCCAACTCCATATCACAACAGAACCACCAGGTATACTAACGAGCATACAACACGTCCAGCTTCATATCACACAACAGAACCACCAGGTATACTAACGAGCATCAAACACGTCCAGCTTCATATCACACAACAGAACCACCAGGTATACTAACGAGCATCCAACACGTCCTGCTTCATATCACACAACAGAACCACCAGGTATACTAACGAGCATCAAACACGTCCAGCTTCATATCACACTACAGAACCAACAGGTATACTAACGAGCATCAAACACGTCCAGCTTCATATCACACTACAGAACCACCAGGTATACTAACGAGCATAAACCACGTCCAGCTTCATATCACACTACAGAACCACCAGGTATACTAACGAGCATCAAACACGCCCAGCTTCATATCCTACTACAGAAACACCAGGTATACTAACGAGCATCGAACACGTCCAGCTTCATATCACACAACAGAACCACCAGGTATACTAACGAGCATCAAACACGTCCAACTCCATATCACACTACAGAACCACCAGGTATACTAACGAGCATCAAACACGTCCGTCAGCTTCATATCACACGACGGAACCACCAGGTATACTAACGGGCATCAATCACGTTCAACTTCATATCACACAACAGAACCACCATGTATACTAACGAGCATCCAACACGTCCTGCTTCATATCACACAACAGAACCACCAGGTATACTAACGAGCATCCAACACGTCCGTCATCTTCATATCACACAACAGAACCACCAGGTATACTAACGAGCATCAAACACGTCCAGCTTCATATCACACAACAGAACCACCAGGTATACTAACGAGCATCAAACACGTCCAGCTCCATATCACACTACAGAACCACCAGGTATACTAACGAGCATCAAACACGTCCAGCTTCATATCACACTACAGAACCACCAGGTATACTAACGAGCATCCAACACGTCCAACTCCATATCACAACAGAACCACACGTCCACACAACAGAACCACCAGGTATACTAACAAGCATCAAACACGTCCAGCTTCATATCACACAACAGAACCACCAGGTATACTAACGAGCATCAAACACGTCCAGCTTCATATCACACTACAGAACCAACAGGTATACTAACGAGCATCAAACACGTCCAGCTTCATATCACACAACGGAACCACCAGGTATACTAACGAGCATCAAACACGTCCAGCTTCATATCACACTACAGAACCACCAGGTATACTAACGAGCATCAAACACTCCCAGCTTCATATCACACTACAGAACCACCAGGTATACTAACGAGCATCCAACACGTCCATCAGCTTCATATCACACAACGGAACCACCAGATATACTAACGAGCATCAAACACGTCCAGTTTCACATCACACAACAGAACCACCAGGTATACTATATCACAACAGAACCACCAGATATACTAACGAGCATCAAACACGTCCAGCTTCACATCACAACAGAACCACCAGGTATACTAACGAGCATCAAACACGCCCAGCTTCATATCACGCTACAGAACCACCAGGTATACTAACGAGCATCCAACACGTCCTGCTTCATATCACACAACAGAACCATCAGGTATACTAACGAGCATCTCAAAAGCGTCCAGCTTCATATCACACAACGGAACCACCAGATATACTAACGAGCATCAAACACGTCCAGCTTCATATCACACAACAGAACCACCAGGTATACTAACGAGCATCAAACACGTCCAGCTTCATATCACACTACAGAACCACCAGGTATACTAACGAGCATCCAACACGTTCTGCTTCATATCACACAACAGATCCACCAGGTATACTAACGGGCATCCAACACGTCCAGCTTCATATCACACAACGGAACCACCAGGTATACTAACAAACTTTAAACACGTCCTGCTTCACAGAAATATTGCAAGATACATTCATCGTGTCAAAATAAAAGTTGATTTGCCTGGTTTTCATAAAATGACAACACAAAAAATGTCTTTGTTTTGTTTTTCGATTTAATAAAGCTGACATACTCGTGGCCACAATTATACTACTTTCACAGACAACCATAACCAAGGGACTTTTACACGTATTTACACCATTAGGAATTTTTGGTTTAAAATATCTTAAAACTACAAGCAATAAAATACGCAAGAAGAATCAAACAAAAAGCATATAGACCTCATCCTACATTTACTTGGCAGAGGTATATATCTTACAATGTATCCAATGGAATGTTATAACAGATCGCCCCAAACTACTGATCGTACAAACCGTAAAAGCCTAGGTCTCGTATTGTGTCTGGAGTGACTAAAATAAGAGAAAAATTCGGGTTTAGATCTAACTCGAAAAGCAGCAACTGGCATGGTTGTAAATATATCCATATATAAGCATATTTACTTAAGAGCAACATTCAATAACTGTGTTAAATGACCGTCTGAAAAATAACGAAAAACTCGCCTTTTTTTTTTATACATATCAAACATCCACCTTTTAGCTGTAACTAACAGTTCACGATCAAATCCTGAGCAATATAACGTTGTATCATAGATAGAATCGGAATAAAATTCTATTTCTTCTGGAAATGTAACAGAAAGGTCTAGGATTTCGGTAAAATGCTATTTCGTTGATAAATCAGGGTCTTCTATCGCCTGAGCAGGATCACATGTGAAAGATATAGTGATGGCAAAGCGCTCTCCCTCGACAAGCTTCTCAACGAAGTGGACATTCTCGGAACCGGAAGTGAAAAAGGAAACGCGACCTAAAAAAAAAGAAAAAAAGACGTTGAGATTCATTACAAAGTATTGAATATCAGCATTTAAAAAAGACAAATATAACAAAGACATGACAAAGAGATAATCGTGATTTATTGCATAGAAAAGGACACTTACATGGAAATGGTAATGATATGTCAAAAGGGAAAATAGTGTTATATACTTAAATAAGGATAGGGGGAAAACTGAGAGAAATCTCTAGACAAGATTATGTCAAGATAATGAAAATAAAATAAAAGGCAATAACTTAATGAACTTTGTTAAATCAAAGTGCTGTTCATGAGAACACAACCTTATGATGTAGGTTTAATGCCCATCTAGTTTCAAAGAAATTGATTAAAACTTCAGGAGATCTGGAGATATCTGGAGAAGAGAAAAGTACCAAAACACAACTTCAGTGTTATGGTGATTAAGCCTATTAGGTATGAGAAAGAATGATTGAAAACTATGAGAGCTCTCCGGATAGATAAAAATTTACGACGGATAAACGGACAAAGTCACTCTAATACGTCCTGTCAAACCTTTTGAGGGGTGTTAAAAAAACCAAAATCAAACTCAAAATCATACAAACCTCCATGGAAACAGTAAATTATAGCAATCGATCAAATAATAAATAGTTAGCCAAATACCCCTGTTTACCAAACCTTGTTTCAAGTCAAGTCATCTCCAACTTTAAGTTAACAAATATCATCCCCCCCCCCCCGAGAAAAAAAATAAAATTTTCAATAATCACTGAAGCGTGTAGGAGAAGGCCTACCAAGTCTTGGTTCAACTGTTCGGTTAACGTCCTTGTCCACAAAGATAAACCTTCCACCGGAGAATTCCTGGCCGTAACTGGACAGGTACAGAAGTGATGTGTAGTGGAACGACCCATATGTCACCTATCAAACAAGCGTACGTCGCCGTTATTGCCGATTGTAATATTCTCTGAATACAATTTACCGTACATATATCACTGGTCAAAAAGTATTCGACAAAGGAAATGCAAACTGAACACTGAGCGGTAGGAACATACAATTCATTCAGGAACCCGACAACATTTTCAGGAAGGTATTTTCCTCCTCGTTACATCGCAAAACCAATTATACATGTATTAAAAACATCCAAATACAGCTATTTCTTTTTTTCTGTCACAATTATCTTTTGAGTTAGTGGTATGTAGTCTCCTGGACATGATGATAATTAAATAATTGAACGTCTGATACAGAAAGATATCATCAGTGGTACCTTGTCGACATGGGTGTGCCAATACTCGTCGTGTACGGTACTTGCTGGTTTTGTATCCATGCGAGAGAAAAATGTAGGTTTGGTGAGGAACAATGCACTTGGATTTACTCCAAACTCATTAGCAATAGCCTTATGGATTCTTGATTTCACATTTCTGCATTAAAAAAGAAAAGTTTTCTTTTAGATCGGTGAACAAATCTCTCCAATCAGATGAAAGTTCGATAGATGTCATAATTAAGCTCACCTATATATTCGAAAATCCTCTTCGGTAAATATTTCTTCAGACATTGTTTCCAGTAACCTTGAACAGAGATCATATGATTACTCCAGTGCTAATAGTACCTAACTTATTAATCGTTACTACGTTACAAATATATAATTCGTTACTAGGTTACAAATGTATAAACCGTTATCACCTCCACAGAATCAGGTCATGATTTACTAACGAAATCCGTCAATGAATAAAAATGTCAAATCCCCAGAAATGAAAATGATCTCAATTTACACTAAGTCAAACATAAAATATGTATATTATCATGTCTAAAATATTAGAACATGATGTTTCAGGTTAACAGAACGGTACAGGAACGAGTCAATCAAAATTATATTTCAGTATAATATCATCATTCATATCTTAACTGATTTACATTATCTGAAATATCCATTGATAAAATACTTGTGCTGGATATAATATTACCTGTAAATGTTGACAAATGATTTTCCTTTTGAAAGCGCTCCTGAATGTAGATCCAATATAGATGCCTGAAATGTTTCTTGAAACATTACTTTTTTATTAATTCATCACGAGGATTAACACCCTGCTTGTATACTTGACATATTTCTAGTGAGAATATTCAAAAGAGAACACAACTTCGTTATTAAAAATTAATCTCCTTTTCATAAACATCAATAAGATGAAGTGAGTACACTTTTACTTACCCCTCCGGCCCCACCACCTAGTGCCAGACCTCGCTTCGCTACCCTGTATGGGACAAAACAATTGTAGCTGATGGCGACAGAACACAATCACAGCTACATACACACGAGTAGTGTAAATAAATCAGACTACATGAGACAGCTTACAAATGTGATGACATTAACTTTAGGAAGCAGCTACGTCAAATTTCCTTTCCTAAATCAAGTACGTATTAAGGAAAAACTCTGTTGTCGGGGGTCTTTCTTTTGTATTTCTAAATAGTTATCAATATTTTATCTATTAATTGGTCGGTTTTTGAAATATTAATAAACATTCTGAACAAATGAAGGTAACACAGAATGTGGAGGCCGTGTAAGATGATTTCAGAAGTTCAGTGGCAGCGTAATTCATCATACATTCAATCTGATGTATAAAAAAGCAAGACAGATGATGAAGTTAATCATCTCACAAATACGATGATTTGTTAACATATAAGAATGTAAGAGGCCCTAAGAGGAGTAACTATATTAATATTTACCCTTGGAGATGTCTGGCTTCAGATTCCGTTACCAATTCATCCATGACAACCCGTGCACATCGTTTCGGTTTACAATCTATAATAAATAATATATTTAAAAAAAACGAAGAGATTACCTCAAAATAGAACCAGGTATCATCACACATTAAAGTTTGGTATTTCAGAAATCTGGCTGATCATGAAATTATTTATTTGGTAAGTATCACTTGTATATCTTTGCAATAGATGATACCTTGAAACGGTTCCTTGTCGTAGTCCTTGGAACAAGCAACCTCATGTACTGTTCTTTCCGTCCTCAGTCCAACTGGCACAAATGTTTCCAACCCGCCCTCCTGGAGGGTCAACATGTAATACAACACAGCAAAAACAGCCACGGCAGCAGAGGAAATGTAAAGTGGCGTGAAGGTTACTTTCGGTTCTTCATTCTTTTCCGATACTTTCCTGGTATTAAAAACCCAAATAAAATCAATTACAATGTTTCAGCACTATCTTCGTGTTAGGAAAAAGTAAAATACGAATGTAACTAAATTATCTCCTAAAACAATGGAAATAATTTCGTAATTTATGCCAAGGTAAACGGCCTTTCAGCAAAATCAATTGCCATGGTGACTGGCAGTATACTACAAAGTGAAAGCACCTTAAAGTCGGCAAAGTTGCACGATATCACACGGAGGCGGCCTACAGAGCATGTGACAGCCTCTCAAAAACACACGTGTGCTTACCTTAATTGACATTGGCTGTTGACAGGACGTTAAATAATGTAAACCAAACAAAAACCAGACAAGAGCGTAAAATTGTACTTATCACTTTTATCATAATCATGAAAATATACCCTCCAATTCAGTCCCCTCGCTGATGTCATTTAGATGTGACGATTTTCACACACATAGTGTCACAAAATATTTGTGATATAGACTTATTTTTCTTTGAAATCAAACAAGATGGTTTATAAAAGGTCTTTTACTTACCCGCCATTTCTTTTAGACAGTGGAACCTTTCTTGGCGAAGATGATTTCCCAGTCATCTCCAGGTCTTCAAGCTGCTGATCCACGGTAAGTCTATAATTTTACACCAATCATGTTTATCAATACTAGATACAAGTAAACATTATCAAATCGTGCCTCTATTACTGATCCACGGTAAGTCTATAATTTTACACCAATCATGTACTAGATAGATAATATTGAAATAGGAGAGCTCTTAGAAAAACCGAAGGTACATGTCTTGAACTTCACCAATTTGTGTGGTTTTGTACTCTCAGTCAAAGTTAAGTGAAAACAGTGCGATTTCATCACTAGACTTTACAGAATCTATGCGAACTCTCCCTAGTTCCAATGAATGTTTAAGTAACATAGATCGGGGTAATGACACATAGCTGTATTTGCTAACATGCCATTCTGTAGTCGTATAAGGTAATGTGAGGTAGGGACTCGCCAAATCACTAGAGAAATCTTTACATCCGAGTGCAGGATGTACTTCACGGAGCTAATAACTACTGGAGTGGAATTATCACCTAATAATAAGGAAAACAGTCTTCGATTGTTCAATGTTACTGCTTTCTAAACAGAATTCTTAAAAAATATCATTTATAAAGCATAATCCAAACAATCATAACATCTTAATTGAAGCACAGGGACATGTCTAGTCTTATACATAACAATAACTGTCTATATCTATAGCACAGGGACATGTCTAGTCTTATACATAACAATAACTGTCTATACCTATAGCACAGGGACATGTCTAGTCTTATACATAACAATAACTGTCTATACCTATAGCACAGGGACATGTCTAGTCTTATACATAACAATACCTGTCTATACCTATAGCACAGGGACATGTCTAGTCTTATACATAACAATAACTGTCTATACCTATAGCACAGGGACATGTCTAGTCTTATACATAACAATAACTGTCTATACCTTTAGCACAGGGACATGTCTAGTCTTATACATAACAATAACTGTCTATACCTATAGCACAGGGACATGTCTAGTCTTATACATAACAATAACTGTCTATACCTATAGCACAGGGACATGTCTAGTCTTATACATAACAATAACTATCTATACCTATAGCACAGGGACATGTCTAGTCTTATACATAACAATAACTGTCTATACCTATAGCACAGGGACATGTCTAGTCTTATACATAACAATAACTGTCTATACCTATAGCACAGGGACATGTCTAGTCTTATACATAACAATAACTGTTTATATGTCTACCACTATATCTATAGCACAGGGACATGTCTAGTCTTATACATAACAATACCTGTCTATACCTATAGCACAGGGACATGTCTAGTCTTATACATAACAATAACTGTCTATACCTATAGCACAGGGACATGTCTAGTCTTATACATAACAATAACTATCTATACCTATAGCACAGGGACATGTCTAGTCTTAAACATAACAATAACTGTCTATACCTATAGCACAGGGACATGTCTAGTCTTATACATAACAATAACTGTCTATACCTATAGCGCAGGGACATGTCTAGTCTTATACATAACAATAATTGTTTATATGCCTACCACTATATCTATAGCACAGGGACATGTCTAGTCTTATACATAACAATACCTGTCTATACCTATAGCACAGGGACATGTCTAGTCTTATACATAACAATAACTATCTATACCTATAGCACAGGGACATGTCTAGTCTTAAACATAACAACAACTATTTATATGCCTACTAGTCTTATACTATATCTATAGCACGGGGACATGTCTAGTCTTTTACATAACGATACCTGTCTATACCTATAGCACAGGGACATGTCTAGTCTTATACATAACAATAACTGTCTATACCTATAGCACAGGGACATGTCTAGTCTTATACATAACAATAACTGTCTATATGTCTACCACTATATCTATAGCACAGGGACATGTCTAGTCTTATACATAACAATAACTGTTTATATGCCTACCACTATATCTATAGCACAGGGACATGTCTAGTCTTATACATAACAATAACTGTTTATATGCCTACCACTATATCTATAGCACGGGGACATGTCTAGTCTTTTACATAACGATACCTGTCTATACCTATAGCACAGGGACATGTCTAGTCTTATACATAACAATAACTGTCTATGTCTACCACTATATCTATAGCACAGGGACATGTCTAGTCTTATACATAACAATAACTGTCTATACCTATAGCACAGAGACATGTCTAGTCTTATACATAACAATAACCGTTTATATGACTACCGCTATACCTATAGCACAGGGACATGTCTAGTCTGATACATAACAATAACTGTCTATACCACTATCGAGATCCTATACTTCTATTTTCTAGATAACTTCTGTAGGCAATTTATAAGTAATAATACCTGCTAAACTACAGAACATCACAGCACACGTGGAATTGTTTTTGTAAAATGAGGAGAGTAATACAAGGGAGGCAACTGCATTATAGCCAATGGCAAGGTGTCGACACACTACGATCTCAAAGCATTCTCTATGAATACTCTGGTTGGTTCGATGGAAAGCTAAAAATTAGTTTGCGTGCCGGTTAATTGGCCTCGAGTTCCCGATTTAGATTATTTTCTCAGTTTCAAATATGTATCCAAAACAACATAAATCTATTTGGAGTTCCGGAACAGTCTCATCACGACGGAAAGAAACGCATGGAAGAAGATGCTAAAGTTGTAGGAAATTTATTAGAAATCTGTGGAGTGTCAAACAAAGATAGGCCTAGAAAAATTTTACGATTGGGAAAGAGACCAGAGTCCAGTGACATAACCAATAACAGCCGGCCAATGGTATAAAGAGGAAACTTTTAATGTCATTTCAACTTGAAAATAGTGAAATGTTTTTGGCTATTTAGCATTTAATTGGCTATACATATGTAATAACTGAGAATATTAGACTTTTTATAGGAAATATCTCCTGATTTGATTGGCTATACATATGTAATAACTGAGAATATTTGACTTTTTATAGGAAACATCTCCTGATTTGATTGGCTATATATATGTAATAACTGAAAATCTTAAAATTTTTATAGGAAACATCTCCTGATCATCATATAACTTTAGATTTTTATAGGAAACATCTCCTGATCATCATATAACTTTAGATATGGATATAGAGGCATTTGTTTTGCCTGCGTCCACTATTTACTTATTACTTATTTTCAAACCGTGTGTCAGTATATCCAGCCAAAGTAGGTAGATCGATGGCCTCAAACATGACATGATAACCTAACAATAAGGAGGGAGAACGTCTATATGTCACCTACTGATTTCCCCTTTCTACTCATCTCTCTTCTTTTTGTCTCTTTCTGTTTTACGTTTCTAATTTTAATACTTATCCGTTGTTGGGAGAAGCTAGTCCGGCATAGTTCTACTTTATTTAATTGATATCACTTAAAGCTTCAGTTCGTTAGTACCACTTATTAATGGTATTCATTATATCACTTGGTTTGTGATATTCGTGATACAGTGCTGTCTCAATATCAATTGGTGAGTATTACCATATATTGGTTTTGACATTTTGTAAAGCTTTTCAATGTCTCTCAAAGAGGTAAACGACGACTACAATAACTTGATAATACAATGATTAAGTGAGATCATTTTTATCATTAAGTGAGATCACTTTCATGATTAAGTGAAGTCATTTTTATGATTAAGTGAGATCACTTTCATGATTAAGTGAAGTCATTTTTATGATTAAGTGAGATCACTATAATAAATTGGTGATATGGACATTCAAACAGATCAGCAAACGATTTTGTAGTGAACCACGAAGATGTCATCAGTACAGATCACAAAATTATCTGGTGTTGACAGATTGTTTTTTCTGTGTATTTGAACCCTAACTTTTAAAGTAAAGGTCATGCAATCACTTGAACCCCAATCGCATATGACTGGTTGATTTTTTTTCTAAAAGAAACAAGTTAAGGAAATAATGTTGATGGATAAAGCACGCCACACCTCACCACAAAATCAAAAAGTTAATAAGCCTACACGTTCAGCTGTTTATCGCTAGGGTTAACCCTGGTCAATGGACCAGCAAATTACTACTCGAAATCATATACATATATATCTTAAATTACTACAAAGGTTGATATGTCTGAAGCCTATTAGTCAACAGTCCCCAGCAATATTCAGTGGTTCTGAATTACACATATTTTAAAACGACACTTGTGTGAAAAATCACAGCATTATACACCGTGGTGTACCGTTAAAGAATGGTTAAGATGTAGGTGCTCAGTACAAGCTGAAAATTCACTGGTTTATGTATACAATCTGACCAGAAGAAGTACGACACGAAACTCGTATATACCTGAAATTTGTATTAAAATATTTGTACGGTGCTGTTATGATCAGAAACAATTGTGTGTCTTTCACAGTGTCACAGGTTTCAAGGCTGTTATGCCTCCCAAGTCTGATAACAACACTGTATGTTAACCATGAAATACTGCCAACAAATCAACAACAAATAATGCTGCACATCAACTTCTCTTCAAAACAGAAATTTATGCAATTTTATATGACTCATCTACTGATAATGACTGTGGTGGTTGTAAGTTGCTTTGTTTCATGAAAATCAAGAAAATTTGCAAGCACAGACTATAAACAGATCGAACCGGACGAATGGTCCACCTTTGCATCAGATCACAAGCCATTAGGCTTATGGTAACCTTAAATCTTTGGTTTTGTTGAATTATGTTCTGACCAAAAAAAAAGGCAGAATAAACATGATTATGCTGGGTGTTTGAATCTTGTAATATATTATGGGTCAATCTTGGCAATAATAAAAGGCTGATCAGTACAAACAAGCAAAAGGCAATGTTATATATCATTTACTTTACTTGTACAGTGAAGTTTTTCTTCATCTATACTTCATACATATACATCAACATTCATTAACACAGATAAAACAATGTACAACAAATCTTAAATGCTAAAATGAACCATATTCAATCATTTAATCACTTTTACATAAAACTTCATTTTTTATTATCAAATCATGGATAAAACATTAAAAAGAATTAGTTTTCATGACACAAAACTGATAAACAATATCTGTTCTGTAAACTTCTTTCTGCTTCCTGAAGACCGTCTAACTTACTCAATAAAACACTTTCATTATCACTAAGCAAGTTGTTGATTGTCCTGCCCATATAAAACTGAAAGCAGTATACAGAACAGTCTCTCTTCATCATACAATCTTATTTCATCCCTTTTGTACCACAATAAGACCTCCCATTTGACTCGATAATACCAGGTAGGTGTATTTCTTTGCTGTGAAAGGTTAGTCCATCAAGGCACATGTATAGCTGAACCTGTAAAAGTATCACTGTGGAACAGCTTGAAAGACGTCTGGCAATAATCAAATATCTGCTTTCTCAGCTTGAGCCTGTAATTTTTTGCATGGTTCTTGTTCCCCAGTAGGTTGCTAGGTCGAAGGGCTCAAAACCTGAAAAGTTTAAATGTTTGAAATGATTATCAATGCCATAACACAGAAAACTTATAATATTATCTATCTTTTCAACAACATCTCAACTTGAATTAGAAGGAATCTAGGATGTCTTACCAAATGCTGACATGTATATCAAATTCACTATATACAAGATATTTGTTTCTCATTTATTCCATGTGTATGAAAAAATATAATTTTCATGAGTGTGAAGAAAAAGTCATAAGAGTGAAACATGCTATCCTCTGGGAAACCATCAAATCTTCCTTTATCACGTTTTTGAAGAAAGAAATAGCAGAAAGTCCATTAAAACATAAAATAAATTTTGTTTCCTATAACAGGCAGCAACTGAAACCATATTCCTATTCTTTGATGTCAGATACACATTTTATTAGGAATATGACAACTCATTTTGTATAAGCTAATTACCCTAAAGTTTTCTAGACATACACTTGCCTTCAATTTGGATCAGTAAAAGTTGCTGAAGACACTTATCTGTCTTTGGTAAATAAGAATTTTATCTAGTAATGGCATGTAAAAGTAAATAAAGTCCCATCAATGATGTTTTTTAAGTTCTGGAGGGATATTCTGTGTGTATGACAATATGCTGTCTCTATATACAAGGATTAATGTCGTCGTCTTGTTGGCATTAAGTTTAATTTAAAAATTGAATGCTCATTAAAAGATTCTCTACTGGCATATTAAACGTAATCTACAAAACTGAATATGTATTTCAAGGAAAGACTGCAATTCTATCTTAAAATTTGAAAAGATTGCTGATGACAATAAAAAAGTCATTTTTATGCACATTGCTTTGGAATGACGAACAAAAGATATAAGACAGATATCAATATCCATTAAGCATAGTTACTAATGAGTAAATTGGGTAAGTCTAAAGGAATTCCATTTTTGAAGAATTTGTTTGGACCTTTCCTCGGGAGGTTAACTGAAGAAATAAATAATACTGCAAAAACAGCCTTAGGCCTCTGTGTTTTTATTCAAACTTAACAAAAGTGTGGTATAACTTTGTAATATACCATGTGATTTCAATCTCCAACTTTAAATGACCAGCGTAAGTTTCATTGCTAGGTATGGATCAACACAACTTTCATGACCAAAAATATTAACACAGATTTCAGCAAAGTCATTGCTCAATGATAATTTTAACTTTGCACTTTCCAGGGATGTGGATATACATTACTGCATAAATGAAATTATTCGAAAACTAGTTTTATGTCCAAATGTTCAAAGTATTAGACTTCATCATACATAGCACCAAGGGGAATACCCTTTCTGCTTCTGACTGGAAACTACATTCAGATAAATTCACTGTTTTATTCTTATGGCAATTAGGCATTTTTGGTTTAACATCTTTCATCAACACTTTAAATTGTTTCTAAATGTAGGTTACTTTCAAGGACAACACAATCAAAAGCGATGGCACAATTCATTGTTTAAACTACAACTATATACATTACACTCTGAATTTTCTTTTCCTTTTCCTAAATGTGTACCACCAAACAGAATAAAAGCTTCAGTAAAGGACTCATTATCTGTGTCCAAAATTCACTGTATGATGCATGTTCTTTAAAACTTATTTTGTCGGAGATCTAGAAGTCCAAAGTTCTGTATGAACTTAAATCCAGTATTTCCCCAGAATGCAGCATTGTGAAAATTGAATGATGAATGCCTTCACGTCAGGTTTAAAGCACCTATAATGAAATGTCCTATATAGAGCATCATAATCCCTCCCTTACAAATGTAGAACCTGTTTCACTTACTTTGTAAACTCGGATTATGCATCTTGTCCTTGTAAACAACTGGTCCTCCTGGTTAAAATGAAAAAGATTTTATCTGTTTTGATTAAGAATTATAAAATACAGTATTGTCCATTTAATTCATTTAAAAAATAACATTTATTTTCAACGTATTTAGTAACTATCAACATTCCTTATTTAGCAAGATCCAACAAAAATTGAGAGCATTCTTAATTTCAATCCCAGTAATAAAAGTCACAAGAAAGTCATAATATACTGTCTTTAGGTATAATTTGATAAAACTTACCGTCTCTCTGGTTGGAATTTCTTGCTGATGTTTCCATCTCACTTCTGACTTTGGACCAGGCTGTAATTAATCATACAAAAATCATGTTGTACATTTTTCACACAAATTCTTAAAAAACAATTACTGTAACATAGTAAAACTGACCTGAAGTTGTTTGATATCTCAGGTGTATTAATGTTCACTAGTTTGAATTATGATAATAAAATAAGAGAAAGAAGTGACCCATGTATGGGTTAGCATTCAAAAGTTAATTGTGATAAGAAATTGTCATTTTCACCTACACATATTGCACATGTTTAGAAAGGTCTGTTCCTTCTCTAAAAGCTGATACCATTATCATGTTTCAACATTCAGTGCAAACATATATCTTTTTCTGTACCTTTACCTTCTTGTGGTGGAAGTTTGGGTAGAAACTCCACCATGTGACTGAGGTCACAAAATATCAAAGGCAATTCCCAAACACTTATCTACATTACTATAAAAATAACCCAGAGAAATATAAACACACACTCCGCCTCTTTTAACTGAGGAAATATACATGTCTAGGGAACATTCATCTTTTTTAAAAATCTTATCTCATAGTTATGATCTAGCATTCATCTTTCTTTTAATCTTCAATGAATTATAGCCATACTATTCATATATGGCTCCATCCTGTATACAAATGGCACAGAAGTTAAGAGGAAGATGGAGACCAAATGCAGTTTATATTATTGTCTGATAATTAGCACAAGCACAAAAATAGACTGAAAATTTCTGTCTTTATTATGCTGTTATTTATATAGAATATTTTATTCGTCATGCTCATTTTAGAAACAGAACAGAAATGTTCATAAAGTGGTAGAAACACATCCACCATGGATGCATCATATTAAACAATATTCTCGCAGTGTATCCGTAAATCTTGGTTTTTATTTGAAGCAAAAAAACTGCATTTGCCTAAATAACCTGTTAAGATCTAATAGTTTGCTATCTTTAAGCCATTAAGGTGAGGGAAAATGTATTTTCAGTAAGTGCAATATTATTTTGAGACATGTCTTGTTTGAGAATATTGTAAAGAACAGATATTTTGATCCACATGCAATATTCATATGACAATGACAATTTGATCTTTCCACAATCAAATCATTTGCATGCAGAGCCATGGACATGTTACTTGTTAATTGGGACAGAGTTCTGACGTACATAAACTATAAGCCGTTATATTAAGTGGATAAAACATCAGAATAATTCAAACTATGATTTTCCCAAATAAAAATCAGAAAGTCATAATCATGGTACAAAATATGAATCGTTATATGATTAATACCAGAACAGTAAAATTTGATAGGCGTAGCTGATTAATCAAGCAAAACAGCTTACATTGCATTACAAATCGGACAAGCTCTTCGTGTTGAACTTGTGAAGTGGTTTCCTGGGAACCATTTGTATTGTGTGGTCGCTGGAAGCCACCCCCTCGCCTTACAGCATGGTGGTTGAAGTATGGCCTGGGTGAACTGTAAAGGAAGTGAAGGCCAGCTTAGATAAGTACACTGTCATTATTAGGAACATTATCATTCTGCAGCAAATAGTTCATTTAAGTCTTCCTTAAAACTTCTCATTTTTCTAATGCGCAAAAATAGTTACCCCTAAATATCATCTATTTACCCTTAAACGCAGTAGAATAGCCGTATCATTTTGCATTACAGTCTGAAAGTTGACGTTGGCAATACTTTTTAATTGTGCATATGTCTAGCACTAACAAGTCCCATATTGTGCGTTGTTGTCTTGGGCATAACCTCTCTGCCTGTGACAACATGACGAAATCGGTCAACACGTGGTTTCATAATCCATCCATTTGAAAATGGGAAATGGTTTCTATTGCAAAATAAAATGTTCCTAGACAAAATCGTTATTGGACAGAGATGAGTCATAGTAAGAACACTTTCAATATCGTAGACAAACCTCATTATAACGCCGTTCGAATGTTCTTTCTCTGTGTCCTTAATTTCAAGGTTGTCTAGTTGCGTAGCTGGACCTAAGATAAATTAAGCACATTTAGAAATGAAACGGAATATTTTTTCTTCAAAATGAGACATTAACGAGATCGTACTGTTACATACAGTGAGAGTATTTTTGAAATGAATCTTACCTCTGCGGGTGCTAGCAACAATTTTACTGGGTCCTCTTGACAAAGCGTACATCCCGTGGTTACTTCCGTTTCAAATCGATTTATGCGCATCGATACTGCGCAACCATGTGCGCTTATTGCGCTGTTGTTGACATTGTCAGTTTGAAATTGATAAACATTTAAGTTCAATATTCGAACTACAGGGAAGCAGATATCATTTTTTCTCAATTTATGGCAAATTTAGATTCAACAGTCGTACACAAACCATAAAGACAATGGAAACTTCGCTCAGGCCTTGAAATATATATAAATTACATTCCACTACGTCACGAAGCGCCGCTGGTGTAGTGGTATCATGCAAGATTCCCATTCTTGCGACCCGGGTTCGATTCCCGGGCGGCGCACATTTTTTATGTATCATTTCCCGAGATTTTATTTTTATAAATTCATTTTGGTTTTGTTTAAATAATATTTTATGCTATATAGTTCGTCCCTGTGCGAAAGATTGTCAGCTGTCTTTTGTTCTTTGGTTACTTTTTGTTAATAGAGAACTTTTAAAAAATGACATTATAATCGCGATTTCAATGTACGGTATACATCTAAATTGTACAAATACTTTTTATCTAACACAGTGTATTTATATCTAACACGGTACATTTTATATCTAACACAGTACATTTTATATCTCACCCAGTACACTTTATATCTAACACAGTACATTTTATATCTAACACAGTACATTTTATATCTAACACAGTTCATTTCATATATAACCCAGTACACTTTATATCTAACACAGTACATTTTATATCTAGCACAGTACAGTTTATATCTAACACAGTACATTTTATATCTAGCACAGTACACTTTATATCTAATACAGTACATTTTATTTAACACAATATATTTTCGGTTGATAACTGAAACCTTTAATTTTGAAATAAAGTAGAGGAAGAATATAACAGAAAAGATGACACATACCTGCAACCAGGTAAGTTTGATGTGTCTTAAGCTAAGTATTGGAGTGGCAAATGTTGATCAGTAGTATAAGGGGTATAAAGGGGAAGATATAGAATCCAATTTCTATAAAAATAAAATATTGATGTACCTAGAATCGTGTATATTCTGATATGGTACCGACTTACATCTGACAAAATCTGACACATGGCAAATCGTTTAAGTATCAACAGTATCTAAACAAAATATCAAGTGAAATAAAGCTTAGCAATGCAAGACAATTTAACACCAGGGCATATAGTCTCAATTCAACATATGCTTACCATTTTCAGTCAGGAATGTTCAATTCAAAAATTGTAAAAATAAGAGAATAATTTACTAGTATTGGTGGTATTGCTATGTTTAGAAATAACGTTAAAGACGAATATCGCATTGAAGGCGAAAACAATAGGAACAGAATGTATATTTTTGCATTACTAAGTAAAGGTGGTAATTTGCTGGTTCAAATTTATTTAGTATAGCAAAACAAGTACACCTCTCCATCGATTTTATTTTCAATGTTTCACTATTTAATTGAAAAAATAAACAGGAATTTTTTTTTTAATTTGTATTTTATTCAGGTTTTTCAAAAGACACATGACAAAGATACAATATATATGCCTAGTGAAACACCTCACAGATAACACTCATTTTATCTTTCTGATGCCCCCCCTCCACACACACACGCTTACACATTACAATACATTCATACATACATACGTATACATATACACATTTGTATGTACACATCCATTACCACGTAATTTCACTATATTTATAAAAAAATCACTTGCAAATAGTTAATAAAAAAAAAATGATTATCATGTGTTATGTTTTATTGAAAGAAGAAAGAGAGAAAAAGGATGGGTAGACAGCTCAGGAGAGCACAGACAGACAATACTAGGACAAGTACGAGAGTAGACAGACACAGATGGACGGACAGACAGGCGAACACTGACAGACAAATGAGGTGGACATAGACAAAACAAGGACAACACGCAGACGATGCACAAAGATTATATTATAAAGACAAAATTATGTTAAAGTTCTGTTTAAAAAAAACTAGACAAACAATTTTTCTTGATACATTTTACAATAATCCGAAATAACCAAGTAATTAAGCATTGTATAGAAAGCAAATACCTAATTTTGCAAAAATTCTTTCAGAACTCCATATAACATGCACACTTACAAGAAATGTGTGCAGATGGACAGAATGATAGACAGACAAACAAAAATTATCTTAATATCGTTTTCATCGCCCATTTTCCGTTGGTTGTATTCAGCCAGTGCAGTTCGCCGACCTACTCTGGAACGAAACTTCAGCTATGAGAGATATGATTTATAAAGATGCATTCATTCAGCATATAGTACAAGGAGATTTGGACCCGTCCATCTTTGGTAGGTGTAAATGTTTTGAGATGTTGTAACCGGAATACTCTTCTGTTCTTTTTATATTCTATGCGAGGTGAGTGTGTTTACTGCGTGTGTTTCTTTCGTATAAGCTTCCATGTGATTGTGTGGAACTGAAGTAGTGCTATCGAAGTGAAGTATATTGTAGAAAGCATCCAATAGGACGCTCTACATTATACTAAGGTCGAGTTGGCCTTTCCACTGCTACAATGCTGAGCGTTATGCCGGAAGTATTAACTAGCACTTACTCATTTATCAGAACGGCCTTTGTATAACATAATATTTAGATATTGCGAAATTTAAACTGTAGCAGTTCTTATATCATCATAATTTGTAGGAAAACCGATATGTGACCTCTCGATGACTACACTGTCACTTTCATCATACGACAAACCTATGTGAGGCGTATACTGACGCTTACGGGTGCGGGATGGTAATAAAGGAATTTCCGGAGTTATGACAACCCTATACATCTGCAACACCAAAGAAGAAAATTGCGCGACAAAATTAGTGTAGATTATAAAAAGGCCACATTAGTGTTCACCATATTTAGAAGTTAGTGTTTAAGTAACTAATATCTTTATTGATGCCATTGGAGTTTCTACATTTGTTAGACATCTGTTACAACTAAAAAATCATCATTATCAATAATGAAAACCACTCTTCACGAAAAAAATAATGATAAATCAATAAAAATCAGCGTTACACTATCAAGTGTATATCATGTGATAAGATTTCATTGGGTTGTGATATTATCAACTGAAGTGGATCCCTATTTCTATTCTTTTTTCAATCTTACATCAATTTTGTCATTTTTCCCAATGATAATTCATCTTATTCTATTCTGGATATTCGCCTTATTTTTGTACAATCCTGGAGACTGCAAGTGGTAGACACTGCTGCTGGACCCGTGGTTTGTGATAACATGCATGTCACGTTATAAATCAGTCGAATAGTGGCACGAATCACAATATACACACATGGCGTTATTCTAAAATCATCCGATATATGAAAATAACGAAAATCAGTAGAGTATTGGGATAGGACACCTTCCCGTCTAGGTTTTGACATTTTGATTCGATTTCTTCGGGCTTTCCTGCCAATATGATTTGTCTAATGCTGTAAACGTAATGTGTGATTTCTCGTTTTACTTAATGATTTAAATGAATCTGACAGGGTGAAAAACACGAAATCAAAAAATAAAACAAGTCCTAATTATCACAGGGACTGTTACATGTGAGCCTCGCATTTGTATTATATGTACATTGATTGATACGAGATCGATAAAAATCGAACAATTTCCTAATGTTAGACAATGCCTATACACGTCTATACCAAGTTATTCCCTCCCTATGGGAAAATGTGAGACCCTGGGGTAGGAGCATGAAATTAATGTCTTAAGTTAAGCATCTAAAGGCCTTTCCATCCACGAAGAGTATTATATTCTAACACGTTTAGGTATTGAGAAGATAATTGGAGTTTCAATCAATTTGACCTGATTTTGGTCCCGCCCATCAGGCCTCTTGGGGGTGGGATCTGCTTGAATCACAATTTCGGTGCGCCTTTGGCCATAGAAGGTTTCTATCGAATTTCATCGATCGGTTCAGGAGTTTTTCCGAAAGTCGAAAGTGTTAAAAGTTAACGACGCACGACAAAATGCGATCGCAATAAGTCACCACGAGACTTTGTCTTATGTGACCTAAAATGCTAGTATTTACTGCAACACCAAAAAGAATGAAGTTTCCAATCGATATCACTGGAATCTGTGTTTAGCCGTGTGCATATCACTTTATCGATATCAGTGGAATCTGTGTTTAGCCGGGTGTATATCACTTTATCGATATCAGTGGAATCTGTGTTTAGCCGTGTGTATATCACTTTATCGATATCAGTGGAATCTGTGTTTAGCCGGGTGTATATCACTTTATCGATATCAGTGGAATCTGTGTTTAGCCGTGTGTATATCACTTTATCGATAACAGTGGAATCTGTGTTTAGCCGTGTGTATATCACTTTATCGATAACAGTGGAATCTGTGTTTAGCCGTGTGTATATCACTTTATCGATATCAGTGGAATCTGTGTTTAGCCGTGTGTATATCACTTTATCGATATCAGTGGAATCTGTGTTTAGCCGTGTGTATATCACTTTATCGATATCAGTGGAATCTGTGTTTAGCCGTGTGTATATCACTTTATCGATAACAGTGGAATCTGTGTTTAGCCGTGTGTATATCACTTTATCGATATCAGTGGAATCTGTGTTTAGCCGTGTGTATATCACTTTATCGATATCAGTGGAATCTGTGTTTAGCCGGGTGTATATCACTTTATCGATAACAGTGGAATCTGTGTTTAGCCGTGTGTATATCACTTTATCGATATCAGTGGAATCTGTGTTTAGCCGTGTGTATATCACTTTATCGATAACAGTGGAATCTGTGTTTAGCCGTGTGTATATCACTTTATCGATATCAGTGGAATCTGTGTTATACAAAAAAAGCACCAACCTATAAACACGTTTCAGCTTTTAATGAAATATTCTATTTATTTACCTTTACTAATTTATGTCTCAGGGGGACATAATTACGATAAAACGTGCAAAAGAAGGACATTCTCGTTCTCATGGAAATTAGCTAACGTAATGCCAACAACAAATTTAACTGATCTCTCTCTCTCTCTCTCTCTCTCTCTCTCTCTCTCTCTCTCTCTCTCTCTCTCTCTCTCTCTCTCTCTCTCTCTCTCTCTCTCTCTCTCTCTCTCTCTCTCTCTCTCTCTCAAATATTCTTATCAACAAATTTCTGGATTTTAGCGTTGGAAAATCTGAAACAATATATCGCAATAATTTTCCAGAGGTATTCGATAGAGTTTGGCATTGAGGGTTTATGTATGAGTTAATATCGACATAGAATCTGAGGAGGTTTACCTTGGGTAAATGTTGAGAATGTTATTGACCATACGAGAAGACAGTTTTTTTTAATATCAACTTTTGCGGTGATTTATCACGTTTGGAAACAACCTGGAGTGTTGATGATACTTCTGGATATTCGTTGGACCCTGCAACGAAAGCTTACGTCGACCATCAAAATAGTATTGCTGCACAACAGATCTCTGTCTACAGTCTGATATCTGTACTTCATTGTATGAGTAAGTAATTAACTACATCCGATGTAATTTGTGCATTTTTTATATTGTTTTCAAATACGTGACATATTTCTGGGTAAAAACTGAATAGTTCAAAACTAAGTGAACTCTCAGGAATAATGCTTAGATGGTAATGTAATAGACGTCTCGTTATCATTTAGCCTGATATACGAATTTCGGTTAACAATATGATATAAAGTCTTTTCGGAAATGCAGATAATTATTCATCTCACACTCAATATTATCAAAGCGGTCATTCATATTACTAAACACGATAGCTAACGACTAGAACCTTGTGGAACTGAAGAAGAATTTTTTCAAAGTTTGTTACCCAAAACAGCAATTTCCATTATGACACCTATCGAGAACCAGAAGTTAAACTAATTTGAAGTTTTATTAATTGCTGACAAAATTTCATCAAACTGTGCCTCTTGGTTATTGAGAAAAAGCTATTGAAATATTATCATGTGACTTTGAATGTGGGTCAAGTTGAATTTTTAGAGACAGCTTTATCAATATATTCACCAGTAATTGTACGCTACAGACAAAATTTCATCACCATGTGACTCTTGGATATTCAAATAATGTTATTTAAAGAATTCGACATAATTAGCCTTAGATTTGAACTTTGACCCGTACCGAAAATTTAACACTTTACAAATGAAAAATGTGGTCCAAGAAATGTTATTTATTTCTAATCTTACATAACATATCCAAAGATGAATTCATGCCTTTAGCCGTACATGAGATATTTCAGTTAGAGACAAAATTAGATATGACGTCATGGTAGCCATTTTGTCTTTCTGATGAAGGTGAAAAGTCACGAAATGATAGAGATTATCGCGAAACCTTTCCTATAAAAATTGATTGAAATGTTAGTAATAAAAAAACAAGTTTCACCAATTTGTCGGCATTTTAATAGGTCAAAGGAAGTTTTCAAAATGTCTTCCAACGTTAACAGTAAATGCTCAATAAATACTGTAGACATCAACTTCATCGAATGACAATCTGCAGTGATCTGTATAATAATTTTCAAAAAAAAGATAATAAATGAAAAAATAAATTTTTGTGAGTTTTGACGGCGAGCTTTGTTTAGTTGTTAATGCATCTATTGTATTAGCATGTGACGATAAAAAGAAGTAACATAAGTACACGAACACTACAATCAACGATTTTCGAGAAATGGCTATTTCAATGTTTTTTAACAAACGACGTCATGGTGCCCATATTGGATTTCTGATCTTTTTTGAATATCAATAGAAAGCAATATGCAAATAACCAATCATCATCTTGTATCTCTTAGTCATTGAAAAGAAACCATTTAAAGATTTTAACAAAATTGACCTTATGACCTGAAAACAAAATTGACCTTATGACCTTAAAGGTAATTAATAAAATATGATAGCTAACGACTGGGATATCTTACATGTGAAATATCAAGGCTGTAGACCTTATGAAAGTTGAATCGAAGTTTTCCAAAATTTGTTTCTCAATTTTCAGACGGGGTTTTACCAATACATTTATCGTTTATGTTGTCAAACTTGATAGCCAGTGACCAGAGCTTCTTAAGTATCAAATATCACGTTTCTAAACCTTGTGGAACTTTTTCTACCAAAACTGGCACTTTTCAAATTTGACCTCAATCGAGAACCGGAAGTTGAATTTTCAGACAAACTTTTAATATATTCTATAGCAATTGATCACAGTATGATACTGACAAATTTTCATCATCATGTGCCTTTCGCTTATAGAGAAAATGCTATTTCAATATTTTGATACTATTGACATCTTTGACCTTGAGCGTGGGTCAAGGCTATTTTCATTATCAATTTGATAGTTTACGATCTTTATCAATCTCCACATCATACCATTCAGGTTGCTTATTTGAACTCACTTTATCTTTAAAGGAACACGAATATCATAAAAATCTAATAAATTTGTTTTTAAAAAAGATAAAGGCTTCAGCAGGGTTATCTAAATAGGAGATATGGTTGATAATTGAAAAAAAAAATAATATACAAACAGACATAGGCATAAACAATCTTTTGACCCTGCCATGATAATACACTGTAGCTTTACAAAGAGATAAAGACAGTCTCCTATCTCTTTAATTATACACTGTAACTTTACAAACAGATAAAGACAGTCTCCTATCTCTCTAATTATACACTGTAGCTTTACAAACAGATAAAGACAGTCTACTATCTCTCTATAATACTTGTCTATGCTTATGGCCTTCTCTTATTTCGCTCACTAAACTGTCTTTCACAGTTGTGTCCTCTTGTCTAAAAAGCAGCCGAAGACGGGTAGGGGCCCGTCGTACAAGTTTTACCCCAACCACAAACCGATGGAGTGAATGTTGACACGAGTGTTTAGTACAGCACGGACAGGTAAATGAAATATTACGATACCTGTTCATTGATATCGATGTTTTATACACGATTTGCTAATTACAAATGTAGAGAAAAACCCGTAATAGGCGAACTGTAAAGTATCTGCTTGTTACGTTCTTATTGTACCGGAAAAGTAGCCATGAAACTAACTAAAAAACGGATAATTTTTCTAAATCACATATCGGAGCCCACATTGGTTAAATTATATGATTACAGTCTTCGGTGATTTTACATGTACTCTTAACATTTGTAATGTATCACTGTAATCATGCTTTTCAAACTGCATAGGATATGTATATTGAATGAAGCGCATGCTTTCTATAGATTATATAACAGACCACAAGTCCGTGATAAAGTACTGTACATACACATATCGTTCAAGTTATAAAGTGACGGAATTTCGGATTAACCTTACTGCTTCCTTTCAAAATGATTTAAATTCCTCAAAGGTCCTTTTACAACGTGAAGTTGGCATGTCTTATAGATTTTTTGTCTAAAAAAATTGCAATATGATAAATAGAACCTAACATTAGTATCCATGTCATATTGAGTTTATACTACTCAAAAAGTAGTTTGAGAAAACACTCCTTTAGAGATGGTTTTGTACCAGAAACCATGGTATTTTCTGTCATATCATAACCCATCTGGGAACCTACCAATGCAGTACTGAAATGTATTTGAGATATAGATACTTCAAAGTTAATCATAGATATGTGCATTTTTTTCATTAGTTATTAATATACTTCAGTTTCAAATGTGGTGCACAATAAAAAAAAACGTGAAAATGAAAGTGCAATTTTAAAAAATGAACTTGGATCCTCATTTTACAGAAAATAGTGTGTATACATTTAATAAAATTTAGAGGTAATGTATATGCAGATAAATCTAATTGAATAATAACTTTCCTTTATCTGAATGCATTTTTAGATATATATATATATATTGAATAAGGTTATCATAAATAGCAATTGAATACTTAGGACTTGAGAAGATGTTGCAGTTTCCAGCAGCTGAAAGAAATAAGGGACCTATCCTTGAGGTACTGCAGCAAGCCCTACCCCATGACACTGAAGGACTAGCGCTTGAGGTAGCCTCAGGAAGTGGTGCCCATGTGACACACTTCGCTCAACACTTTCCTCACATCACATGGCTACCCAGCGAAATTGAGGACAGGAACCTCAAAAGGTAAATAATAGTTTCCTTTACACTAGCACTGAATACCAAATCAACGAACATGTTTTGTGAATAATCAAATTTGACTGATGCCAAAAATGATACAATTAGCGACTAGCTGATAGTTATATATTGCCAAGTGACCTAGCCCAATATATGACACTGATAATCCTATTTCTATAGAAATCGAAACTCTGTATCTAGCACTTTATCTCTTGTTGATTTCTGTACCTTAATCAGAAATACTTACATTGTTTCAGTATTTCTGCATTTACACAACATGCCAAGGTGTCAAATGTGAAGGAACCGGTACTCCTTGATGTGACGACAGACCCCAAGGGTTGGGGAGGTGGCTTAGGGCAAGCGTCACTTAAAGTCATCCTCAATGCCAACATGATCCATATTTCACCCTGGGAGACAGCTTTGGTAAGTTTACTCAAACATATCAACTTAGCCAAGTTGATTGATTGATACAGATAAATAAAATAAGTTTGAAAAAAAGTAGTAAACATTCACCTCCCTATTCAGAGGAAATCTAATAATAAAAAGTTGTGGGAAATGAGTTTATTGAAATGCAAACACTTTGCCATCAATGCAGGAGTGCAGTACATAAAAGGTATAGACTGTAAAAGACTGACACTGGTACTGATGCTGTAAGCTATTTACTGTCCATAAATACATTCCAGTAGTCAATAAACTGAAGCACTTCACTCCTATCTACATCGACTCAACTGATAAACTGAAGCACTTCACTCCTATCTACATCGACTCAACTGATAAACTGAAGCACTTCACTCCTATCTACATCGACTCAACTGATAAACTGAAGCACTTCACTCCTATCTACATCGACTCAACTGATAAACTGAAGCACTTCACTCCTATCTACATCGACTCAACTGATAAACTGAAGCACTTCACTCCTATCTACATCGACTCAACTGATAAACTGAAGCACTTCACTCCTATCTACATTGACTCAACTGATAAACTGAAGCACTTCACTCCTATCTACATTGACTCAACTGATAAACTGAAGCACTTCACTCCTATCTACATCGACTCAACTGATAAACTGAAGCACTTCACTCCTATCTACATCGACACAACTGATAAACTGAAGCACTTCACTCCTATCTACATCGACACAACTGATAAACTGAAGCACTTCACTCCTATCTACATCGACACAACTGATAAACTGAAGCACTTCACTCCTATCTACATTGACATAATAACATAATTTTAGCTAAACTGGGCTACATAGAAGAAGAATTCAATGGAAAACATGCACAATTAAGATAAGCAATATATTAAGCACTCTGAAAGCATAAATTGCACCTACTCCAATAAAATTGCAGAACTCGATTTTCAAAAAAGGAAAAAAAGAAAAAACTCAGCTATCTACTAGCAAGCAAGCTTTAAACATTGGAAACATGAGGGAGAGTGGGTGAAAAAAAACTATTTTCAAACTGGCCAAAATCAAACAAAGAATGACAAGAACCTGCCTTGTCCAGGATGAATAAACAGTCCATGTCCGAAACTGGCCAATCAGAGGACATGTTCAGGTAGTACAAGACAGGTGATTATATGTCATATATTACATTGTCTGAACAATGGATATGACTCCAGAGCCAGGAGCATACCAATAGTCTGGCACACAGTTCAGCGTTTTGTCCAATCAGATTTCTACAATATCAGTCACCAGTGTGTCAGTATTAATGTGGAATGAAGGACAGTAAAACAATAGTAATATTTATAGTAAGTGTATACACTCTGATACAAGGTGTGTCTCTAATACTGTCTTCTGTAGTAGTCGTACATCTTAATCTGTTCTGTGAGATGTGCTTATTTATGTGGTGGGTGTTTAAAAAAACTGTACAGGAGAAAGTGTAGCTGTGCTTACTTATGTAGACAAACTTTCATGTAGCAAATATTCAAATTAATTCTGCAAAAAAAAGTGTTTTATTGTTTTTCACTACATATAGGGAGCACTTTATGGTAATTATATAATGTGTGGGGAAATTTAATGTGGTTTAAATATAGAACCCAACAAAAAACCAACACACTGCATAAAGGACATGTGATCTGCTTTGGACAGGTAGGATATGGCATGTTAAACTTGTGGCTAATAAGTTGGTTAAAAAGTGATTCTAGTCTGCATGTTTAAACTATTCCTTCAATCATTAGTGTGAAATGAAATCATTCTAAAATCGTTAAAAAAATATTGATCAATCAAATGATGTCTTTTGTTTGAGAAAATACAAAACACAAAATAGACCAACTACATAATAAAACATTGAAGAACCCGCCTTCAGTCTGTTGGATTGATTCATCTTTATATGATTGAGATGTTGTACTACGTTTAAACACAATTATTTTTGCCTAAAACATCATTGGGACCACTTCCTTTTTGCTCATTTCAACTTTTAGTGAATTATATTTTGCAGGGCCTGTTTGTTGGAGCTAATTATCTTCTACAGCCGGGAGGATATCTATTTTTATATGGTGTAGGTATACAATAAAACCAGAGGGTTACCTGTTTGTGTAGGGTTTCAGTAGACAATAAAACCAGAGGGTTACCTGTTTGTGTAGGGTTTCAGTATACAATAAAACCAGAGGGTTACCTATTTCTGTAGGGTTTCAGTACACAATAAAACCAGAGGGTTACCTATTTCTGTAGGGTTTCAGTACACAATAAAACCAGAGGGTTACCTGTTTGTGTAGGGTTTCAGTATACAATAAAACCAGAGGGTTACCTGTTTGTGTAGGGTTTCAGTATACAATAAAACCAGAGGGTTACCTGTTTGTGTAGGGTTTCAGTATACAATAAAACCAGAGGGTTACCTGTTTGTGTAGGGTTTCAGTATACAATAAAACCAGAGGGTTACCTATTTCTGTAGGGTTTCAGTACACAATAAAACCAGAGGGTTACCTATTTCTGTAGGGTTTACCTGTTTGTGTAGGGTTTCAGTATACAATAAAACCAGAGGGTTACCTATTTCTGTAGGGTTTCAGTACACAATAAAACCAGAGGGTTACCTATTTCTGTAGTGTTTCAGTACACAATAAAACCAGAGGGTTACCTATTTCTGTAGGGTTTCTGTATACAATAAAACCAGATGGTTACCTGTTTCTGTAGTGTTTCAGTACACAATTAAACCAGAGGGTTACCTTTTTCTGTAGGGTTTCAGTATACCATAAAACCAGAGGGTTACCTGTTTCTGTATTGTTTCAGTATACAATAAAACCAGAGGGTTACCTATTTCTGTAGTGTTTCAGTGCACAATAAAACCAGAGGGTTACCTATTTCTGTAGGGTTTCAGGATACAATAAAACCAGAGGGTTACCTATTTCTGTAGGGTTTCAGTATACAATAAAACCAGAGGGTTACCTATTTCTGTAGTGTTTCAGTGCACAATAAAACCAGAGGGTACCTATTTCTGTAGTGTTTCAGGATACAATAAAACCAGAGGGTTACCTATATCTGTAGGGTTTCAGTGCACAATAAAACCAGAGGGTACCTAATTCTGTAGTGTTTCAGGATACAATAAAACCAGAGGGTTACCTATTTCTGTAGGGTTTCAGGATACAATAAAACCAGAGGGTTACCTGTTACTGTAGTGTTTCAGTATACAATAAAACCAGAGGGTTACCTGTTTCTGTAGGGTTTCAGTATACAATAAAACCAGAGGGTTACCTATTTCTGTAGGGTTTCAGTATACAATAAAACCAGAGGGTTACCTGTTTCTGTAGGGTTTCAGTATACAATAAAACCAGAGGGTTACCTATTTCTGTAGTGTTTCAGGATACAATAAAACCAGAGGGTTACCTATATCTGTAGGGTTTCAGTGCACAATAAAACCAGAGGGTACCTATTTCTGTAGTGTTTCAGGATACAATAAAACCAGAGGGTTACCTATATCTGTAGGGTTTCAGTGCACAATAAAACCAGAGGGTACCTAATTCTGTAGTGTTTCAGGATACAATAAAACCAGAGGGTTACCTATTTCTGTAGGGTTTCAGGATACAATAAAACCAGAGGGTTACCTGTTACTGTAGTGTTTCAGTATACAATAAAACCAGAGGGTTACCTATTTCTGTAGGGTTTCAGTATACAATAAAACCAGAGGGTTACCTATTTCTGTAGTGTTTCAGTGCACAATAAAACCAGAGGGTACCTATTTCTGTAGTGTTTCAGGATACAATAAAACCAGAGGGTTACCTATATCTGTAGGGTTTCAGTGCACAATAAAACCAGAGGGTACCTAATTCTGTAGTGTTTCAGGATACAATAAAACCAGAGGGTTACCTATTTCTGTAGGGTTTCAGGATACAATAAAACCAGAGGGTTACCTGTTACTGTAGTGTTTCAGTATACAATAAAACCAGAGGGTTACCTGTTTCTGTAGGGTTTCAGTATACAATAAAACCAGAGGGTTACCTATTTCTGTAGGGTTTCAGTATACAATAAAACCAGAGGGTTACCTGTTTCTGTAGGGTTTCAGTATACAATAAAACCAGAGGGTTACCTATTTCTGTAGTGTTTCAGGATACAATAAAACCAGAGGGTTACCTATATCTGTAGGGTTTCAGTGCACAATAAAACCAGAGGGTACCTATTTCTGTAGTGTTTCAGGATACAATAAAACCAGAGGGTTACCTATATCTGTAGGGTTTCAGTGCACAATAAAACCAGAGGGTACCTAATTCTGTAGTGTTTCAGTACACAATAAAACCAGAGGGTTACCTATTTCTGTAGGGTTTCAGGATACAATAAAACCAGAGGGTTACCTGTTACTGTAGTGTTTCAGTATACAATAAAACCAGAGGGTTACCTATTTCTGTAGGGTTTCAGTATACAATAAAACCAGAGGGTTACCTGTTTCTGTAGGGTTTCAGTATATGTTTCTATTATAACTTTCCAGGCATGTCTTTAGAAGATACAATGATGATATCTATTATAAGGCATTCTTCTGCTGTTTTGTTTACTTTCAGCCATTTGCTGTTCATGGAAGTTTGACCCCAGAGAGTAATGTGAAATTTGACCAGTATTTAAGATCACAGTAAGTAAACATTGAAAGCGTAATCTTGACACATGTTGACTGTTAGGTCAAGGTCAAGATTAGCTCATTTTTATGTATCATTATTATCTCAAAACAGAGGTTGACTGTTTAGTGCTTCAGAAGAAGGTGGAAAAGCTCATTATCGTAGATGAAATGTCAAGACTGTACATCACTGTCAAATGTTAGTTGTCGGTATTGTAGTTAGCTAATAGTTACAAAGTGTTGAAATTATTGGTCACCACACTGTGAATATAGTAGGTCAGTAAAAAACAACATCAAGAAAATTCCAACATGTCAACATAATCATAATCCATACCCAAATTCCATAAAACTAGAGCAAAATATGACCAAAGAAAGATTTACAAGACTCCTGAAAATGTGCAAGGAGAATTAGACCAGGTGTTTCGGAACAGCAAGCGTATTCTACTTTATCAATGACACCTGCCTATAAACCTTGGTCAATCCAAGTAAGTAATGTCACGTTCTCAAATGAGAACAAGGTATATTAAATTCCAAGATCACTTTCAGTGCAGGATTATATGTGGAAATACAGGTAGTGCTGAGACAAACTAATGATTGGAAGTCTGTACTTTGTACCTGTTGTCATGTTGTGGTCATGTACTGCCACCATAATCTATACATATAATTACATTATACAATGATTTTGTCTGACAGGGAGTGTAGATGGGGAGTGAGAGATACATATAGTTACATTATATGATGATTTTATCTGACAGGGACTGTAGATGGGGAGTGAGAGATACATATAGTTACATTATATGATGATTTTGTCTGACAGGGACTGTAGATGGGGAGTGAGAGATGTGGACGATGTAGAGAAGCTGGCGAAAACAAACCGACTGAAGATACATAAAATTGTAAGTGATTCACCTGCATCGTCTCCTCCTCACAAAAATGCAGTAATGAAAACATTTCTGATTGAGAAGTATAATTGATTTCCTTTCCCATTATTTAACAGTTAACTTAACATCTTAAAATCTTGTATTTGTTTACTTTGTTTTATATTGACGTCATCAACTTGTTACTTGCTGGGAAAGCTTAATGTCATTGAAATTGTTTTATTTTACAGGTGGATATGCCAGCAAACAATAAGATGTTGATATTCCTGAAGGAAAGCTGATAATGTGATAATTTTAGGCGTGGTTGATCTGTGTATTGTTGTAATGATTTTACAGTAAATGTGCTTTATATTCAAATATTATGTTTGTGTTTATTTAAAGGTTTTAAGGTTGACATAAAGACTCAGAATAATGATTTTACTGGTGCAATTGAATGCTGCCTTTTCTTTTGCAACCGAGAATGATGTTACGATTGAGATAAGTTAGTGTCCTGTCCAGGTCTGTTAATGAATCGGGGATTGGGCACTCAAATTATATTATTATAGAGAATGTCTTTCTGAAGACAAGATTTTTTCTGGCGATTTGATTTCAGGTCAGCCACCATTCTCTTTATAGTTTATTTAGGTCGTGACATCACACATGGGACTCTGTCCATTCCAACCTTGCTTGAAGTTTTGATCACTTTGAGGTTTTTGAAGGTTTTGAAGACTGTTGCCTTCATACAACATGTTGACGACTCTATTGCAACTCCCCAGCCATCGCTGAGCAGGGTGGTGATGTGAGGGCCCTTTCCCCGACTGATTCAGCGTCAATTTTAGCCATCGCTGAGCAGGGTGGTGATGTGAGGGCCCTTTCCCCGACTGATTCAGCGTCAATTTTAGCCATCGCTGAGCAGGGTGGTGATGTGAGGGCCCTTTCCCCGACTGATTCAGCGTCAATTTTAGCCATCGTTTCCGATGGGTTTGACCACAGAAACAATTAAAGAAGAGTTTGGAGCTATTGCAGGTAAATTTATACTTGAAAACAAAACAAATAAGATAGCCATACAGTTGATATAAGTAATAGTGTTCCTCAAAACTACGCCTTATCTGAACTTCAACTGTAGCGGAAATGATGTCACATGTCACGTGTATTCCACGAATTAACATCGTTCGAAATCATGCTTTGACATCGGCTCCCGACCGTTTTGTTTTTCGGAATATCCATTTTGTCGAGCTGTATCACATGAACTATTGACAAGCATGACCTTACAACCTGATGACTTGCTTTTACATGTAACGGTGCCATAAAAAAATTGAAAATTGTGATTGAAACAATATATAATAAAATATTACGAGTATATAGTTCAATGGCAAATTTGTGTAATTTTTCTTGATACACATTTTTACACGTCAAACATCCTCACAGACAATGAAATAACTTTTTGTCTTCTATAACGTGAATGAATGAAAAATCGAACATGAATGATATGCCACGCCTTCTTGCAAATTTTTTGTCTTCGGAACATTAAACATGCACGAAATAGTTTGTGTTATAAAAAAGAAGTTTACTAAGAAATATGACTCATTTAAGGACGATATAAAGACTGAAACCTAACCCTTTAGAAAAAGTGCACACATAAACATAGATATCCACTACTTTCTCACCACGAATTTATTTTTCTTCACATCAAAATATTTTCCCCTTCAAATGATGATTTTATGTAATATATATCTACATCTGGGTCACAGTAAGCTAACTCTATGATTTAGTCATATGCCTTCAGAAACGGAAGTGCAGTCACCTGTCCGATACAGATGTCGGTTTGATCTTCGAATGTTTTATGTAGCCTTGTAAAGTTCAGCAACTTTCATGACTGTCATCACCCAACGTAGTATATCCTCAATAGCTGCACATTGGATATTTATTCTTTAAAAAAATATTTGTGTTTCATCGATCTTTTTTTAAATAAATGTGCATGAACACATTCGAATTCAGTTATTTATTTGTTTGGTGGTAATTCGTCAACATAGCATAGCTGGTGAAAAAATGATTTTTAAGGAGCAAGAAACCTGCGTTCCAAGGATATAAAAAAGGCCAAACAGCAGTTTGAAAACCATTCGATTTCTTTAAGTATCCATACATTTTAAGGCAATCTGTGCAGATGTGGAAATTAAAGACATTACTTTCCATTTTAAGTAAATTTGTTCAGCCGCTTTATTCATAATACAATGTTATTCTTCAAAAATCAAATTCAATGTTGATTTTGTGAATAAAACCACAAACGACGAGCTCAGTTCACTGTTCTCGTACCATTTTGTTATGCTATGAAATGCAGCGTGAATATATGGAGTGTTTTAACATATATGCTGCATTTTGGCTAGGGACTGAAAGACATGGGTCTTTTTCGTGGACAAGGATAGCTAAACCGTCGAGTAAGAGTTTGGCCGGCAAGAAAGCCACATTCTGACCAGTTTGTTACACTCGAGTGTATCACTGTCCACAACAAACACCATTGTAAGATTCCCTCGTCATGATTGTAAATAGTCCATATGCTGACGTATAAGATTCTGTTATCCCCGTCATGATTGTAAATAGTCCATATGCTGACGTATAAGATTCTGTTATCCCCGTCATGATCGTAAATAGTCCATATGCTGACGTATAAGATTCTGTTGTCCCCGTCATGATTGTAAATAGTCCATATGCTGACGTATAAGATTCTGTAAATCCCCGTCATGATTGTATATAGTCTATATGCTGACGTTCCAAGAGCTCAAGTATTTCTGGGTACGACTGGTCAACTATGCCGTGTGTTAATGTTGCAACTTTTCTCTACATACGACTTCACATGATATGCTTTATCGTGTAAGTGCAGGTTCAGCTACATGTTTTCGAAGAGGTCCAATATATCTTTTTTAAAGAGCTTTGTAGGTATTATGATGCATCTATTCCATCTATAGCTCTCCTAAATACCCCCACTCATCACTGAGTTAACTTTATCATTTTGATAGGGTATGCCAACATTGAATGAAAGCTTATTACCACTGGAAGTTACACCTGTCTTTTTCGTTACCTGTAAACAGAAATTCACCTCCATCCTCTAGTGTTGTACATGTAGGTAATACCGTGTAGAAATTCACCTCCACCTGTAAACAGAAATTCACCTCCATCCTCTAGTGTTGTACATGTAGGTAATACCGTGTGGGTGGGGTGTTTTTCGTTACCTGTAAACAGAAATTCACCTCCATCCTCTAGTGTTGTACATGTAGGTAATACCGTGTGGGTGGGGTGTTTTTCGTTACCTGTAAACAGTAATTCACCTCCATCCTCTAGTGTTGTACATGTAGGTAATACCGTGTGGGTGGGGTGTTTTTCGTTACCTGTAAACAGAAATTCACCTCCATCCTCTAGTGTTGTACATGTAGGTAATACCCTCTGGGTGGGGTGTTTTTCGTTACCTGTAAACAGTAATTCACCTCCATCCTCTAGTGTTGTACATGTAGGTAATACCGTGTGGGTGGGGTGTTTTTCGTTACCTGTAAACAGTAATTCACCTCCATCCTCTAGTGTTGTACATGTAGGTAATACCCTCTGGGTGGGGTGTTTTTCGTTACCTGTAAACAGAAATTCACCTCCATCCTCTAGTGTTGTACATGTAGGTAATACCGTGTGGGTGGGGTGTTTTTCGTTACCTGTAAACAGTAATTCACCTCCATCCTCTAGTGTTGTACATGTAGGTAATACCGTGTGGGTGGGGTGGTTTTCGTAACCTGTAAACAGTAATTCACCTCCATCCTCTAGTGTTGTACATGTAGGTAATACCGTGTGGGTGGGGTGTTTTTCGTTACCTGTAAACAGTAATTCACCTCCATCCTCTAGTGTTGTACATGTAGGTAATACCGTGTGGGTGGGGTGTTTTTCGTTACCTGTAAACAGAAATTCACCTCCATCCTCTAGTGTTGTACATGTAGGTAATACCGTGTGGGTGGGGTGTTTTTAAACAGTTACTAGTGTTGTACTGTAAACAGAAATTCACCTCCATCCTCTAGTGTTGTACATGTAGTTAATACCCTCTGGGTGGGGTGTTTTTCGTTACCTGTAAACAGAAATTCACCTCCATCCTCTAGTGTTGTACATGTAGGTAATACCGTGTGGGTGGGGTGTTTTTCGTTACCTGTAAACAGAAATTCACCTCCATCCTCTAGTGTTGTACATGTAGGTAATACCGTGTGGGTGGGGTGTTTTTCGTTACCTGTAAACAGTAATTCACCTCCATCCTCTAGTGTTGTACATGTAGTTAATACCCTCTGGGTGGGGTGTTTTTCGTTACCTGTAAACAGAAATTCACCTCCATCCTCTAGTGTTGTACATGTAGGTAATACCGTGTGGGTGGGGTGTTTTTCGTTCTGGGTGGGGTGTTATATAACTCTTTATCTTTTTCTCTACATTGGTCACTGAGTCTAGTACTATCTTGTTTGAGATTTCTCAATCTTGAATACGTTTTATACAGTAAACCAGATGTCTCGGGTGCGAATCATAGCGGAGGGATGGCAATAAATAAGTCCCCAGTTACATTGACGTACAACGTGGGGCCTCGTGAATTATACTTAGTGTTACTTCACACGCATCTCTGCTACCCCTAAAAACTTGAGGTCGAGGACAAGTTATTTCCTAGAAAGGAGGGGAGAGGTACCCAGTATCAAACAGCTGAGATTGCGCTAACCAGGACCGGTGCTGATTGGGACTGGCGTGGGACTGGCGCTGACTGGTGAACTGGAAATGTAGGTCAAGAGTTGTCTCCTTTTAATCGTGTTCGTAATGTGACTTATTAGAAATAAAAGACCTCAAATGCTCGCATATTTTTTAAGATAAATTTTCTCGGATATAAACATATCTTAATGACATATAAAGAGTCAAAGGAACTTATAGGTAATACAGATATACAAGTATATCTAACAATTGTTAAATATAATCAGATGTAACTTTTATTGCAATATGAATTTAACAAGCAATAAACAGTTAATTAATGAATAGTTAAAATTAAAATCTAAAAAAAAAATGAGACAAGGAAATCAAACGCGCGAAATTCTGTATTTGCTAAAAATAATTTTGAAATGGAAAATACGTTCTTTTATATCCTGTATATCCTAATGAATGTACGTTTTACTAAAGCTGTCCTTATCAGAACCAGCCATGGCCAGGAAATCTAATGATACGTAAAGAATGTCGATTATGGACTACTTTTTGACGGGCCGTTATCATCAGATAAACACAGTTTATTAACGAAGGAGGGCAAACCTGTAACTATTCTGGCAGTTTCTAGTGAATGTTTTCCTATTATTTCCGTATCGAACGTATTACAGCCATCCGAGACTTCACGCGCGTATTCCAATACAGGTCTAATGAAAATATCATATAATTTAGACTAAGTTTTCTTACACAAAGTGAATTTCAACTTACGCAAGACAAATGTTTCGAAGTAGATGCTGCAATATTTGAAATATGTGATTCCCATTTACCGTTATCATTCAGAGTAACTCCCAGGTGTATATACATAGTATTACTCCTCAAAACTACACTATTGACAGTCAACTTAACGTCTAGTTTGTCAAATGAATTTTAAAAAACAACTTCGTCCGTTTCATTTGTCCATTCAGTTGCCCAGTGTTCTATAACCGCTAAATCGGGGTTCTTATGACGTTACTACAACATTACTGGTGGAGTATGCAAGTGACGTGTCAGCGGCCAACATTCTTGATAAAGACAGCAAATTATCAGATATATCGTTGATAGATATAAGAAAAGAAACGTTCCGATAACAGAACCCTGGGGAACATCTGCTTTTAAGTGACCTGTACACGAATTTGACCAATAAACACAATTCGACTTCTACCAATTATATAATCTTTTAACCTATTAAATACATTGCCTTTAAAAACATATGCGTCAAGCTTTTGAAATAGTCCACGAAGCCAGACTCTATCAAACGCTTTAGGTGATCAAAAACACCATACATATTTGAAGTTTGTTCTCTAAAGCAAGACATATGTTATGATATATTTCTACCAATTGTGTTACTGTTGACCTGAAATAATGCCAGACTGATATTTGTATAATAGATTATTTGTGAATAACTCTTTCAAACACTTTACTAACATTACTAAGAAGCGATATGGGTCTATAGTTAGAAGACAAGAAGCGTTCCCCTTTTTTGAACAATGGCATAACCCAGAGACGTATATATCACACGTCTCTGCATTACCAAAGCAATTTTCCGTTTACTCGGAAAGGGCCTGTTTCCAGTAATGTTAATTCTCCATAGGAGCCTGCCCCCTTATAATTTCTTATCTAGCTCAACTACTGTTTTTTTCTTTTCCGAAAAATAATTTTACACCTTTCCGACACCCAGATTTCATAATTTCAGTGAAAATGTATTTTTATAAAGTTGTCAATTTCAGCATCAAAGACATAAGTTCGTAAATAAAAGGAGGTTATCTCGAAATTGTAATTCGCAAAATAGTATAAATTTCTTTTGATAAATATTTCCAAAACATCGTGTTTATTCATAAAACATAAAAAAAAATATATTCTCGGATGAAAATGCACTTGCAGAGACACAATTATGAAGAAAAATGCCATAAATTTGCAATTTTCTCCCGTTATATAGTTTTGGATGCAAATTTCCATCAGAAAATCGGATAGAGCTTTACTTGTTTCATATGTGTACCAAAAAGCAGCTAATTCCATGTGGCGGAATGTTCTCATATCGCCGCCTGAATGTGGTTGTAAATTGAAAGAAAAGGGGAAATTAGTAACAACCTTGTCTGAAACCCTATTATATAGCTTATTATATACAAACTTTTATATTGAATATCAGAGCGGATATTTTCATGACAGTTTTATGATGTGTAAAAAAAAGTAAATAAAGTACTGTTTCCCCGTCTCGATCTTGATTACTTGAGAACCATTACGTGTGGAACGTATCACATATCTCTGGCTCCTGGTTACATCGCCGAACATTTAAGTGATGACGGCGGCTATGAGGTGTGGCTTTACCAGCACTCCCAGACCTCCGATGTCAAATACATTCTCGACACAAAAGCCAAACGAAATATAACGTTTGGATACGGTTCACCGTTTCACCCGATGTTGAGTCCCCAATAAAGGACTACTACTGCCAGTGCCCAGTTGGAGAGAGAACGATGGGAATGTGTGCGCACATCTCCAGTATCTTGTACTACCTTGGGTATTACAGGACGCTAGAAAACCCTCGACCATTACAACCACAGGTAAAGAAATTCCGACAAAACTTGAAATAGTTTCCCATGCGGCAACAGAGTGCATATGTCGAAAGTATGTTTGGGGCTTGATATGAAAGATCCCCGTTACCATGTGACTAACCAAACTTATAAATATAGGTATTATACAATCGCCGGTAGCTATGAACAATCCCGTAAATGCGAAAACCAACCAAAATCATAAGGAACACGTTTTGTTTGTTGTTCTGTCTATTTGTCAGCCAATGTCTTCAACCACGGGGACTTGCGAAGTAGCCATCTTGGATTTTTTTTTATGAAAAAGTGTTTCTCTCACTTTTTTTTCATATCTGTGTACATATTCTCAACATACCGAGCAAATACTCACGTTTTTTTGTTGATTATCTAAAGAAAGTCGAAAATCGGCAATTCAACCATAGGCTAATTCAACCCAACATTTTAAAATGTTCCACCACTTACATTTTGATGATTTTTTCCTCTCATCAATAGCATATTACGTACTATTTAATAGGATAAAAATTGGTTTGCATCCAACGCCCATAAAAGGGTGTATTCTCTAAAAAACACAGTTTTGTGTCTAAAATGTTATCATCGAAAATGGCATTTTTGAGATTGTTTCTTCCATAAAACAGCCAAATGGCGCGATGGAAACATGATTTTTTGTCACAATCATGCCATGAATGTATTCTTTACGGTGATTTTCATCAATATTTTACATAACATGCACATTTTATCAACACTTAGACAGCTTCTGAAAGGTACAACTTTGAGGAGCCATAAAAAACAAACAAAGTGACCTAAATCTTTATAGATTTGTGACCACAACGGCATGGGCAATGCACCACCAACAGGAAATTTGAATCAGAGAAGGGGCCGTTTTGGAAACCGGCCCTTTACATTGATTTAAAGATAAATTAGAAAGCAGTTGTAGTGGTATGAAAACAGTTGCAGCAGTATTTTTCAACATTTCGTGACTAATATTATCTTTCCCAACAGCCTTGTTTGGTTTTAGTGTTAAACGAATATCTGTCACCTCACTGACAGAGACAGTGATAAGCGATAGTAGCATGGTGTAAGTCCGCACGAGTTATCTATCGTTATGGTCCCAGTCAGCGCCGGTCCTAGTCAGGGGCAGTGCGGCTGTCCAATGCCAATATAGAGCTCGCCTTGAGATAACGCCTCTCTCGCTCGAGAGCCAGAGGTCTCGGATGACATCTGTTACACCATTTTATTAAACTTTGACCTCAGTTTTGTAAAACCTCCGTAAAGAACTTTAATTGATAACTATAATGGAACCGGCTGCTGGTCATGGTCATCCTCGAACACCGATATTTGCACACGTTATTCGAAATTTCCAGTAGAAGTGTTACATAAACTGAGGGATGAAAACGTGCTCTCAGGAAAATTAATTGTAATGACAGAGAACGTTATACTCTTCTCATTTGTTCTAAACGCCCAAGCACTGTAAAAATATTTAGTATGTGCCTATATAGCCTATTTAAGTTTCGACGTATCTGATTTAGAGAGAACGGTAGATGACTCATATTGTTATTCCAACGTAGACCTACATACCATTGCACCAGGGACGTCCCTGATTGTACACAATCTGGTTGAATAATAACGATTTTACCATAATTATATCAATAAATAATAAATAACACAGTCCGGTAAAACTGTAACAATGATTGCCTTTATTTGGTTATCACGGCTGAACTAGGCCCAGACGGGAAAATATGATTTGGTATCTGAACGTGAAGTGCCATTGTAGCTAAAATGATAGTCATAAATTGATACATTGTATACACTTGCAAAAAAGTGAATAATTGCATCAAAACATCTTTAAGTAGAAGAAAATAAATGGTAAAAATCTACGATATAACCACATAATGGAAAGTGATGCTTTCGGTGATGCGAAATCTCGTTTGAAACGTGAAATCGACGTGGTTAACTGTTCGATGGCGAACACAACATGCGAAATCCAACGTAAGGGGTTACTACATCGAACACGCGGCTTTTACAAGAAGATGGCTAAACACCCAAATATGTCTGTTACCTTGATTGGAGTCACATTGTTTCTGCTTATAAATATTTGCAACAGGTATTGCTTTTTGCATTCGTTCGGTTGAAAACAAGTGATGAAGAAGTTGCGCTGTATCTGATGTTTTGCAATACTGGACCTGGGAACATGACATGTGTCAGAGCCATGCTGATCACATGTTAAATTTGTATGACAACCACACAGACAAAATTTGTTTGAGAATATCACATAAAAGATAATGAAAGAGAAATGATTAGTAGTAAATTACTGTATCAGATTAACGATTACGGTGATTGACAGATGGTTTCAGTCACAGATATGAACAGATGAAAGGGGTCTACAAATTCAATTGTTCAGTTATAATAAATATAAAAAAGCAAAAAAAAAAAAACAACAGAACAACGTGTACAGTATAACATAAGTATAGAATATGTAACATACTTCAATCGGTTCAAGTGACAGTTATTACCTGTAAACATTTTACAGCAACACTAAGGATATGCCATTGATAAAGTGATATTATAAAATGGCATTATATCTTGTATGATACTCCAGGTAGAGAGCGTGATGATATTGTGAATCTTACAGGTATATATTTTGTGTAGTTGTTTATTGTTAGCATGTTACAATCCAGTTACACTGTATATATATATATAGTGAAAATGTGATGAATTCTCTGTGCCCAGCAAAAATAAAATAAATTAAAAAACTGGAAAACATGATGAGCTGTAAAACATAAGCGCTTTCATTTCTTCAGATGTTTTACATCTGAACATCTGAAGAAGAAATGAAAGTGCCTATGTTTTAGAGCTCATCATGTTTTCCAGTCTTTTAATTTATATATATATATATATAGCAGTATTTAAAGCCAACATTGAATCAAAGCCATCATTTTATACAATAGAAATCTACGTGTTCATTGATATACAGTTATATGAACCTCTTTTTATAATGTGACACGATAAATATATTATTTGATTTTCATATTGAAAAATATTGTTTTTCTTTTATTGTTTCCAGTTTTAAAGGAAAACAGATGGTGATTCCTCCAAAACCACCGGAGAGATTTTTTCCAGTTGGGTCTGCTGTCTTGGATTTCCCTTATGGAAACATCAATCCTGTTACCAATCTGCTTGTTAAAGAAGAAGTAATATTTATGATGTACTATGCACCGTGGTGTTCAAAGTCAAAGCAGATTCGAGGAGAATTTGCAAAAGCAGCCAAATATTTCCAAAACAGGGTGAGATTTGTGTCCTGTAGGTAAATAGAGAGGTTTTTTTAAACTATGTATGACTGTGTAGGTAAATAGAGAGGTTTTTCTAAACTATGTATGACTGTGTAGGTAAATAGAGAGGTTTTTCTAAACTATGTATGACTGTGTCGGTAAATAGAGAGGGTTTTTCTAAACTATGTATGACTGTGTCGGTAAATAGAGAGGTTTTTCTGAACTATGTATGACTGTGTCGGTAAATAGAGAGGTTTTTCTAAACTATGTATGACTGTAGGTAAATAGAGAGGTTTTTCTAAACTATGTATGACTGTGTAGGTAAATAGAGAGGTTTTTCTAAACTATGTATGACTGTGTAGGTAAATAGAGAGGTTTTTCTAAACTATGTATGACTGTGTCGGTAAATAGAGAGGTTTTTCTAAACTATGTATGACTGTAGGTAAATAGAGAGGTTTTTCTAAACTATGTATGACTGTGTAGGTAAATAGAGAGGTTTTTCTAAACTATGTATGACTGTGTAGGTAAATAGAGAGGTTTTTCTAAACTATGTATGACTGTGTAGGTAAATAGAGAGGTTTTTCTAAACTATGTATGACAGTGTAGGTAAATAGAGAGGTTTTTCTAAACTATGTATGACTGTGTCGGTAAATAGAGAGGTTTTTCTAAACTATGTATGACTGTGTCGGTAAATAGAGAGGTTTTTCTAAACTATGTATGACTGTGTCGGTAAATAGAGAGGGTTTTTCTAAACTATGTATGACTGTGTAGGTAAATAGAGAGGTTTTTCTAAACTATGTATGACTGTGTAGGTAAATAGAGAGGTTTTTCTAAACTATGTAAGACTGTGTAGGTAAATAGAGAGGTTTTTCTAAACTATGTATGACTGTGTAGGTAAATAGAGAGGTTTTTCTAAACTATGTATGACTGTGTAGGTAAATAGAGAGGTTTTTCTAAACTATGTATGACTGTGTAGGTAAATAGAGAGGTTTTTCTAAACTATGTATGACAGTGTAGGTAAATAGAGAGGTTTTTCTAAACTATGTATGACTGTGTCGGTAAATAGAGAGGTTTTTCTAAACTATGTATGACTGTGTCGGTAAATAGAGAGGTTTTTCTAAACTATGTATGACTGTGTAGGTAAATAGAGAGGTTTTTCTAAACTATGTATGACTGTGTAGGTAAATAGAGAGGTTTTTCTAAACTATGTAAGACTGTGTAGGTAAATAGAGAGGTTTTTCTAAACTATGTATGACTGTGTAGGTAAATAGAGAGGTTTTTCTAAACTATGTATGACTGTGTAGGTAAATAGAGAGGTTTTTCTAAACTATGTATGACTGTGTAGGTAAATAGAGAGGTTTTTCTAAACTATGTATGACTGTGTAGGTAAATAGAGAGGTTTTTCTAAACTATGTATGACTGTGTCGGTAAATAGAGAGGTTTTTCTAAACTATGTATGACTGTGTCGGTAAATAGAGAGGTTTTTCTAAACTATGTATGACTGTGTAGGTAAATAGAGAGGTTTTTCTAAACTATGTATGACTGACGGACGTGTCAAGATATAAGTCCATGGTGACGGAGTTCTAACTGAGTCTGTATAGGTAGATTGCTACATTACAGAAGTCAACTGATAATAAGGAGTGTTTTATTATCAATAATTCTATTAGGAACAAGTTATAACAGTAATTGATTTTGCGATGTCCTCTTGAAAACAGGTGAGTTTGAGGCCAAAAAATCACTTAATACACATATTCACTGGTCAGCATCACTGAATGTTTAGTAGATAAAGTTATATGCAAGTTATTATGGTCTAGACAATCACATTGGAAATGACAAAGCATGCTGAGTTTGGCTTAAAGGAATTTCAGAACTGGTCATTTAATCAGAAGCTACAAAAGAGCATGGCTGATTGTAAGTTTCTTCAGTCTGGAAATTTTTTTAGTTTACCTTACTAAAGTCCTGTTAAGATTTATAAAATTTGAGAGAAAATTGCGGTTTTCAAATAAAGATTTTGTGGACCTGCAAAATTTACTTTGGACCTGTAACCTGCCAAATGACATGTAAAGATTTTTAAAGTTTGGCACATGCTGTAGAGGCTATTTAATTACTAGTGATCACGAGGATATGAGATTTCTCGCAGTGACGATGAAAGTTTTTATCAAGTTGATAGATTTTTATATTTGTAACAGAGGTCATTATTTATTTCAATGCCTCCGCTAGGAATCGAACCCGGGACCCCTGGCTTATTAGTCTGAAGCTCAACCAATCGAGCTAAAGAGAAGTTCTCTCTAGCCGAGTGGTATATTGCGGCAAGTAGTTAACCAGGGTTACATATTTTATGTGCAAAGATGTAATGGAAATATATTGACAATATGTATACTGTATTCTGATAAATGAATAGCAGAGTTATGTAACTCCGTTTATTTTATTTATTATGTTATTGAAATGTCATATTGTCAGTGTTTTTAATCTTTTTGTTTGACATCTAGTGGTGTTGTCTAGAGTAGGGTTTGTACATAACATCAGTTTAAAAGAGTTTGTTTTGTCTGTTGAAAGTGAATTTGTATAAGATTTAATTTGACTGCGTCCATTATTTACTTATTATTACTTATTATTAATTGATATAGATTCGCTTTGTTGCGGTCAACTGTTGGTGGCCAAGTGGAGAATGTAGGTCGAGTTATAAGCTGATCAGCTATCCAGAGCTGTTTGTTTACCACACAAATCTTGATGGATTCAAGTACAAAGGTATGGGAAGTGATAGTACTCGCAGCATATAGATATATATTTTTGTGGTGATTATATCTACAGTATAGATATTTATATGGCTTTGACCACGAGCTGACTGATAATCAGTTTCAATAACCACTTATATCAAGTTTTAGCTTCTTGAATGATGCATGTTCTGATCAGGAATTTTCCATAAGATACAATCAGAGATACTATCGGTAAAATTTGTATTACTGTTCTATCTAGCAACACATCTATAGTTCAGAAAATTGACAAAACCATGATTTGGTGAGTGACAGAGGTGATAAATCCGCCACCTGTTCCTAGGTTATATATTTGGTACATTGTATAGTTGTGGGCTTGCACAAAGTTACTCAAGGCATGCACAATGTACAAATCACATGATGATTATGAAATCAACATATGTAAATATAAAAAAAACTAATACATGTTGCAATAAATAGGTCATTCTCACAACAAAGGACTTGTACTACGCAAAAGATATTGTTTTCATCTACATTTTAATATTATTTTTGGTTACTATGGGAACAGGCAAAACTACCAATTTGGCTGTTTCCTTTGTAAAATGTTAGAACTTTTCAAGACAGTTACAGGAAACCTTGTTCACTTAAAATCCTATTGTGAAAAGGTATGGGGACACCTGCTCTGACCATGTGGGTTTTCCGTTGGTACTCCAGTTTCCTCCCACATTTAGACTCCTGTGTGCTTCCATCTGGGCCAACAAGAATAATTCATTCAAGCTGATCGCAATTGTTGAAAAAATACAGTTTCTATTTAAGTTCAGAAACAGAAAAGCAAACTTACAATTTTCACAGTTTCCAGAGCCTAGCAATTAAATTGATAATAGAAAGGACTCCTAAACTTTTTACAGTCTAGCACTTTCTCTTATTATTTTACTTCTGGAAGAAGTAATTATTTAGATACAGATTTCTTTTTCTGTTGTCTATCAAAAGGTGTGTTAATCATTTAGATATAGATTTCTTTTTCTGTTGTCTATCAAAAGGTGTGTTAATCATTTAGATATAGATTTCTTTTTCTGTTGTCTATCAAAAGGTGTGTTAATCATTTAGATATAGATTTCTTTTTCTGTTGTCTATCAAAAGGTGTGTTAATCATTTGGATATCAATTTCTTTTTCTGTTGTCTATCAAAAGGTGTGTTAATCATTTAGATATAGATTTCTTTTTCTGTTGTCTATCAAAAGGTGTGTTAATCATTTAGATATAGATTTCTTTTTCTGTTGTCTATCAATAGGTGTGTTAATCATTTAGATATAGATTTCTTTTTCTGTTGTCTATCAAAAGGTGTGTTAATCATTTGGATATCAATTTCTTTTTCTGTTGTCTATCAAAAGGTGTGTTAATCATTTAGATATAGATTTCTTTTTCTGTTGTCTATCAAAAGGTGTGTTAATCATTTAGATATAGATTTCTTTTTCTGTTGTCTATCAAAAGGTGTGTTAATCATTTGGATATCAATTTCTTTTTCTGTTGTCTATCAAAAGGTGTGTTAATCATTTAGATATAGATTTCTTTTTCTGTTGTCTATCAAAAGGTGTGTTAATCATTTAGATATAGATTTCTTTTTCTGTTGTCTATCAAAAGGTGTGTTAATCATTTAGATATAAATTTCTTTTTCTGTTGTCTATCAAAAGGTGTGTTAATCATTTAGATATAGATTTCTTTTTCTGTTGTCTATCAAAAGGTGTGTTAATCATTTAGATATAGATTTCTTTTTCTGTTGTCTATCAAAAGGTGTGTTAATCATTTGGATATCAATTTCTTTTTCTGTTGTCTATCAAAAGGTGTGTTAATCATTTAGATATAGATTTCTTTTTCTGTTGTCTATCAAAAGGTGTGTTAATCATTTAGATATAGATTTCTTTTTCTGTTGTCTATCAAAAGGTGTGTTAATCATTTGGATATCAATTTCTTTTTCTGTTGTCTATCAAAAGGTGTGTTAATCATTTAGATATAGATTTCTTTTTCTGTTGTCTATCAAAAGGTGTGTTAATCATTTAGATATAGATTTCTTTTTCTGTTGTCTATCAAAAGGTGTGTTAATCATTTAGATATAGATTTCTTTTTCTGTTGTCTATCAAAAGGTGTGTTAATCATTTAGATATAGATTTCTTTTTCTGTTGTCTATCAAAAGGTGTGTTAATCATTTAGATATAGATTTCTTTTTCTGTTGTCTATCAAAAGGTGTGTTAATCATTTAGATATAGATTTCTTTTTCTGTTGTCTATCAAAAGGTGTGTTAATCATTTGGATATCAATTTCTTTTTCTGTTGTCTATCAAAAGGTGTGTTAATCATTTAGATATAGATTTCTTTTTCTGTTGTCTATCAAAAGGTGTGTTAATCATTTAGATATAGATTTCTTTTTCTGTTGTCTATCAAAAGGTGTGTTAATCATTTAGATATAGATTTCTTTTTCTGTTGTCTATCAAAAGGTGTGTTAATCATTTGGATATCAATTTCTTTTTCTGTTGTCTATCAAAAGGTGTGTTAATCATTTGGATATCAATTTCTTTTTCTGTTGTCTATCAAAAGGTGTGTTAATCATTTAGATATAGATTTCTTTTTCTGTTGTCTATCAAAAGGTGTGTTAATCATTTAGATATAGATTTCTTTTTCTGTTGTCTATCAAAAGGTGTGTTAATCATTTAGAAAGAATTTCAAAGTTTATAAGTAACCCTCATTACATTTTATATGTATATATATATATCCCTTAGTTAAATAATAAGATTACTGATTATACCGTCTTAAATTTGGAAATGACACTAAAACTATACACAACACAACCACCGTGAAAAACGATCTTCATCAATATATCAGTAACAATGGGGGATGGAGTAAATACATGTAATATCAACCTGTTTATATATGACTGTGTGTCAGTGAGTAGGGGGTTGGGGGGGGGGGAGGGGTTGTCACACTTTGCGTTTGCTTTGCATTATTTTGTTTTTAATTTATAATACTGACTGACAAATTGTAACCAAAGGTTTTAGTTGTACAGTTGTCCAATATTTTGCTGACCGAGCTTGGATGAAGTGCACTTTGTACCTAATTTTTGTTCTATTGTTTCAGGGATACCAACAGCAGATTATATGATTCAATTTACAGAAGATCTTCTCTACCCGTTGAAGATTCTACACACAAGAGAACAGATTAAGGAGTTTAATTCAAGATATGATGCAAGTATATACTGTCTAAGATGAATTTGATGCCAGGGCTTTAAGCACTAGATATTTCTTACTTCAGATTAAATTCACATGGTTTGAGTTCCTTAGAACAATTTTTGTATTGGAAGGCTTCAATGCAACTTCCTAATATACCATTTTAATTAATCCTGAATCATCTTGATTATAGTAGCTAGAAAATGATCATGATTACTTTCGCTTTATGCACATTGCAATATAAGAATTCATTCTGTTTAAAGAAATACATTTCTTGGCATTACCTAGAAACAATTTAGAACCTAGGATTGAATGTGTGAAATATTTCAACATACATTGTTTAATGGTCGAGATTTGTGTGTTTGACATAATTAAATTAGAATTATATGGTGTACATTAGTGCTTGATATGGTTGGCTTCCATTTAGAACTCACTTGTAGGGTGAATGAAATGAAATAATTTGGTCCTGTATAACTAGAGACAAGTACTGCTGTCAGACTTTGATTATAGTATATATAAGTTAAGGTATAATGCCTAACACAATGAAATCTAATAGATGCCTCAGTCTTTTATGTCTAAATAGTTAAAAAAGGCCTTTAACACTTCCTACTATCCTTATAAATGATTTAGTCATTGGAAACAAGCTATATGGAATTTCAAAAGATGAAGATAGAAATGAGATGGAATCAATATGTTTTCAATATTGAGATCAAACATGTATTGTGAAAGTAACTTCAATGACACATCAATGTTAAGTTTTGTGAAATTGAGATCTAACAGAAATTGTACCATATTACCAGGATCTGCTCTGTAATCGATGATGACCTCCAGTCAAGTTCACTATTAGAACTCGACCAGGGATAACATGCTGTCCTAACCTTATTACAGTACAATGTACAGGCTGTGTATTGCCCATTCTAAATTCTGTCTTGTCAGTGAATGTGTTTTTCCTGCCTCTGTGTTTTGGGCTGTATTTAGGCCCTATTCTCAAAAGATTGTGTGGATTTCTTTTCCGAATGAAGTCTTAAAAATTCCTTAAATGTTAAAATGGAGTGTTCTATTTAAGAAGTTAAAATCCAGCTTTTAATATGTATAATTTTCTCCCATGTAACTGCTACTTAAAATCCAGCTTTTAATATGTATAATTTTCTCCCATGTAACTGCTACTTAAAATCCAGCTTTTAATATGTATAATTTTCTCCCATGTAACTGCTACTTAAAATCCAGCTTTTGCTATATCCAATTTTCTACCATGCATCCCCTACTTAAATTGTATTGGAATATAGGCTCAGAACTTTCATTATGTCAATATTTATTTAAAATGTATCTTTTTTTATTTTGATGTATTGACTTGTGTGTCCTTGTTTACAGAATGCCATGATCGGATTCTTTGACTTCCATGCCTCCCCCCAGCCTCCAGGTTACCGACAGTTTTACCTGACAGCTATGAGATTGCTTGAAAAAGGTCAGTCCTGAGATAGATTCTGTATAGTGGATTAACTGGACTGGTTTAGTATAGAACCATGTTAGATTTTGAACCCAATGACATCACTTCCTCTAACATGGTTATAACCTTATCCCTTAGGACTCACCTGATCACCAACAATTAACAGCATCAGTTGATATTTCTATAACAGATGGTTATAACCTTATCTCTTAGGAGTCACCAACAATAAACAGCATCTGTTGATATTTCTATAACAGATGGTTATAATCTTATCCCTCAGGAGTCACCTGATCACAAACAATTAACAGCATCTGTTGATATTTCTATAACAGATGGTTATAACCTTATCCCTCAGGAGTCACCAACAATTAACAGCATCAGTTGATATTTCTATAACAGATGGTTATAACCGTATCCCTCAGGAGTCACCAACAATAACCAGCATCAGTTGATATTTCTATAACAGATGGTTATAACCGTATCCCTCAGGAGTCACCAACAATAAACAGCATCAGTTGATATTTCTATAACAGATGGTTATAACCTTATCCCTCAGGAGTCACCAACAATTAACAGCATCAGTTGATATTTCTATAACAGATGGTTATAACCTTATCCCTCAGGAGTCCCCAACAATAAACAGCATCAGTTGATATTTCTATAACAGATGGTTATAACCTTATCCGTCAGGAGTCACCAACAATTAACAGCATCAGTTGATATTTCTATATTTCTATAACAGATGGTTATAACCTTATCTCTCAGGAGTCACCAACAATTAACAGCATCAGTTGATATTTCTATAACAGATGGTTATAACCGTATCCCTCAGGAGTCCCCAACAATTAACAGCATCAGTTGATAGTTCTATAACAGATGGTTATAACCTTGTCCCTCAGGAGTCACCAACAATAAACAGCATCAGTTGATATTTCTATAACAGATGGTTATAACCTTATCCCTCAGGAGTCACCAACAATAACCAGCATCAGTTGATATTTCTATAACAGATGGTTATAACCTTATCCCTCAGGAGTCACCAACAATAACCAGCATCAGTTGATATTTCTATAACAGATGGTTATAACCTTATCCCTCAGGAGTCACCAACAATAACCAGCATCAGTTGATATTTCTATAACAGATGGTTATAACCGTATCCCTCAGGAGTCACCAACAATAAACAGCATCAGTTGATATTTCTATAACAGATGGTTATAACCTTATCCCTCAGGAGTCCCCAACAATTAACAGCATCAGTTGATATTTCTATAACAGATGATAATTGTACAATTTTATGGACATATGGATAGACTCTGACAATATTATACTATACCCTAATTAGGTGTCTTGTCTAAACTAAGGAACTTGCATTTTGTTACATTTGTATGAAAAATTGTCAACTTTAAGATAAACTTTTAAGACAACAAAAGAAATATTTACCTAGGCCACACCAATTTGAAAAGTAGTTCTTTGGAAAATTTTCAAATAAAACGGGAGCAGAGAATCAATCAATTTTTTTTTCTAATTTTGGTAAATTTTGTGAGAGCAGAAGTAAAATCTAACAGCTATGGATTTTAATGCCTCTAAAGGTGCATGCATTGGATAATTGACATCGTATTTTTTATGCTTTTAAGCGATCTTCTTTTTACTGAAAACATTCAAACACAAATTTTTTATTCTAACATGTGATAAATATTACACTTGAAAATGATAATTATTTTTCACCGCACAGTGTTTCCATTGTGTTCCAAAATAGTTCATACTATATAAATTCAGTTATGAGTGGAATGGTTAAACAAAAAACAAAAAAATAAATAAAAAAACCTGAATAAAAAACAACTCCAAAGTGACAAATAACAAGAAAAATACATCCAGAAAATCTTACATTAAATTCTGAATTTATTCTAAAGCATATCAGCTAGTAAAAATTTGGATGTTTATTTACAAACATGAAAAATCTAAGTCGTGATAGCATAACATATGTATAATTGTTTTCTAACCATTAATACAGTTTTATCAAAGAATAAGACCAGATAAGCGAAGACAAAGACAGTAATTAACCACAAACCCATAGCTTATACAGCTTCCTGACAATTTCCACTTTTATCACAATGTTAAGGTATGAAACATAGTTTTCATCATAGCTTCTCAAGCTTATAGTACTAAGATAGCCCCATTAAATTTTTTGTATACCCACCCTTTATATAGAACAAAATGTGTTTTTTTATCTGCATCATAAAAATGCTTTACTTGTGTTCATTTTTGTGGTGATTCAAGCGTCTATGTGACTAAAATTAGGGATCTATAAAATTACAGTGGTCTGACCCCCCAAAAAAACTGGAATTTTGTTATTTTTTTGACGAGCGGTTATTTAATTTTTATTAATTTTTTTTAAGTCCATATTTTAAGAGCGGTAAGAAGTAATACTTTTCATATTAGTATGGTGCTACTCTCATATTTCACAAAGGAAATTCTAAGGAAAGCTGCTTGAGTGTTGGGTTTCTAGACTGTTCTTGTAGCCTTTATATGACTGAAGGAGGGTTTACTCATGTACCATGTTATTTTATTATGTTTTATTTTCATTTGTAGACTTCTATCAGCCAGTACGGTCAGCCATTATCACACAGCCTGGTCTTGCTAGTCTGTTGGGTTTACATCACTCAAAAAGTTTGATTTTACATCGCCTGACAAATACTACTTTGGTAAGTTCAACACACTGATAATGAGATGTAATATTTAGGTTATAAAGTTTGACAGAATAGACCACTGTAACTGTTAATTACTCTATATATAGGGAAGCATTTCCTGAAGATGATTTTCAACCCAGGTCAAGTTTGATGTCAATATATATGTATACATTTCATCTATAACATTAAATGTTAGCCTCCCATTTATTTTTGTCCTAAATTGGGAAAGAGCAAAATGGATGAAAGTCAAACTGTGGCAAAGTTTCCACATAAGCAGTGTGTGTTTATAATATTGCTACATAAATTCCATGTCCATTTGTAACACTGTCTTGTAATTAGGTGTTCCGTCTAGTGACAGATAAGTTTGTTGATGTCTTTACATGTAACTAGACTGGTGTTAGATACATAACACATAAAATATGAAGCTTTTATTTCAATTTTCAGCTTTATCCCCAAGAAGGCAACTTTACAGATGAATACTTAACACATTGGATTGGTGTTCACAAACAACAGGTATTAAGAAAAGACTTTGTGATAAAATAGACCTTAGTAGTAAACAGAGAAATACATGAGATTCCCACCTATAATAATATATATCTTATAATTTGTCAGTATTGTCATCAATAACAATACAGTTAGTGGTCTGCTAATGATCGAAAAATAGTTAAAAATAGATGAATCATTTTGAAATGTGAAGTGCTCAATTGTAAATTTAAGCACTGAGTTATGATTGGAAAATTGAAAATATTCAGGATTTTGTTGTCATCATGCCTAACCTTCACTATTGTAGTGGAATAAATAGAATTCATAAAGTAAAGATAGTATCAACCTAATTTGTTCTGTGTTTGCATATAGTTGTCAACAATTGTTATAAACCTGAAACTCAAAGTAAATATAGAAGATTGATGTGAATCATCATTTCTTAACTAACCCTCTTGTTAGGCGTAACTGCTTGAGTGAAGAAAAGTACAAAAACATGCCCATGTGAAGCAGCTGGAAAACAAATGTACACAGCAGATCATGATGTTGAGATCGAAGATTTGTTTCCATATCCGAGACAGTTCAAGTGCTGATTATGGAAATTCTTCATGCTCATCTTGTTTGACTCAATCCATCTTAGTCTTCTCTTGTGTGTAATACTAAATCTGTTCTAATTCATATTAAACTGTGAACCAGTTTTACAGTGTAACATTTCAGGAAACTATGTACCAATACAATCTGCTCAGAAAACAAATTCAAAACATAGAAAAGAAGAATTCTATATTTAAGATATAAATCAGTTACAATACATGGTCAAGCATGCAGGAACACAAAATGACATCAACGTAGTGACTAAAATACTATAAACACATAACAAACATATGCATCAAGCAACCTTTGATTATTTCATTAATCATTGATATTTAATTGTGATTTTCTGTCCAATTCCCAACACCAGTGGAAACTTGTTATTTTCACTGGAGTTAAAATTTCACTTAGATATCGCATAAAACACAGAAAAATTAAGAAAAACTTTTTAAGAAATTTTAAAAGTGTATTCATACATGGCATGACCAATCATAAGGGAACTCTCTAATCAATCCTGATGGTATTTGACATGGAGGTCATGACTTACCTCAAGGATACGCGGGGATTGTTATAGTATCCATGTTATTGACTTCGGCAAGATGATTGTGAAAACATCAAACAGCAAGATGTTTCACAGGACAGGGCACATTATGATAAATATTTTAATTATTTTTTAATTATTCTTGTAACATGGAACTTAATATTTTCAGCCATTGGTGAAGTGGTTATCTCCCCCTGGACACAAGACACAACATTTATCAACAGCAATAAACCAAGGACCAGCATTAGTAGTGTTCATCCCAGTCAACCAGTTACATACAAACAGTTTTTATTACAACATGGTAGGTTGTACTTTATAGAGAAGTATCCATGGTGATAATGGCAATGTCATTTATATAATTATGAACTCACAGGTCTTATTGTGTACTCATTTAATGTGTGTTTATCATTGATACATTCTCACTGAATACTAAATGTGCCATTGAAGACATTTTTCGGTAATACACATAAACATGAAGTTAATGGGGACTTTTTTTAAACATCCCAAATACTACTAATTTCCAGAAGACATTTATTGATTACAGCATTGAGAGGCGGAGGAGGTAGAGAGGGGGAGGGGGTAGAGGGGGAGGGGGTAGAGAGGGGGAGGGGGTAGAGGGGGAGGGGGTAGAGAGGGGAGGGGGTAGAGAGGGGGAGGGGATAGAGAGGGGAGGGGGTAGAGAGGGGGAGGGGGAAGAGAGGGGAGGGGATAGAGAGGGGAGGGGGTAGAGAGGGGGAGGGGGAAGAGAGGGGAGGGGATAGAGAGGGGGAGGTGAAAGAGAAGAGGGAGGGGGTAGAGAGGGGGAGGGGATAGAGAGGGGGAGGGGGTAGAGAGGAGGAGGAGGTAGTGAAGGGGAGGGGGTAGAAAGGGGAGGGGATAGAGAGGGGGAGGGGGTAGAGAGGGGGAGGGGGTAGAGAGGGGAGGGGGTAGAGAGGGGGAGGGGATAGAGAGGGGAGGGGGTAGAGAGGGGGAGGGGGAAGAGAGGGGAGGGGAGAGAGGGGAGGGGGTAGAGAGGGGGAGGGGGAAGAGAGGGGAGGGGATAGAGAGGGGGAGGTGAAAGAGAAGAGGGAGGGGGTAGAGAGGGGGAGGGGATAGAGAGGGGGAGGGGGTAGAGAGGAGGAGGAGGTAGTGAAGGGGAGGAGGTAGTGAAGGGGAGGGGGTAGAAAGGGGAGGGGATAGAGAGAGAGAGGGGAGGGGGTAGAGGGGAAGGGGATAGAGAGGGGGAGGAGGTAGAGAGGGGGAGGAGGTAGAGAGGGGGAGGGGGTAGAGGGGAAGGGGATAGAGAGGGGAGGGGGTAGAGAGGGGGAGGGGGAAGAGAGGGGAGGGGATAGAGAGGGGGAGGTGAAAGAGAAGAGGGAGGGGGTAGAGAGGGGGAGGGGATAGAGAGGGGGAGGGGATAGAGAGGAGGAGGAGGTAGTGAAGGGGAGGGGGTAGAAAGGGGAGGGGATAGAGAGAGGGAGGGCAACAGGCATATAGTGTTACTAATGTTGGTTCATCACCATCACTCTATTATTTGTTTTGCAGGTCCGTGAAGTTGCTTTACATTACTTGAATTGTAATGACAGTCTATTCATGCGGGACGCCACTGAACTAAGTATACGACAGCGGATAGCAAGTATAGAGGAACACCAAAAACATACTGACAAATGTCTCTACAAGCAAGTGTACAAAAATACACTGTATATGTCTCCAGCCAGTGATAAAAATTGCTGTATTTCCTTGGTGACTAGTCATAATAAAGAATATAGTAGAGAGGACTCTCGAACTGTGTGCGAGTACTGTAAACATGTCAAAACCACGCCTTCACTGGAGGAGAGGTCACATCTGTGCATGCTAGATACACCCACAAGTCTTTCAACTGGAGCTATGTTCAGTGGTCTTGCCCATAGTCCACCCCATTGTCTCAATACCGGCCAGGACTATAACACCAACGAATACCGGACTTTGTGTTGTAAAGAGTGCAGTTATAATGTGTTGTCAAACGACAAGTGTTCTTCTAGAAAAACAACTGACCCTTTCATTGCTAGAAGTAATTTTATTTTTCTAAACCTAATATGCAAAACACTAAAATTGCAGGAAGAACAGAATTTGACATCACCATTTGATTTTGTCAAGGATTTTAGTCGTTTTGATTTGGAGAAAGTGATGGGATTACACTGTAGAAGTAACAGAACATTAAATTTACATGTGATGGATATCAAGCATCACTCTGTGTTCTTGGAGAGATTAGCGCCAGGCTATCTAATTGATGTCAACTCACCTGCAGCTGTGATCGTGGATAAAAAGGTAAGGACATGGTGTTTCTGGTGTGTATAATGGTTAGGGATGTGTACTTCCTGTCTATAAAAAGGTAAGGACATGGTGTTTCTGGTGTGTATAATGGTTAGGGAATTGTACTTCCTGTCTATAAAAAGGTAAGGACATGGTGTTTCTGGTGTGTATAATGGTTAGGGAATTGTACTTCCTGTCTATAAAAAGGTAAGGACATGGTGTTTCTGGTGTGTATAATGGTTAGGGATGTGTACTTCCTGTCTATAAAAAGGTAAGGACATGGTGTTTCTGGTGTGTATAATGGTTAGGGAATTGTACTTCCTGTCTATAAAAAGGTAAGGACATGGTGTTTCTGGTGTGTATAATGGTTAGGGATGTGTACTTCCTGTATATAAAAAGGTAAGGACATGGTGTTTCTGGTGTGTATAATGGTTAGGGAATTGTACTTCCTGTCTATAAAAAGGTAAGGACATGGTGTTTCTGGTGTGTATAATGGTTAGGGATGTGTACTTCCTGTGTATAAAAAGGTAAGGACATGGTGTTTCTGGTGTGTATAATGGTTAGGGATGTGTACTTCCTGTCTATAAAAAGGTAAGGACATGGTGTTTCTGGTGTGTATAATGGTTAGGGATGTGTACTTCCTGTATATAAAAAGGTAAGGACATGGTGTTTCTGGTGTGTATAATGGTTAGGGATGTGTACTTCCTGTCTATAAAAAGGTAAGGACATGGTGTTTCTGGTGTGTATAATGGTTAGGGATGTGTACTTCCTGTCTATAAAAAGGTAAGGACATGGTGTTTCTGGTGTGTATAATGGTGTGTATATAATGGTTAATGTGTACTTCCTGTATATAAAAAGGTAAGGACATGGTGTTTCTGGTGTGTATAATGGTTAGGGATGTGTACTTCCTGTCTATAAAAAGGTAAGGACATGGTGTTTCTGGTGTGTATAATGGTTAGGGAATTGTACTTCCTGTGTATAAAAAGGTAAGGACATGGTGTTTCTGGTGTGTATAATGGTTAGGGATGTGTACTTCCTGTCTATAAAAAGGTAAGGACATGGTGTTTCTGGTGTGTATAATGGTTAGGGAATTGTACTTCCTGTCTATAAAAAGGTAAGGACATGGTGTTTCTGGTGTGTATAATGGTTAGGGAATTGTACTTCCTGTATATAAAAAGGTAAGGACATGGTGTTTCTGGTGTGTATAATGGTTAGGGATGTGTACTTCCTGTCTATAAAAAGGTAAGGACATGGTGTTTCTGGTGTGTATAATGGTTAGGGAATTGTACTTCCTGTCTATAAAAAGGTAAGGACATGGTGTTTCTGGTGTGTATAATGGTTAGGGATGTGTACTTCCTGTGTATAAAAAGGTAAGGACATGGTGTTTCTGGTGTGTATAATGGTTAGGGAATTGTACTTCCTGTCTATAAAAAGGTAAGGACATGGTGTTTCTGGTGTGTATAATGGTTAGGGAATTGTACTTCCTGTCTATAAAAAGGTAAGGACATGGTGTTTCTGGTGTGTATAATGGTTAGGGAATTGTACTTCCTGTATATAAAAAGGTAAGGACATGGTGTTTCTGGTGTGTATAATGGTTAGGGATGTGTACTTCCTGTGTATAAAAAGGTAAGGGACTGGTGTGTATAATGGTTATGGTGTTTCTGGTGTGGGAATTGTACTTCCTGTGTATAAAAAGGTAAGGACATGGTGTTTCTGGTGTGTATAATGGTTAGGGATGTGTACTTCCTGTATATAAAAAGGTAAGGACATGGTGTTTCTGGTGTGTATAATGGTGTGTTATGGGGAATTGTACTTCCTGTCTATAAAAAGGTAAGGACATGGTGTTTCTGGTGTGTATAATGGTTAGGGATGTGTACTTCCTGTCTATAAAAAGGTAAGGACATGGTGTTTCTGGTGTGTATAATGGCTAGGGATGTGTACTTCCTGTCTATAAAAAGGTAAGGACATGGTGTTTCTGGTGTGTATAATGGTGTGTAAGGACATGGTGTTTCTGGTGTGTATAATGGTTAGGGAATTGTACTTCCTGTCTATAAAAAGGTAAGGACATGGTGTTTCTGGTGTGTATAATGGTTAGGGATGTGTACTTCCTGTCTATAAAAAGGTAAGGACATGGTGTTTCTGGTGTGTATAATGGTTAGGGAATTGCACTTCCTGTATATAAAAAGGTAAGGACATTGTGTGTTTTGTGTTTTTAAAGGCAGGGATATTTTGCTTCTTATGTATATAAAGGTATGGATATTGTGCATCCTGTATGCACGTTACAAGAAGGAACTTTGTATTGTACAAGTCATATGCATATAATTTGTGAGGACTTACATGCTTTCTGTCTATCAAAAAGATATGGACATTGTTCTGCATGTGTAGAGGTAAACCTTTTTTTTATCATTTCAATTACATTGCATTCTTTCATTGAATTAATATTAAAAATCAACAGCATTTTTTAATCATGAAGTACCTCCAGTGTATTCAATAAAAATGATTCTATTATTCCTTGTAAATTTTAACTTGGGGATTAAGTGCCAAAACATTTTCAGAAAATAACATTTTTTAGATGCAAATTCCCCCAAGTACATGTGACCTTAATGTGTTGCATGTTTTGTAGCAAGAGTTGCTTCCCATACACTGATGTGTCTCCAGGCTTTGTATTTAATCTTTAATGATAACCTGGCATATAACAACAAGGATGAGGACTCTCAGGGGACGGAGTCAGCTTGTTTTCATCTAATTGTTGAGATTTTGTTCTTGTCTCAGAAGCCATGATTGTGTGTAACTGGCTCCAGGCTAGGAAAGTTTGTAACATTCCTGGTAAAATTTTGATCTGTGTGTACTTCACAATAGTTCAGGTGACAGGGTGCTTATGTAACACTCACCCATTAATTATAACAGTATTTTACTAGAATGATATTTCTTCTGTTGATTCATCCAATTGTCTCCTCTGTTTTTTCAACAGAATGAAGCTCAATATGTTCTCAGGGAAACATTCAGCAAGAAAAATTTAGGTAAGTTACATCTATTCTTATCAGTAATTTTCATTAACATCTTATAGAGATCCCCATTTCCAGGTACTCATTTAGCCATGCCAGGTAAGTTAAGGGAGTTAGGGATGCAGATCAGTTCATAGCTAGGTGAAGGACAGTCACAATTGTCTCCCAGCTTGTATGGCTTGTTGTACTGATGTACTAACAAACCATTTGATTCTATTGAGTTATCAAACACAACTTCTATGAATCAAATACTCCATAACAAGACTACATGTAAAATGATCCTAAATGCCATTAACTTTGAATTGACAAACTCCGTTATCAAATAAAAATTATGACAATTAATCAAGCATATTAAAACATGGATAATTTTCATTGTTAATCTCTGTTGTTTAAATTTTTGTAAATCTGTAGTTAATTTGTGTTGTGAGTCTGTAGTTAATTTGTATTTTGTCGGTATGCCCATTTTAATAACGACTGACCTCCAGGGGCTGATGGGCAGGGCCAAAAGGGGTCAAATTGACTTAAATTTCAAAAATCTTTTCAACACCCAGATATGGTAGAACGAAATGCTCTGTATGAATGGAAGCATCTTAGGTACTTTAATTACCAAAATGAGTCTCACATTTCTTCTTTGGGAGGAATACCTTTTTTAGACTTTACTGTAATTTTCATAGAAAAATAGCATTTTTGAACATAACTTTGGTTATTTCCCTTTGCAAATAACTTTGTAAGAATTATCAGTATAGGATGACAGTTTTGATGGTATGCATGTATTGACACTGGCTTACGATATTCATTGTCACAATTTCTGTTTAATGACACTTGATAACAATCCTTTAACCTTTATATTCAATATTGCTTATCTCAGGTGACTGTGAAGATCTCTAGGCCTCTTGCTTTTTATACGACTTGTTGTCAGTGTAACATTTATATGAAATAAAGCCATTGAAATATAGTGGACTGCATAGCTGTCTTGTCTGGAATCAGTTGTAAAAATCAAAAGTAATTATATTATTGTTACAACACTACTGGTGTCATTAATCCATTACTTTATGTGATGTTGTCGAATCTGCAATTGTGATCCCTACAGGGATTAAATCCAGTGAAAATTAATCAAGAAAATATAGCTAATTTGTTTTGGTTTGTGATATTTAATTAAGTTTTCTGTTGTTAATTCTGAAATGAGAAATTAGATATTAAAACCCCTTCACATAAAGTGAGACCTTTTGAATAGGGTTTGGATTTCTGTATAACGAGGAAATTTCCAGAGAGCATATTGTTGATTGTTGTATTAAACATAGTGTAACTATAACTCACAGCTTTTTTAGCTGAACAATTATGATGCTAGCTGATGCTTTGTGTTGAAGCAATATCAGATGTAATGATTTTTTATTGATGAATTTGCTAATGTGTTTAGCCCTCCATCGTGGGATGATGGATTATTCAAATTGCCCTACGTCCGTGGTCCATCTGTCCGTCCGTCCGTCCGTCCGTCCGTCCGTCCGTAAACAGTTATTGTTATTTCTTTAGAAGTACTGAATGGATCTTTTTCAAATTTCTTATGTAACTTCACCATTGTCTCTTCAGTACTGATCAGAAAAACAAAATGGCTGACAGCTGGCCATCTTGGATTTTTCCAGTGAAGTTTGTTATCACTATTTCTTAAAAAGCACGTGATGAATATCTCTGAAATTTCATACATAGGTTTCCCTATGTCCCAAGATGTGCCTATTTAATTTTGGGTCTGATCAAAAAGACGAAATGGCTGACAAGCATCCATCTTTGATTTTGCCAAGTAAAGATTTTTATTACTATTTCTTCAGAAGCACTCGGTGGATCTCTCTCAGATTTCATATGTAGGTTTCTTTTGTCCCTAGTTGTGCCCATTTGATTTTGGTACTGGTCAGAAAAAGAAAATGGTCAACAGACGGCCATTTTGGATTTTGCCTAGTAAAGATTGTTGTCCTTACTTCAGAAGTACTGAATGTATCTCTCTCAAATTTCAAACAAAGTTCCCTTCGGTCTCTTCTCGTGCTTGTTTTATTTTGGGACTGATCAGAAAATCTAAATGCCTGACAGACGACCATCTTGGATTTAGCAGGTAAAAATTATCATCCCTATTTCTGCAATAGATTGTTCAAATTTCTTATCATTGAGAGCAAAAACAGAGAAAAGATCCAACTTCAAAAGAGCAAAAAAAGATAAAACAATTGTGGGCGCCAAGATCCCTCTGGGATCTCTTGTTTCGGTAGAGATGTGTAGGAATGATTCTCTATGTCACTCAGCAAACAAAGTATTCTCTTATCATTCCCCTGAACTCTACAGAAAGTGCAAACAGCAAGTTTACTGGAGTTTCGTCATACATGTTCCAAGAATGAGAATGAGTGAAAATGGATGTGAATTACAGCTCCCTCGTGTGTTGCTGAAGTGTCAGCGGTTGACATAGATATATGCTCCTGGTATTTTACTGTCTCAAACACAATGCATTTTGTACAATGAGAATTCATAACAGCTTTCTAAATGGTATTCCTAATGAGTCCATGACTTGTTTTGTCAATGATTTTCAGGGAAAAAAGAAAAAAAAAAAATGGCTTTGACACTTGAATATTACAGTTTTGTGTCGCAATCAAGACATCTGTGGTAATGCTGTGATAACAAAGTGTGGAAAGCAATTGTTATGTTTAAGAGCTTGTGAAATGTTCAGTAAAGGAACAATGAAATACATAAAATTCTATCATTGAATTTCATTATCCAATTTATAAATGATCATAAGCCTGCAGTTTATTATTCAATTTCAGTTTTGTATTTCAATTCTGCCAGAGTTGACCTGTGTTTGATCTTGGATGTCAATAATTTTGATGTACATTGTCATGAATGCCCAGAACTGTTCAGATACATATTGTATTGATTGATACAGTTAAATGATGATCACCATTAAATTTGAAGGGATGCATCAGTCCAGGCACGTGCATAGTAAAGAACAAAAAAAAAAAAGATTTCAAACTCGCAAATGGTTTTAAAATGTATCTTGACAGTTATTGAATTGAAGGTTATGCATCTTTTCAAAATTAAGCTGGATTGAAAAGTACATTTACTATTTAAAGGCCTGGTGGTCATGTGATTGAGCAGTGCTACATACATAGTCAATTAAGTGCTGAATGTGGCGTGGAATGTTAATACAGGGTACACATTTCTTTGACATGTATCAGTAGGACAGCCAGGAAATGGCTTCACTTGTTACTGTGAGCTTGAAACGTGGAAATCATTTTACAGTTAGAAAACTAGAAACAACACAAATAATGGAATTAAAACATTGATTTTTGAGAATATCACAAATTCAGATTGCAAACATATGATAACTGTTAACAGTAGCAGTTACACTGACATTGAAATATTGATTCTTTCACAAATATGACAAGAATAGTGTGCTTTTCAAATCCTAAATTACTAAACATGTATGTTATCTGGTGGGATTTTATTTCACCATTAATCACAGCCTCACAGAGGCAGTGTGTGTGTGTGTATAGAGATTTATTTCATGTATCTACAGCATGTGATGGCTTTCCTTTGTATTCCATATACATGTACTGTACAAACATATCTTAAAGCATTTGAATTTTGCTTTGAATATTTACAGAATGAATTTTAAGAATGGTAAAGTTCAATGGCAGATAATGTTTGCCATACGTAGGTAAAACATATTTAAATGCATTTTTTTGTTATAAAAGGTAACTACAATACAGTTTATTTAGTGCAAATAAATACGCTTAGTTAGATATCCTGACCCAAAAGTGACATATCAACCGTTTTCATCCGTCATCATCCCTTATAGATCTAATTACTGTATATTTTTTTTCTATATTTCCATAAGAACCATAAAGCATAGGTTCATGGTGTTTGATAGCTTGAAGTTTGCATTTCGTTATCAGAATGATCAAAGTTGTTCAAAATAAATCAGCTTGATTGTCATTGAATACAGGTGTGATAGGTAGCTCTAACTATGTCATCATACCTGTAAGTCATCCTGACCTTAAATACCAGGGGTTTCCTGTACTGGATCCTTGCTGACCTGTATTATGAAGAATTGAGGTTATATTTTCAAAGATCTGTGTTGTCAATAAGGCTGGTATGTTGCAGCAGTTTATGAGACATAGACATCTGTGGCTGTGAGTATACAAAAGATATTTACATCTAATATCACAAACATGCTATTTTAACTTCTCATATTTTCCAATTACAGCCCAGTTTATAATGAACTACACCTCCAGTGACTTAGACCGTTATCTGCGGTCAGGAACTCTGAACAACTCTCCTTGTTACGGCGATCACATCGGTGTCTGTATCAGGGAAGCAACATCACAATCATTCCAAGACATAATTCTACAGCAGGACAAGGTGAGGAGTTACCTCTCTTTGTATTCCATCTTTTTTAAAAGGAGTTGGAAAATTTTACAAGTACTGACATAGTACTGCAATGAATATAATGTTAAATCAAAAAAGAAGAACATGGCTACAAAATTTGGGTTTTTTTTTATCGTAAAATAAGTAATATATTTTCTGAAGTCTTTTGATATATGATATCATACATGTGAATGAACATATCAGTATTCATTATTGAATCAATTAACAATTTTGAGTCAAATTTTATGTCCTGCCTGCCTTATAACCAGCTGTATTGTCCACAGGATGTACTTGTACTGCTGTATGCTCCTTGGTGTGGCTTCTGTGCTGGGTTTGCTCATCTCTATCTGAATCTGGCAAAATATTTCAAAACAGCACAGGACCTGATATTTGCAAGGTAAAAGAAGTATTACTATTTATTTACATAATATTTTGATAAACTTGCATATAAGTGCTTTTGTGTAGAGCATTTCCCTAATAGAAAGAAATTACCTGAAATTGTTAGAAAAAAGACCAGACAGACAGACAACCTTATTACTCTACAAGGAATACAGATCCTAGTGCTACTAGTAAAGACAAATGGTAAGTCCGTGTATAGAGGATATTTAATGGGTTCCTCTTAATATCATTCCTATTTCACGAGACTGACAGAATATTGATACTCTTATTTCATTTCTAAAGGAAAAAAAATGGTGAAAAAAATGATAAAACAATTCAGACTTGAACTAAGGGGGTGTTTGAAACTTAGAGGCCAACTTAGAGAAAACCAGAAATTGCAGTTATTTGATAGAGAAAAATCTTATTCAACCTTCATTTGCATCCAAACATGGAAACCGGCAATTATTCAATGTTATGACATGAAAGCACTGATGTAGTTGGTCAAAATTTAAATTATAATACTAGAAAAGTTATATCATCACTGGAAATGTTCATATACATTTTTACCAAATGGATAAATTTCTATTTTTCACTGGCAAAAATGTTATTAACTTATTAATTGCATGGTAATACTGCATTTCTTGCCTTCTGTGTGTATGATATGCCTACACATAGTAGGACATATTATTCTGGGTGTTGCTGGCTAGGTAGACATCAACTTTTTCTCTAGTGTTTACTGAATTAGGTGTCCTTGGAATGTCATGTTACTACACCTACATTTAACAAGCTGATATTGTACTGATTTATCTTTAGCAGACATAGTATTACTAAATTTATATTCTACACCACTCTATTTACAGTGTAATTAGTTTGTAATAAGTTTGTTTACATCAGGTTTTGGTAAAAAAAATATTTGTTTTTAGGTATATGACTTCAAAAATGTCAAATAAATAGTTGCTAGAAGTGGGCTATTAATCATTATCTAGTCTTTTTTTAACCCTGGCAATGAATTTAGAGGAAAGGGGGGTGGGGGCGGTATACTGGAATTAGGTTGTCTGTCGGTCTGTCTGTCCTCCTTAACTTGTGAACTGATTTCTGTGAAACTGCACAGGTATGTTAAGGTGCATGTGTAGATGTGCATTTGGTTAAATTTTTTTTTTCCTGTAGAAAATTTCGTTGCCTGGGTCACTATACACTGCTTTTTTGTATAATGGCCACAAGCTCATTTGTCCTTACTGGATCAGTTTTGATGAAACTTGGTCAGATATTGTAACTTGTATTGAAGCCTACAGTTGGACTCCTCAGGTGTTTCAGAACCATTACCATTGAAAAAGAATTGAGGCTTCTGATTGGTTGAAATTGAGATATCATCGAAACATTTTCTTCATTTATTCATTTCTATACAAAGGATGGCAGTGTGTTGTATATACACAGGATGGCAGTGTTTTGTATATAGAAAGGATGGCAGTGTTTTGTATATACACTGGATGGCAGTGTTTTGTATGTAGAAAGGATGGCAGTGTTTTGTATATACACAGGATGGCAGTGTTTTGTATATAGAAAGGATGGCAGTGTTTTGTATATACACAGGATGGCAGTGTTTTGTATATACACAGGATGGCAGTGTTTTGTATGTAGAAAGGATGGCAGTGTTTTGTATGTAGAAAGGATGGCAGTGTTTTGTATATACACAGGATGGCAGTGTTTTGTATATACACAGGATGGCAGTGTTTTGTATGTACACAGGATGGCAGTGTTTTGTATATAGAAAGGATGGCAGTGTTTTGTATATACACAGGATGGCAGTGTTTTGTATATACACAGGATGGCAGTGTTTTGTATATACACAGGATGGCAGTGTTTTGTATATACACAGGATGGCAGTGTTTTGTATATACACAGGATGGCAGTGTTTTGTATATACAAAGGATGGCAGTGTTAAAAGGATGGCAGTGTTTTGTATAAAGTAAGGATGGCAGTGTTTTGTATATAGAAAGGATGGCAGTGTTTTGTATATACACAGGATGGCAGTGTTTTGTATATACAAAGGATGGCAGTGTTTTGTATATACAAAGGATGGCAGTGTTTTGTATATACACTGGATGGCAGTGTTTTGTATATACACAGGATGGCAGTGTTTTGTATATACAAAGGATGGCAGTGTTTTGTATATACACAGGATGGCAGTGTTTTGTATATACACAGGATGGCAGTGTTTTGTATATACACAGGATGGCAGTGTTTTGTATATACACTGGATGGCAGTGTTTTGTATATACACAGGATGGCAGTGTTTTGTATATACACAGGATGGCAGTGTTTTGTATATACAAAGGATGGCAGTGTTTTGTATATACACTGGATGGCAGTGTTTTGTATATAGAAAGGATGGCAGTGTTTTGTATATACACAGGATGGCAGTGTTTTGTATATACACAGGATGGCAGTGTTTTGTATATACAAAGGATGGCAGTGTTTTGTATATACAAAGGATGGCAGTGTTTTGTATATACAAAGGATGGCAGTGTTTTGTATATACACTGGATGGCAGTGTTTTGTATATACACTGGATGGCAGTGTTTTGTATATACACAGGATGGCAGTGTTTTGTATATACACAGGATGGCAGTGTTTTGTATATACACAGGATGGCAGTGTTTTGTATATACACAGGATGGCAGTGTTTTGTATATACACAGGATGGCAGTGTTTTGTATATACACAGGATGGCAGTGTTTTGTATATAGAAAGGATGGCAGTGTTTTGTATATACACAGGATGGCAGTGTTTTGTATATACAAAGGATGGCAGTGTTAAAAGGATGGCAGTGTTTTGTATAAAGTAAGGATGGCAGTGTTTTGTATATAGAAAGGATGGCAGTGTTTTGTATATACACAGGATGGCAGTGTTTTGTATATACACAGGATGGCAGTGTTTTGTATATACAAAGGATGGCAGTGTTTTGTATGTAGAAAGGATGGCAGTGTTTTGTATATACACAGGATGGCAGTGTTTTGTATATACAAAGGATGGCAGTGTTTAGAAAGGATGGCAGTGTTTTGTATATACAAAGGATGGCAGTGTTTTGTATGTAGAAAGGATGGCAGTGTTTTGTATATACACAGGATGGCAGTGTTTTGTATATACACAGGATGGCAGTGTTTTGTATATACAAAGGATGGCAGTGTTTTGTATATACAAAGGATGGCAGTATTTAGAAAGGATGGCAGTGTGTTGTATATAGAAAGGATGGCAGTGTTTTGTATATAGAAAGGATAGCAGTGTTTTGTATGTAGAAAGGATGGCAGTGTTTTGTATATAGAAACGATGGCAGTGTTTTGTATATAGAAAGGATGGCAGTGTTTTGTATGTAGAAAGGATGGCAGTGTTTTGTATGTAGAAACGATGGCAGTGTTTTGTATATAGAAACGATGGCAGTGTTTTGTATATACAAAGGATGGCAGTGTTTTGTATGTAGAAAGGATGGCAGTGTTTTGTATATACAAAGGATGGCAGTGTTTTGTATATACAAAGGATGGCAGTGTTTTGTATATACAAAGGATGGCAGTATTTAGAAAGGATGGCAGTGTGTTGTATATAGAAAGGATGGCAGTGTTTTGTATATAGAAAGGATAGCAGTGTTTTGTATGTAGAAAGGATGGCAGTGTTTTGTATATAGAAACGATGGCAGTGTTTTGTATATACAAAGGATGGCAGTGTTTTGTATGTAGAAAGGATGGCAGTGTTTTGTATGTAGAAACGATGGCAGTGTTTTGTATATAGAAACGATGGCAGTGTTTTGTATATACAAAGGATGGCAGTGTTTTGTATGTAGAAAGGATGGCAGTGTTTTGTATATACAAAGGATGGCAGTGTTTTGTATGTAGAAAGGATGGCAGTGTTTTGTATGCCAAGAAAAGGTAGAGTTTTGTATACCAAGGATGGCAATATATTTAGGTCACCCGAGACAAAGTCTCATGGTGACATATTCTATTACCCTTCATCTGGTGTTGTGCATCCATTTTAACACTTACGGCTTCTTCTCAAATACCCCTGATCTAATTTCAATGAAATTTTGCAGAAACCTTTCCTGGCCTAAGATGAACTGAAATTGTGAATTATAATAGTTGTAATAAACTTGTTGTAAGCTTTTTTTCTTCTGGACATTCCCACCCACTTTCCTTAAGCTTTCCAAGTTTTAACTTTAGAGGGATTTCTCCACTCCAGTAATTGTAGGGAGATGTGAGCATTCTACTCTCTTAAGTTCACTTCCTGAGTGGTGGAAATGCTTAGGTAGGTGAGTTATTATATAGTATCGGGGAATAAAATCTATAGTCACATCAATCATTTACCAAGATTTGGAGACTCATCTTTTGTTCACTAAGCTGTCAGAAATGCTTTCTATTAGGATGAATCATTCAGCTTTGTCTATCAAGTGTGTGTATTTAATTTTCGTGCGTTGCCAATGTTTGTCACATTCTTTACATCATTCACAACACTTGCTGTCAGAGCTGTTTACTCAAGTCATTCACCTACTTATATTGGTCATTAGTTGGATTTTCTGGTGATGCTAGAGGTTTTACGACACCACTCACATCCTTAACAATGTATTGTGGTACATACCATACTGTACTAGCGTGAATAAATACTTGTTACACTGAATGCTGTAGGACTGCAATAGCATAGTTAGACCATCAGAAAAATGTCATCTGAGATAAAGATGTGAGGGGTGTGGTTTAATATCACCAACAGGGAATGCTTCTCAGGAGAGCTGAGATCACAGATCATCTTGTGATATCATGGTTACTCCCTACCAAGGGGGCTTAATATTTCTCAGGAGAGTTGAGATCACAGATCATCTTGTGATATCATGGTTACTCCCAATCAAGAGGGCTTAATGTTTCTTAGGAGAGTTGAGATCACAGATCATCCTGTGATATCATGGTTACTCCCTACCAAGAGGGCTTAATGTTTCTCAGGAGAGTTGAGATCACAGATCATCCTGTGATATCATGGTTACTCCCTACCAAGAGGGCTTAATGTTTCACAGGAGAGTTGAGATCACAGATCATCCTGTGATATCATGGTTACTCCCTACCAAGAGGGCTTAATGTTTCTCAGGAGAGTTGAGATCACAGATCATCCTGTGATATCATGGTTACTCCCTACCAAGAGGGCTTAATGTTTCACAGGAGAGTTGAGATCACAGATCATCCTGTGATATCATGGTTACTCCCTACCAAGAGGGCTTAATGTTTCTCAGGAGAGTTGAGATCACAGATCATCCTGTGATATCATGGTTACTCCCTACCAAGAGGGCTTAATGTTTCTCAGGAGAGTTGAGATCACAGATCATCCTGTGATATCATGGTTACTCCCTACCAAGAGGGCTTAATGTTTCACAGGAGAGTTGAGATCACAGATCATCCTGTGATATCATGGTTACTCCCTACCAAGAGGGCTTAATGTTTTACAGGAGAGTTGAGATCACAGATCATCCTGTGATATCATGGTTACTCCCTACCAAGAGGGCTTAATGTTTCACAGGAGAGTTGAGATCACAGATCATCCTGTGATATCATGGTTACTCCCTACCAAGAGGGCTTAATGTTTCTCAGGAGAGCTGAGATCACAGATCATCTTGTGATATCATGGTTACTCCCTACCAAGAGGGCTTAATGTTTCACAGGAGAGTTGAGATCACAGATCATCCTGTGCTATCATGGTTATGTGATAAAGGATCTTGGTTTTTGTGTACCTGTTGTCACATGTTCTAAAATGACCTGATTGGCTGATTTCTGTAATCACTCTATGAGAATGCTTTATGCACACTATCTTATGAAGGAATGATAAGATTTTATAGGAATCTTTCTTTGTAGACTTGTAACCTTAATTCCTTGTTCAGGTTCGATTATCGGCCAATTCTATGCATAATTTATGAGGCTGCTGTGACCTGATTGGCTGATGTCTTTCAGCAGCCTTTCTGAATGCTTTCTAGTTATATTTGACAAGATTTCAGTGATAAATGTTTGAGTTGTATCTTCAGCAGAGTTTAATATTCATTTTGTTTCCTTGGTAGTAAACAGGTGATAGAACAGGTTGAAACAATACAGAATGTTCCAAGTAGTTTTCGTAGACCAGCAAACTGATTATTATTTTTATGTCTTCAAACTTAGGAAAGGATCCAAATGAAACTGAAAGTTGATGAAGAAGGAAAATTGTCAACATAACGTTAACTTTCTGTTTAGGTCATCAGGTCGCAGGAAGTCTTAAGGTTGTTGAAGGAATAACCGTAACCTGATAATTTTCAACCTTTCTTGCTTGGTGATGGGCTATTAAATTTGTTAGAATCAATGACTGAGGATTATGTCACAGTCACAGAAGTAAGACATGTTGAAATGTTCAAGGAACTTTTTATCTTTAGGCATAGGGCATAGTTAATTTGACCTTAACTTAGTGTAGAGAAGTGATATTGAGTCTGTGGGCTATCTTTGACCTTGAGTTGATTTGACCTTTACTTATGTAGAGAAGTGATATTGAGTCTGTGGGCTATCTTTGACCTTGAGTTAATTTGACCTTTACTTAGTGTAGAGAAGTGATATTGAGTCTGTGGGCTATCTTTGACCTTGAGTTAATTTGACCTTTACTTAGTGTAGAGAAGTGATATTGAGTCTGTGGGCTATCTTTGACCTTGAGTTAATATGACCTTAACTTTGTGTAGAGAAGTGATATTGAGTCTGTAGGCTATCTTTGACCTTGAGTTAATATGACCTTTACTTAGTGTAGAGAAGTGATATTGAGTCTGTAGGTTATCTTTGACCTTGAATTAATATGACCTTAACTTAGTGTAGAGAAGTGATATTGAGTCTGCAGTTGTTGGAATTATGGCCCTTCAGTTGATTACAGAAACAGTGTCCACTCCGTATCAGTAGTAGTTATCAATGGACAAACTTCAACCATCATAGGAAAAAAATTCATTACCCTGATAGCTCAGACAAGTTTGATCACTGTAAATTTTGGACCGAAAATATGGCCCCTTTAATGATTACCAAATTGTCTGCTTGATAGCAAAAGTAGTTTCAACAGATCAACTTCAAACTCCATAGGCAGGTTCAACCATGATAGCTCAGACCAATCTGACCACTGTAATTTTTGGACCGTAATTCATATTGGATATTAATCAACAGGACACATAAGTCATATTTTTTAAGTTGCTGTATTAGATAAGTTATTTAACTTAGGTTCTTCTCAGGGAAAAACATGAGCCAGTCAAGCTATTAGGGTAACGTGGAGTCCTAGTGCTGGCCATTGAATTCTATACATATTTAGTAATACTCAAATGATGTACTTTTACTCCAGAATGAGTAAAGTGAATGGGCTTCAGGTAAATTTGATTCACTACAGGTTTTTCCATACCACAATATCAACTGGCCATTTTACTTGCTGTTGTTTTATTCTGTAGCAGACAAGATATCATAATTATACTTTACATGTGAACAATATATGACTGCACTCTGTCGTAGACACACTGTTCTGCTGGATTGTTGCAGATGTTACTAGATAATAATGATAATAAATTAGAATTTAAGTAATTATCTCAATATCTTTTTTCCAGGATCAATGCTGATTCTAATGATTTACCATGGGAGTATACAGTCAGTAGCTACCCAACACTCCTCTTCTTCCCTGCCCATCGGTAAGTAGATCTGTACTAAATCTTGTTCCAGTCTGTGGCCTTCCCAGTTCACCGCCAACTAGATCAGTACTTGTACTACCATTCTGTGGCCTTCCCAGTTCACTGCCAGCTAGATCAGTACTTGTACCAGTCTGTGGCCTTCCCAGTTCACCGCCAACTAGATCAGTACTTGAACCAGTCTGTGGCCTTCCCAGTTCACTGCCAACTAGATCAGTACTTGTACCAGTCTGTGGCCTTCCCAGTCCACTGCCAACTAGATCAGTTCTTGTACCAGTCTGTGGCCTTCTCAGTTCACCGCCAACTAGATCAGTACTTGTAACAGTCTGTGGCCTTCCCAGTTCACCGCCAACTAGATCAGTACTTGAACCAGTCTATGGCCTTCCCAGTTCACCGTCAACTAGATCAGTACTTGTACCAGTCTGTGGCCTTTCCAGTTCACCGCCCACTAGATCAGTACTTGTACCAGTCTGTGGCCTTCCCAGTTCACCGCCAACTAGATCAGTACTTGTACCAGTCTGTGACTTCCAAGGTCAACATGGTAACTGACATCATCAGCTGTAGAACTGGTGATTTTGCCTTTGTTGTCATCCTTTCTTGAGCAAACAGAATGGATCTTTTGTCATATTTCATATGCTTGTAAAGTTTTCCCTTGTTCCTTGTAATTTTGAGATTGATCTGAAAAACAGAAGGGCAGAGTCAGCTATCTTGTATTTTCACAAGGAAAGTTTGATACCACAATTTCCTGTGAAGTATTAATATGAATGTTTCTCGGATTTAATAGGTATTTTTCCATTGGTCCCTTGTTGTGCCCTTTAGAATTCGGGATGAATGAGAATGAAAAAAATTAGCTCACAGGAGACAATCTTGGATTTGACAGTTAAAGATTAACATATCTAAAGAGGAATTTTCAACTTTATTTAATTGCTCTTGCAAAAAACAAGGTTAGAAGAGAGAAAGAAAAAGAAATAAAGATTACAAGAATGATGTATCTGATTTTGATGAAGATTGGCCAATACTTTCTGTAATGAAAGAGCTTAGATCACTTTTCCCATGATTCAGTAGGAATCAACACGTGTTTAGTTTTATTGATTGTATATCTGTGTATGATCAAGGAATTACCTGATAACAGATTTTTTGTTATTTAGAATCATTACTCTTATCATTCATCAACATATACAGAGTAAAATGTCAAATCAGAATTTCCAATCAGGTCTGCAAATGTTTGCTCACTTTTGTCTTCTACTGAACTTGAAAAGCATAAAAGATGACAGTTGAACATGTGCTGTCAGTATATCAGCGTGTTGTGGTGTTAATTGTGGCACTGAAGTGGCTCTGTTGGCCAATCAGATGAGAGATAATGGGATCAATAGGTCATCAGTCGTGACATTTCGTTGGAATCCAATGTGTGTTATGACTCATTGTGCTTTTGTCTGTAGGGTGCAAGCATTTGAAGAATTTAATTAATTTTGTTGGTTGATTTCTCCAGAGAGAAGCCATTAAATTGAGACACCAGTGATATAATGAATGTTTCTGCTACCTTTTCTTCATTTGCTTCTGTCTTGTAAAGATAAAAATCATGTCAGATTTGTGTCCCTAATTGCTATTTTGTGAAAACGAGGATAATTCATAATCAGAAGGTTACAATAAAGTTTTAACTAGAATGAGAAATATTTATTGTTCATTGAGAATAGAAATTCTACATTTGTATTAGAAAAATAATTCTATAAAAGCAGAAGAAAGCATGAACTGAAGTGTTTTATAAAGTAGAAATACTACGGATTGATCTATTGGCTTTGGCACAGCTATGTTTTTGTTTTGTTGATCGTTGCCTTTTTAGCAATGCTCTGATGGGTCATTTTCTTCTCAGCACAGCTCTGATTGGTCATTTTCTTCTCAGCACAGCTCTGATTGGTCATTTTCTTCTCAGCACAGCTCTGATGGGTCATTTTCTTCTCAGCACAGCTCTGATGGGTCATTTGATCTGTCACACAGCTCTGATTGGCAGTCATGAAAATCTGGCTTGCCATTTTGAAAATGCAGGTCTGATTGTTCTTCTTCATATCTGTGAGTAACTGAGTGGATAACCTTGAAAATTGGAAGTAGCAAGTTTCTGGTTGGCTATCCTGAAAATTTGAAGGTAGCAAGTTGCTGATTGGCTATCCTGAAAATTTGAAGGTGGCAAGTCACTGATTAGCTATCCTGAAAATTTGAAGGCGGGAAGTCGCTGTTTGACTGTTTTGTTGTCTTTGACACTTGGCCATCCAGAAAATGTCCAGAATGTTTGAATATTTTTAAAGTCTTGCTTTTTATTTGTTCTGAAATAGAATTTCTGATTTCAGCAACTTTTTGAGTTGTGATATCACAGCTTAATGTAATTACTTTGATCCTTGAGCGGGAGGGATGTAAATATAATCACATCTGATTGGTAGATCAGTCATAGTGTTTATCTTCTCTTTGTTTACTGAAGATGAGATTTATTTTCTGATTGTCTACCAATGTGATGTATGTTTTTTTTCCCCAGCTCCATTTAAGTTTTCATGCACTAAAATTAGCTTTCTGGGTGTCACTCAAACTTTTGATTTGATGAAATATTATCTTGATATTATTCTCCATGTACATTAGCCAAGGTAAAAGTAATTACCATGGATTTAAATAGACACTGTAACAAGTCCTTTTGGCCTTGATTAATCTTGGCCTTGTTCAACATTATGTAAGAATGCCTCTTTGAAAACTACTCAGATGTCTAGGTGAGGTTGCTAGATGTATACTTAATACTGAGTAAAAATTGTGTATCCAGCTGTCAACTGTAAGTTATCACTGTAATTTGAAATGTCACATCTAGGTGTATCTAGGAGTATGCCTCTAGGCTGTTTTGCTGTCCATTGTTACATTTTCGAGGTAAATATCAAAAAGCATTGCTGTCATGAAATTGTTCCCTGTTTGAAATTCAGGAGATGACATTGCTGTGCACACTAAAACTCTTGTAGAGTTATTTATGAGAACACTAACTTTTATTCATATTTCAGCAAAAAAAAAGTTTTTCTTATAAAATTGGGTTGGTTTAAATCTGCAAGTAACTGCCATCCAATGAAACTTTAAATTATGGAAGCATCAGAAGAGGTCAATACAAAATGAACATGGAATGTAGACAATCATGTGGCTTAATTTTAGAAAATCTGAATGAAAAACATAAAACATGGAAATAGGACATAAAACATGGAAATAGGACATAAAACATGGAAATAGGACAGGACATAAAACATGGAAATAGGACATAAAACATGGAAATAGGACATAATACATGGAAATAGGACATAAAACATGGAAATAGGACAGGACATAAAACATGGAAATAGGACAGGACATAAAACATGGAAATAGGACATAAAACATGGAAATAGGACATGAAACATGGAAATAGGAAACATTATTCTTACAGAAACATAAACAATTTCTTTAGAATGTTACATTTCATTAAATGATGTTGCCTGCTTATTTCTGGTGTTATTCTCTCTCTCAGCTCCCTGTTTGGAATTAATTGTGAAGGTATCAGCTCTTTGTCTTGTGATTGTTTCCAAGGGTATCAGCTCTTTGTCTTGTGATTGTTTCCAAGGGTATCAGCTCCATGTCTGTGATTGTTTCCAAGGGTATCAGCTCCATGTCTGTGATTGTTTCCAAGGGTATCAGCTCCATGTTTGTGATTGTTTCCAAGGGTATCAGCTCCATGTCTGTGATTGTTTCCAAGGGTATCAGCTCCATCTCTGTGATTGTTTACAAGGGTATCAGCTCCATGTCTGTGATTGTTTACAAGGGTATCAGCTCCATGTCTGTGATTGTTTACAAGGGTATCAGCTCCATATCTGTGATTGTTTCCAAGGGTATCAGCTCCTTGTATTTTGATTGTTTCCAAGGGTATCAGCTCCATGTCTGTGATTGTTTCCAAGGATATCAGCTCCTTGTCTGTGATTGTTTACAAGGGTATCAGCTCCATGTTTGTGATTGTTTCCAAGTGTATCAGCTCCTTGTATTTTGATTGTTTACAAGGGTATCAGCTCCATGTCTGTGATTGTTTCCAAGGGTATCAGCTCCTTGTCTTGTCATTGTTTCCAAGGTGTCAGCTCCATGTCTGTGATTGTTTCCAAGGGTATCAGCTCCTTGTCTTGTCATTGTTTCCAAGGGTATCAGTTCCATGTCTGTGATTGTTTCCAAGGGTATCAGCTCCTTGTCTGTGATTGTTTACAAGGGTATCAGCTCCATGTCTGTGATTGTTTCCAAGGTTTTTTCGAAAATGACTTACAAGTATAATTTAGAAAGCTGGTTTTGTGGAAAATGACTGGTTTTATGGGGATAGCTAGTGGTAGTGTTGTGTGTGGGGATAGCTAGTGGTAGTGTTGTGTGTGGGGATAGCTAGTGGTAGTGTTGTGTGTGGGGATAGCTAGTGGTAGTGTTGTGTGTGGGGATAGCTAGTGGTAGTGTTGTGTGTGGGGATAGCTAGTGGTAGTGTTGTGTGTGGGGATAGCTAGTGGTAGTGTTGTGTGTGGGGATAGCTAGTGGTAGTGTTGTGGCTTTCTTTTCTAACCTCCACAGATCTGTATTGATAACTGTCTGATGAATCTGTCATAAATTTGAAGGAATTTTCGTGGGGATTGATCACCACTGTTTATTTAAATGGGAAGTGAAGCCTTCATGTACAGTAAATTACTGACTGGGGACTCAATATTAGGCCAGATATGTGTACATATAATTTTGGCTGCCATAACTGATTGTTTGGTTCCCGGATATTTTAATAATTCACTGGGCTGTGTCATGTTCCAGTAATTAAGGCAGTCTCAGTAGGGACACAGAGCCGGAGGTTGGGTCAGATAATGTAGCACAACACTCATTTATTTATTCCTGTGTCTGATCATTATATGCCAATTCACTTAAAACATCATATTTCTATAAAAATCATTGTATAGAACCATTTATAACCCGAGACACAACATACCATCAAATCCTGT